TCATTTAGGTCATTAGAGGTCGTAAGAGGTCATTAGAAGGTCAAACACTGGATTTTTTGCTGCTACTGTATTCCCTGGGTCCCTAGCTTTCGTTTGATGTGCATAAAGCCATAGTTGAAATATTTTCTATTTCTGGAGGTCATTAGAGGTCATTAGAGGTCATTAAAATTCAATTTTATTTTATTTTATGAATTTCGATCACTAATTAGGCGTGCACCCAAAAAATTGGAAGATTTGAACCAAAAATGAAGGCAGGGCCCCCCCCCCCCCTACATCAAATGTGCCAACTCCACCATCCCCTTTAAAAAAAAAATATAAATCCCTGATTTTATAAAACAATTATAAACCCATTATGATTCTAAAAGTGTTGTTTACCTGAGTACAGGGTAATTCCTCTAGAGAAGAATTTAAATCCGTCTGTATCCCATCCTTCTTATTTTCATTCTTTTCATCATTCTTTTCATCTTTCTTTTCCTGATTGTTGGTCTGGGGCGGCTGTGCCGGGGATTTGAAGGTAGACTGTACCGGGGAGTATCTGGCTAGAGATGGGCTTCTAGCCAAACCATCACTAGCTAGGGTAGATATTTGAGTAGTTTGTCTCCCTGATCTCCTGATACAACAAAACCAAACCATCAATCACATTTCAATTTCAAGAAGCTACTATAGTTCCAGCCAGAAAACTTTGTTTGGATTCCCCGACAACAACCCATAATAAATTCAATCATTTATAATAATTTGTTTGTTGTTGCCGAAACGCAAAAATTAATTTAATTTATTATTTTTAGGTTATAAACCATGACATCTATTTTTTGTTTTCATTTCAGTATAAAGTCGATAAATATGTTTGGGTTTCTTTCCTGGCAGGGCTTTCACATATATCCATTGGTTGAGGAGTTAAACTAGTTTTTTCTCCGATATCTGTTCTAGGTTTAACCTTTAATCCAACCTAGACAAACCCAATATTATTTCAATCCAACCTAGACAAACAAAATATTATTTCAATCCAACCTAGACAAACCCAATATTATTTCAAATTATTTCAATCCAACCTAGACAAACCCAATATTATTTCAATCCAACCTAGACAAACAAAATATTATTTCAATCCAACCTAGACAAACCCAATATTATTTCAATCCAACCTAGACAAACCCAATACTATTTCAATCCAACCTAGACAAACCCAATATTATTTCAATCCAACCTAGACAAACAAAATATTATTTCAATCCAACCTAGATAAACAAAATATTATGTAAATCCAACCTAGACAAACAAAATATTATTTTAATCCAACCTAGACAAACAAAATATTATTTCAATCCAACCTAGACAAACAAAATATTATTTCAATCCAACCTAGACAAACAAAATATTATTTTATTCCAACCTAGACAAACAAAATATTATTTCAATCCAACCTAGACAAACAAAATATTATTTTAATCCAACCTAGACAAACACAATATACAATAAATCCAATCTAGACAACCCCAATATTATATAGATCTAACCTTTAAATGTATCCACATTACATTAAAAATTGAAATACTAAAGAACAAGTAAGACATTTTGTAATATCTCTATAAATATTAATAGCAGCCGGTTGTATTTTTGAATGTAGACTCATATAATTGCCTAGGCGCAGGAAATGAAGTCCAATTGTCAAAATCTCTTTCCGGAGACTTGGAACCTCTGAAAAGTGACCTCCGTCGGCTCCAATTTTTTATCTTCGGCCTCGTTGGACATAAATAGCCCAATTTTTTAATATATACTCCCAGTGACCCCATGAATACGCTTAACAAAAAATAAGAAAAAAAGTTTTTTATGTCAAAACAGGGTGTCAAAAATTGCCTTTTTTGATTTTTTTTTGAAATGCAAAAAGTGACAAGTTCTGATCAAAAATAATGATGAAAAAAATTTTCAAAAAATTATTTTTTTGGGGGGGCTACAAGGTGTTATTTTTTTTTTGACAAATCAAATTTTTTTTTTGGCATTTTCCTCCCTAATATAGACGGTGGCCGGTTCTAATTTAAAAGATAATTGCCTAGGAAGTCAGGTTGTCGATGTCTTTTAACACCTCATAGCTCAAGGTCTATATTAAGAAGAAAAATGAAAAAAGCGTTATTTGTCAAAAAAAGAAAAGATTTACACCCCAAAAAAATAATTTTTGGAAATTTTTTTTCATCAATTTGTTAGATAATAATTTATATAATATTTTCTGTTTTCGTTTACTCTTATGTTTTTAATCAAAACTTGTCACTTTTGGCATTTAAAAAAAATCGAAAAATGCAATTTTTGACACACTATTTTGGCATCAAAAACTTGAGGAATTTAATCTCTGTTTTTTAGCGTATTCTGGGGGTCATTGGAAGTCTATATTAAAAATTGGGCTGTTTATTTCCAACAAGGCCGGAGATAAAAAATCGGAGCCGACGGAGGTCCCTTTTCAGAGGTTCCAAGTCTCCGGAAAGAGATATCGACAATCTGGCTTCATATCCTACTCCTAGGCAATAATATAGTATTCATTTTTAAATTATAACCAGCCACCATCTATATTAGGGAGGAAAATGCAAAAAAAAATTAATTTGTCAAAAAAAAAATTAACACCTTGTAGCCCCCCCCAAAAATAATTTTTTGAAATTTTTTTTTCATCAATGTGTTAAATAATAATTTAAATAATATATTCTCTTTTCTTTGGCTCCTATATTTTTGATCAGAACTTGTCACTTTTTGCATTTAAAAAATAAATAAAAAAGGCAATTTTTGACACCCTGTTTTGACTTCAAAAACTTAAGGAATTTTTTTTTCTTATTTGTTTTTAGCGTATTCTAGGGGTCATTGGGAGTATATATAAAAAATTGGGCTATTTATGTCCAACGAGGCCGAAGATAAAAAATCGGAGCCGACGGAGGTCACTTTTCAGAGGTTCCAAGTCTCCGGAAAGAGATTTTGACAATTGGACTTCATTTCATGCTCCTAGGCAATTGTATGAGTCTACACTCTACATTCAAAAATACAACCGGCTGCTATTAATATTTATAGAGATATTACAAAATGTCTTGTTGTTACGGGTTCAAAAAAAATATAAATCTACCCTAGACAAACATAATAGTGATTCGTTCCAACCTAAACAAACACAATATTATTTCAATTCAACCTAGACAAACACAAATTATTTCAATCCAACCTAGACAAACATAATATTGATTCAATCCAACCGGAACAAACACAATATTATTTCAATCCAACCCAGACAAACACAATATGTTTTTAATACAACCTAGACAAACCAAAAATTATTTCAAACCAACCTAGACAAACATAATATTGATTCAATCTAATCTGAACAAACACAATATTATTTCAATCCAACCCAGACAAACACAATATGTTTTTAATACAACCTAGACAAACCAAAAATTATTTCAATCCAACCTAGACAAACACAATATTATTTCAATCCAACCCAGACAAACACAATGTTTTTAATCCAACCTAGACAAACACAATATTATTTCAAACCAACCTAGACAAACATAATATTGATTCAATCCAACCTGAACAAACACAATATTATTTCAAACCAACCTAGACAAACATAATATTGATTCAATCTAACCTGAACAAACACAATATTATTTCAATCCAACCTAGACAAACCAAATATTATTTCAATCCAACCTAAACATACTAAATATTATTTCAATCCAACCTAGACAAACCAAATATTATTTCAATCCAGCCTAAACATACTAAATATTATTTCAATCCAACCTAGACAAACCAAATATATTTCAATCCAACCTAGACAAACCCAATATTATTTCAATCCAACCTAGACAAACTTTATTTCTTTATTGAAGGAAGTAAATCAATGAAAGTTGTCTCACCCTTTGTGGAGTAGCAGGGAGTTCTTCTATCCGGGGTCTTTTCTCAACCTTCTCTTTATCTGATTTTCTTTTCTTCTCCGTCCCATTTTCTAGTTCTAAACTCAGTTTTCTCTTTATAGATTTCCTACCAGGCCCGGCCTTCATGGTCTGAATCTCTGGCTCTTGGATCTCTTTACAAGGCCTGTCATTGCTAGAAGGTTGGGATGGAATAGTTTTGGGTTTTTCTAATTTTTTGGCTAGATCAGAATCCCATCCTCCATTCTCCAGCTGGTTCATTACAGCCTTTAAACAATTAATTTTTTTTAACAGAGGCCGAATTTATCGAATTTAAGCCGCGGTTTAAATTTAAGCCGCCGCTCAAATATATATGGTTGGTTCCACTTAATGTTGTATTAAATGTTTCAAGATTTAAGCCGGCGGTCAATTAAAACCGGTTTTTGGGGGATTTAAGACGTGGCTTAAATTCATTAAATTCGGACACTGGTTATATATCTTCATATTCACATTTATATAAAGTAAAATCTTTGTTTGTTTGTCAGATTATATCAGAAACCCAACGACTGATTTGCCTCAAATTTTGATTGGGGAACTCGGTATAAACATGGTAACTTGGTTTAAAATTTCTTAATTGAGTAGTTAAACTTAGATATTAAATACTTAGTTTTCAGGCAAAGCTGGGTTCACAACTACTGAGATAAAATCAATTATTGAAACAACCAAAAATCGCCGAGTTTAATCCACCACTCAAGAAACCAATTCAAATCAAGTCAATTAATTATATGATACATAAATTGATTAATTAACTCAATCTCTTAATAAGTTTCCTACCTTAACTGAATCAGAGCTGAAATTTTGAAAAGAGAGTCCAGCGTATCCTGCAGAAATACTGACGGTTGTTTCACTACTCTTAGTGCCTTGAGTTCCTGATTCTGGTAACCTTGATTCATTCTGCTTACATGTGCTGGTTTCAGGTCCACTGTTAGGATAGTATTTGAGAAATATAAAGGATGCATATTAAACAATGAATTTAAATTTATTAAAGAATTTTTGACATAAAGTTTTTACATCTGTAAAGTTATCCTTCCCTTAATGCGTTATTTTCTTTAGATGTGTGTGAGGAATCCAGATAAGGCACATCAGAAAGCTAAAACATAACAATGAACACATACAATTCCTAGCCGTTCTAGCATTCGGTGTTTTCATCGTTTTTAGGGGTTTTAGTATTGCTAATGTTTTTTTTGTGTTTTCAGACTCAGTGTTTCAGTGCTTTTTAGTGTTATAAGCGTTAACAGTATTATCAGTTTTCTTAGTTTTTTTTTATAGTGATTTTCAGTTTTCAATTTTAGTGTTATCAGTATTTTTAGTGTTACAGTGTTTCATTTTCAGAGTTAAGTTTTGTGTTCTGTTTTAGCATAAATTAAAAACACCTACTTGAGAAACTGAGTATATTCTGTTAGACCTCCGTGACCGTGGTCCTGGGATAACAGTAGAGTTCGCTTGACCAGGTTCACCGGCGCTTAACTCTTTACTTAAATTCTTCCGGGACTTTGGAACAGCTCTATCAGCTCCTCGAAATTCATTAAATCAATAAATCAATTAATTATTGTTATTCATTTATTTTATATGTCACAGTTCTTAAAAGAATCTTAAGGCATAAGACTCGCATCGCATCGCATCGCATCGCATCGCATCGCATCGCATCGCAACGAATCAAATCGAATCGAATTGAATCAAATCAAAACAAATCAATCGAATCAAATCAAATCAAATCTTATTAAATATTTTCTGGAATTGTAAAGACGTGATAATCAAATCAAATCAGGTTTTAAGGGAGGTCCTACTTTCCACGACTTAATCTTACTTAATAGCTATAAGATGATACAAATTTTTAGAAAAGATTATTAGTTCCCTACCTTTTATTAGATCTTTAGTTCTTGATTTAATGTTTCCACTGATAACAACGCTTTTTCTATTGACATAATATTTTTTTGTAGAGCTTTTGAGAAAGTTAGATTTTTAAAATCTCAATTTGATCATACGTTTTCTAACTCCAAAAAAAAGTGAAGTTCAGTGAAATATTTATAGTATTAAATTAAAAATGTGTTTCTCCATAGAAAATGCATTACCAACAAGATAAAATAAATATGTCCCTATTAGATTTTGGCAAAAATTTTTTTATTGAACCATCCTCGTTGGTTAAAACATCCCAACCATCATCCTCAGAATCCGAAGCTACGGAGTTACCGACGGGACCCTAAAAAACACAAAAAGAAGGATGAAAATGTGCAATAAAATAATAAAACATGAAAATATCATCGGAAATGTTTTTGTGTACACTGTAAGAAATTATAGATCTTTGGGGCCATTAAAGAGACCATTATGAACAAAATTCATGAAGAAACTTGAAAACGTAATTTAGAGCAGGCCTCCATTTGAACTAGGGCATTTTTGATCCACAATGGTATCCTTAAACCTTTGACTTATCAAGGATGATAATTCAACAGCGAGAAAGTACGGATTAGAAGTCTACTCTAGAGTTCCTAATATTTCAAATCTATTCATCAGGATAATAATAATAATAATACCTTTGACAAGGGTTCAGGAGATTTCTCTTTTTGTAGAATAAAGTTGACAAAATCCTGGTCAGTAATTGTACTCATCCTTTTACTCCTTAACAAGGTTTCAATTCAATTCCTGGGAACGGCAAGTTAGTAAACACTCGTAAAAAAGTGAGTTTGGGTAAGAATTGAAACTCTAAACCTTACAAAGGAATGATGCTTGTAAAGTATGATTTTATTTGCATGATCATTTGAACATTATTTTAATACCATTGTCCTTACAGGTGTAGTTCTTAGCAGTCACCAATCGTCGATATTTTTTCAGAAAAAATACTCCACCTCCAGGGCATGTTACAGTTATAAGAAAATACTCCACCTCCAGGGCATGTTACAGTTAAAAGAAAATACTCCACCTCCAGGGCATGTTACAGATATAAGAAAATACTCCATCTCCAGGGCATGATACAGATATAAGAAAAGTTTCATACGTTAATCATATTTTCACTTTACCCATCATAGCTTTTATGAAAAAGTCAGAGAAATATTTTCAAAAAGGTCTGTATGCAAGAGACAATACTTAACCTTTCAAATAAATAATACAACAAATATGAATTGTAATTAAGAAAAAAACATACTTAGATAAGCGTCGTGTTTTATTTTTTGAAGATACTGGGGGAGACTTGTCGTCATAAACGTAGGTTTCCTCGAAAAATTGTGAACTATTCAGACTCAAGTTGGTTTTTAGATTACTAGTCAGCGTTTCTTCATTTTTACTTCTCTTGCCATTTGATGACTTGGAAACTTGAATATGTTTTGTATTCACTGATTCGTAAATCTTTTTATTATTGTCATAATTTTGGGATTCTATGACATCACGATTGTCAAAGTTTGCATCATAATTTTGATTTTCAGGATCCCACTGAACTATTTTCAAAGGTTTTCCCTTCTTACGCCGTGAACTGCTGCCGCCTAAAAGTAATATTTTTCGAAAATATTTTTTGTGGGAAAAACATTCCACCTTGAAAACATATCTTGAATTTACCAATCATATTGGAAAAATTTAAATTGCAGAAGAATCAAATTTTATATATTTAAATTTAATTAGGAAATGTATGTAATAATGTAATGTGTTTACTCAATTATATTTTCTGCTTTTCTTAATTAAACTTCATTCCTAAAAATAAATTGCTTGTTTGTTTATTTGTATCCAATGAACGGCAAAACGACTAGACCGAAAATGACAAATTTTGCCAGGAAAAAATGTCGACATTCATTATTTTTGAAAATGCAAATAAATCTTAACAGAAAAATCCGCGAGATACAATTTCAAAAGGGAATGGAAACTTAAAAGAACAACAGTCTACAGCTAAGATTAATAGTAGAAAAGAAGCGCGAAGAGCGATTTTAAATCTAGAATTAGGTTTATTCCTAGAGAACGATTTTTGGACCCCCCCCCCCCATCCTATCAATTTTGTACATGGATCTTACAGAAAGTGTCTAAACTTGACCTAACCCGTGACCGCAGCGCTCGGCTTCCTAGCCTGTCCTAGCCGCAGCGCTTGGCCCAGTAAGTGTCTTAACAAACCTAACCCTAAATAATACTAAATAAATACTAATTTGGTCATGTACAAAAATGATAGGAGGGGGGGGGCGGGGGGGGGGGGTTCAAAAATCGTTCACTAGGACAGACCCCTAGAATTGTAAACATAATCATAATCAATTTCAAACTATTTTAGCTTGGTGTGTTTATGATCAATAACATTAATAAAAAAATATTTTTTTTATTTACCTGATGTTTGTGGGGGTGGATTACAAGTACTGGAGAAAACATCTTGACTCTGAGCTACAAAAGTTTCCTGAAGCAAAATCAGAAAAATAGATTTATAATTTCTCATTATTGTGTAAACCTTAAAGATGTCAGCATGCGTTCACGGTTTTGAATGCCTAAGATATAATTTGTACCAAGAGTACTGACTTAAAGATTTATTCATACAGTAATAACCAGAAAACTCTAAAATATTAAGACGTTTTTTAGACTCAAGATGCGACTTTAAATAGTCCAATGATCATGGAACCCATTTCACTTAATTAGTGATTTAATCCGTGTCGAGTAAAACTATTTGCTTTGTAACAACATCAAGATCACTTAAATATTGCTATATAGTTATTTTTAATTCGCGCATCTGTAAAGTGGGTATTACTCGTAATAGATATGAGTTTGAAATTAATACCTCGGATGGAAGTGAGGGCAGTACCCTACCCCTGCGGTTTTTGTTACGGGATTCAGTAATCTTCTGCAATAAAAAAAACATTCAATTAGTAAAGCATACATTGCGCACTTCCCCGTAAAGGACAATTTGTTTTTCCTGTATTTTCAAGTGGGCGGAAATAAACAATTTCATTCAAAATAAATCCTATCAAAAATCTGAGCCAGAAATTTTGTGCTGTGAAACTCTGGATCAACATATTATGTAGATCTATGGATTGAATTAATTCTTTTAATTCCTTCTAGCTTCTCGATATCCCGAGGTGGTAATACCCTGCAGGGATAACTTTCATTTGGTGATCACGTAATTGTCCTCATATTTTTAAGTACCAACATTGCATGAGATCAAGGGATTAGATGAACGATATACTAACTCTAAACACAAAAGTTCTGACATCTAAGTTTATAGTTTAGGAAAATAAAGAAGTAAAAACTCAAAATTAACTAAAAGTTTTATAAAGATAGTTCCTACCATATCTGTTTGAAGAATATGCTCTAGTTGCTGAGGGTCTGGAGTATCCCCTACAACAGTACGCTCTCCCCCCACACAAACATCAGGAGAATCAAACTTAACAGAGAAACCTTTTTTGTCAGTTTTCTTCTCCGAGTTCTCATGTGTATATATATGTATTGTAAAGGTACTTTTTAATTTAACTTTTTCTTTCTACTACGCAATATATTCAAAAATATGATAATTAATGTATTAAGATTAAAAAAAATACGTCCTAAACTATTTTCAATACTCTCATCGTATTTATTACATTGATAGAAATACACAATTTGCAATTTCAGTTTCATTTAGTATCACACATGTTAGAGGCGTATTCAGGAGGACCTCCCCTTCTAGTCTATGATGGCGGTTATACTAAAATATTTGTAGTTCAAGATAGAGAAATAAAAGAAAAAATATATTTTGCCAGGATAACGAAATTTAAACCATCTCTTAATACTAAAAAATAGTTTAAAAGTTTAATTCATGACAATTACCTAAGATTCTGAACAGAAATCTCGACTTAAATTGATCATTTCCAAAAATAAATAAATATATTTGTTTACATACCTCCCTACATCAGGTGTTTCAGGTACAAAGCTAACCCCTAGGTTCCTCCCAGGAACTCCCTCCTTCGGTTTCATCTTAATCCTTCTGAAATATATATTACTTGCACCAAATTTCATCATAATTTTCTAATTTCTAATTTTCAATTAGAACACATATGTGCTAAAATTTCAAGTGCGATATTTGCACTAAGAAATGTAAAACATATCCTTCCTTTGAGAATTAGAAAATTAATATATGATAGTCTTATTAAAAGTCAACTAGAGGATGGTATTTTATCTTGAGGTCCGTCAGTAAATAGTAGATTAGGTAAATTATCTACTCTTCAGAAAAAAGCTCTACGAGTTCTAGCAGATAAAGGTTATGCTGCACACGCAGATCCACTTTTTCTGAAACTTGAAATTCTAGAAATAAAAGACATGATCAAATTTAATTCTGCTGTTTTTATGTTTAAATATATGAATGGCAAACTTCCATTATCTTTTAATGGAATGTTTTAGCGTTAGCAGAACCAAACAGAACAAAAAGTTATAAATTAGAATTAGTTAACAATAAATATCTAGAAAGTTTTCCTACAGTTTTTCTTCCAAGGACCTGGGACTCTATTCCATTGGAAATAAAATCATTAGGCACCCTAGCAAGTTTTAAAACAAGTCTTAATAAAAGTTTTCTTGAAGAATATAATACTTAATTTTCGTTGTATAAATCGAAATTGCTTTTCTTGCTAAATCTTGATTCTATCCGCTTTCCCCTGTTATTATAACAAAACAAAATAAAACATAAACATTATAAACTTAGTGTGCTGGGTTGTCCCCCCCCCCTTCTTCTTTTCCTTTCTATTCTTTAATACCTTTCCTCTATCTACTACTTTTCATTTCCTCCTTTTCCTTTTGTTCTAAATTGTTTTTGTTTTAATTGGTTTTATTTAAATTGAACATGGATGTATCGCTGCAGAAGGGCCTCTCATTCAAAACAACCAACAATGGCTAGAGAGGCCCTGGCTAAATTAAAATGTAAAAATTGTGAAACTTAAATTGTTTTTAATTAAATATTTAGTCATATATGTCTCTATCTATCTATCTAATTCTTAGGTCCTTGCTTAAGAATTATCCGGTGGAGCGTGGGGAAGAATAAGTTCCTAAGAAAGTGCATTTAAATGCTTAACAATACCAGCCTTTAAATAGAAGCACATAAACTGTCAACCTTCTTTGGCAATGCACTTAAAATCATATAACAGTGGGTATTTTTGAAACATAAAACCTTTATTAGTTTAAACGTCGTCAATATATCACCTCTTCAATTTGTGCATGCTAATGTGAATTTCTTGGTTAACAAACTAGTTCAGCCAATTTGGTGGATAAAGCGAACGTATATAAATAATACGTAAAGAGCTTTGTTATTTAGATTTAAAATATAGATCATTCCTCATATTGTTTTTATGTAAAAAAGCTCAAAACCTTAATTTCGTCATATTCCTGTACTTGGTTAAAATTTGGCAAGACAAGACCCCCTGTCAGTTTTTATAGGTGGAGGGGGAGCCTTCGTGTATTTTCCTGTATGCGATGAATGCCCCGTACTATCTTTTACTTACTTCTTCCTTGCTATTAGTTAATCACAATGGTGGATTCGGTGCCGTATATTCCGACCTAGATGATTATAAGGTACCCGCTCATCGAACCTAGAGGAAACGAACCTAACGTTTTTCTGACCTAACGTTTTTCCGACCTAAAAATCTGTAGGTTCGATTAGCGAAATGTCCCAAACTGACCTAAAGGTTGGAAATATATTTAGGTCGGTTATTGATATATTTTAGGTCAGTTGGGAATATAAATTAGGTTGGTAAAGCAACAATTTTAGGTTATATAAGCATTCATTTTAGGTCGGTTGAGCAATATTTTTTAGGTCGGTTGAGCAATATTTTTAGGTCGGATGAGCAATATTTTTAGGTCGGATGAGCAATATTTTTAGGTCGGTTGAGCAATATTTTTTGGTCGGTTAAGCAATATTTGTAGGTCGGATGAGCAATATTTTTAGGTCGGATGAGCAATATTTTAAGGTCGGATGAGAAATATTTTTAGGTCAGTTGAGAAATTTTTTTAGGTCGGTTGAGCAATTTTATTAGGTCAGTTGAGCAATATCTTTAGGTCAGTTGAGCAATATTTTTAGGTCAGATGAGCAATATTTTTAGATTGGATGAGAAATATTTTTAGGTCGGTTAAGCAATTTTTAGGTCGGATGAGCAATATTTCTAGGTCGGATGAGCAATATTTTAAGGACGGATGAGCAATATTTTTAGGTTAGTTGAGAAATTTTTTTAGGTCGGTTGAGCAATTTTATTAGGTCAGTGGAGCAATATTTTTAGGTCGGTTGAGCAATATTTTTAGGTCGGATGAGCAATAATATTTTTAGGTTGGATGAGCAATATTTTTTTGATTGGTTGAGTAATATTTTTATTTCAGAGGTTATAATAGATGAGTAATATTTTTTTTAAATGTTTAAATATAAAATAAACATAAAAACAACAATTTTCAATTAAATTAGTATTTATTTAGGGTTAGGTTAGGTTAAGACACTTTCTGGGCCGAGCGCTGCGGCTAGGACAGGCTAGGGGGCCGAGCACTGCGGCCAGGAAAGACCTTTAATTCAACAATTTTTAATAAAATTAGTGTATATAGGGTTAGGTTAGGTTAAGCTCATTTCTGGGCCGAGCGCTGCGGCTAGGACAGGCTAGGGGGCTGAGCGCTGCGGCCATGGGTTAGGTTAAGATATATGACACTTTCTGGGCCGAGCGCTGTGGCTAGGACAGGCTAGGGGGCCGAGCACTGCGGCCACATGTCTTACATTTAATTGAAAATTGTTGAAAAAGTCATGTAAAAAAGCAGCAAAAATCGTTCTCTAGGAAATTACCAAATGATTTAAGTTATTTAGTATTATTTTAGGGTTAGGTTAGGTTGAGCTCAATTCTGGGCCGAGCACTGCGGATAGGACGGGCTAGGGGGGACCGAGCGCTGCGGCCAGGAAAGACCAATTTTATCCATGTTTTAAATATGAGATATGCATGTACAGGCCCCAACGGGTGTTGAGCCCCCCTCAAAAACCCCGTTTTATGCATTATACTGAAACAGTAGTGGTACAGTTCACAATTATGGCAATTATTGGTAAAACAACCTAAAAATATTGCTCATCCGTCCTAAAAAAAATTGCTCATCCGACCTAAAAATATTGCTCATCTGACCTAAAAATAATGCTCATCCGACCTAAAAATATTGCTCATCCGACCTAAAAATATTGCTCATCCGACCTAAGAATATTGCTCATCCGACCTAAAAAAAATTGCTCATCCAACCTAAAAATATTGCTCATCTGACCTAAAAATAATGCTCATTCGACCTAAAAATATTGCTCATCCGACCTAAAGATATTGCTCATCCGACCTAAAAAAATTGCTCATCCGACCTAAAAAAATTGCGTATCCGACCTAAAAATATTACGTATCCGACCTAAAATTATTGCTCATCCGACCTAAAAAATTGCTCATTCGACCTAAAAAAAATTGCTCAACCAACCTAAAAATATTGCTTAACAGACCTAAAATTGTCACTAATCCAACTTAAACTTGCTGGTAAATAGACCTAATATATATGCTCAACCAACCTAAATATATCTCTAAATCTTAGGTCGGAAAACCTATATATTTCTCATAGGATGTCAAACGGACCTAAAGCTTTTTTCAACCAAACCGACCTAAAACATGTGCAAACTACTCGATATTTAGGTCAGAAAACCTTTAGGTTAGAATCATCTAGGTCGGAATATAAGGCACCGATTATAACCTAAAGGTTTTCTGACCTAAATATCGAGTAGTTTGCACGTGTTTTAGGTCGGTTTGGTTGAAAAAAGCTTTAGGTCCGTTTGACATCCTATGAGAAATATATAGGTTTTCCGACCTAAGATTTAGAGATATATTTAGGTTGGTTGAGCATATATATTAGGTCTGTTTACCAGGAAGTTTAAGTTGGATTAGTGACAATTTTAGGTCTGTTAAGCAATATTTTTAGGTTGGTTGAGCATTTTTTTTAGGTCGGATGAGCAATTTTTTAGGTCGGATGAGCAATGATTTTAGGTCGGATACGCAATATTTTTAGGTCGGATACACAATTTTTTTTAGGTCGGATGAGTAATTTTTTCAGGTCGGATGAGCAATATATTTGTAGGTCGGATGAGCAATTTTTTTTAGGTCGGATGAGCAATATTCTTAGGTCGGATGAGCAATATTTTTAGGTCGGATGAGCAATATTTTTAGGTCGGATGAGCATTATTTTTAGGTCAGATGAGCAATATTTTTAGGTCGGATGAGCAATTTTTTTAGGACGGATGAGCAATATTTTTAGGTTGTTTTACCAATAATTGCCATAATTGTGAACTGTTTCAGTATAAATGCATAAAACGGGTTTTTTGAGGGGGGCTCAACACCCGTTGGGGCCTGTACATGCATCTCATATTTAAAACATGGATAAAATTGGTCTTTCCTGGCCGCAGCGCTCGGCCCAGAATTGAGCTTAACATAACCTAACACTAAAATAATAATAAATAACTTAAATCATTTGGTAATTTCCTAGAGAACGATTTTTGCTGCTTTTTAACATGACTTTTTCAACAATTTTCAAATAAATGTAAGACATGTGGCCGCAGTGCTCGGCCCCCTAGCCGCAGCGCTCGGCCCAGAAAGTGTCATATATCTTAACCTATCCCATGGCCGCAGCGCTCAGCCCCCTAGCCTGTCTATAGCCGCAGCGCTCGGCCCAGAAATGAGCTTAACCTAACCTAACCCTATATACACTAATTTTATTAAAAATTGTTAAATTAAAGGTCTTTCCTGGCCGCAGTGCTTGGCCCCCTAGCCTGTCCTAGCCGCAGCGCTTGGCCCAGAAAGTGTCTTATCCTAACCTAACCCTAAATAAATACTAATTTAATTGAAGATTGTTGTTTTTATGTTTATTTTATATTTAAACATTTAAAAAAAATATTACTCATCTATTATAACCTCTGAAATAAAAATATTACTCAACCAACCAAAAAAATATTGCTCATCCAACCTAAAAATATTAATGCTCATCCGAACTAAAAATACTGCTCAACCGACCTAAAAATATTGCTCCACTGACCTAATAAAATTGCTCAACCGACCTAAAAAATTTCTCAACTGACCTAAAAATATTGCTCATCCGTCCTCAAAATATTGCTCATCCAACCTAGAAATATTGCTCATCCGACCTAAAAATATTGCTTAACCGACCTAAAAATATTGCTCAACCGACCTAAAAATATTGCTCATCCGACCTAAAAATATTAAGCTTTTAACCGACCTAAAAATATTGCTTATAACCGACCTAAAAATATTGCTCATCCAATCTAAAAATATTGCTCATCCGACCTAAAAATATTGCTTAACCGACCAAAACATATTGCTCAACCGACCTAAAATTATTGCTCATCTGACCTAAAAATATTGCTCATCCGACCTAAAAATATTACTCAACCGACCTAAAAAATATTGCTCAACCGACCTGAAATGAATGCTTATCTAACCTAAAATTGTTGCTTTAACCAACCTAAAACATATATTCCCAACTGACCTAAAATATATCAATAACCGACCTAAATATATTTCCAATCTTTAGGTCAGTTTGGGACATTTCGCTAATCGAACCTACAGATTTTTAGGTCGGAAAAACGTTAGGTCAGAAAAACGTTAGGTTCGTTTCCTCTATTCGATGAGCAGGTACCGTGGATTCTCATTTGAACTATACTCCCGTTTGATCTATTGTTCATTTGAACTACTGACATGACCTCATATCCTGTAGTTTAAATCAACACTACTTGCTCATTTGAACTATTTTTCTACATAATTCAGTTTCTAAATTTTTTTAGATTCAAGTTAAGGACCATACAATTAATTAGTATAGCATATATAAATTGTTCAAATGAACATAAAAATAGCTTAAATGAACAAAAAAATAGTTCAAATAAAATAGTTCAAATGAAAAAATTACAAAAAAATGGTTAAATGTCCTAGAGAACGTTTTTTGGACCCCTAAAAAAATTGCGTATCCGACCTAAAAAAATTGCGTATNAGGTTAAGTTAAGCTCATTTCTGGGCCGAGCGCGCTGCGGCTATAGGACGAGCTAGGGGGCCTCGAGCGCTGCGGCCAGGAAAGACCTGTATAATTCAACAATTTTCAATAAAATTAGTGAATATTTAGGGTTAGGTTAGTTTAAACTCATTTCTGGGCCGAGCGCTGTGGCCGCTAGCACGGGCTAGGGGACCGAGTGCTGCGGCCATGCATGACAAATACTAATTTCCTGAAAAATAAAAAAAATGACCATGTACAAAATTGATAGGTTCTATTTTTATAATAATTTCAATTATTTTTATGTCCATTTTGAACTATTTTTTTGTCCATTTTAACTATTTTTATGTCCATTTTAACTATTTTTATGCCCATTTGAACATATATCTTTATGTTCATTTGAACTATTTTTATGTTAATTTGAACTATTTTTATGTATACATTTGAACTATTTTTTGTCCATTTGAACTATTTTTTTTGTCCATTTTAACTATTTTTATGTCCATTTGAACTATTGTTTTGTTCATTTCAACTGTTTTTATGTCCATTTAAACTATTTTTATGTTCATTTGAACTATTTTTTTTGTTTCTTTCAATATTAATAGTTAAAATAAACAATAATTCAAATGAACTGAAAATAGTTCAAATGACCATTAAATAAACTCGTTTGAACTATTGTTCATTCGACTATTCACGTGCAGTAGTTCAAACGAACATTAGTTCAAATGAACAATAGATCAAACAGGAGTAGTTCAAATGGGATAGCATCATAAAATTTATTTAATTGATAACATTATCCTCGCTGTTGTTTTCGGTTAAAATTCAAGCCTCTTTATCACTTGCATAAATAACTTTGTATTAAAGGGACACACCGGCTATGTAAGGTAGTTGAACTGAGTATGCAGTGTTGTGGAAAGCTTCTTTCGGATTCATTTGAGACATAAAAACTTTTTAAAGATCTGTAAATCCTGAGTTAAGCGCAAATTCGACGTTCAAAACTCCTATTTTGGGTGTGGATACTTTTTCAGAATCAGTTTTTTTTAAATTACTAAATAACGACGACGAAAAATGAAGTAAAAATCATTAAGTAATTTAATTAGATGGTTGTGAACATATTTCTCAAAAGAAATTTGTCATTAAATCAATGCTAGAATAAATTATTTCGTTTTCATCATTATATTGAATTTCTTTCATTTGCAGATTTCTTCAAATGTCGTCTTTTCAATAATGATTCCGGAAAATCTGCAGAAAATCTTTGTAAAAAAATAGAAACCAGACAAATGAGAAAATAGAAACTAATATTTAAACAAGATTACTTGTTTCCGATGATAAGATTAATTTTTATTTTCTCAACTGGTTCCTAAACAACTAATTAGTTTACTGTATAGTTTTGCTTACAAGTTATTAATAATTTTAGATAACCGATTCTGAAAACGTATCCACCCTCGAAGTACGAGTTTTTAACGTCGAATCTGCGCTCAAACTCAGGATTTACAGATTATGTCTCAAATGAATCCTAAAGAAGCTTTCCACAACACTGCATACTCAGTTCAACTACCTTACATAGCCAGTCTGTCCCTTTAATGTTGATGATTACATGATAAGGACAACACACAAGAACAATAAATAATAATAATAATAATAATAATAATATTAATAATAGTAATGACGACACTGATTGATACTGATAATTATAATAATAATAATAATAATAATAAAAATAACAATATTAACAATAATAATATATCCAAATTTGCAAAGAAATACTAGCTTACAAAATTATTTTTTATTTGTACGACAACATTAAAAAACTATAATTCCAAATAGGGTATATGCACATCTTCAACACATACGTAAAAAATGCACAGGGTCAAGTTAAGGAGATTTCGAACTGAATGAATTATTCTAAATTGACTGTAAATCTTAAGCAGCATTGAATAAAAACTTTTAAGGTGTATCCAACCAATACTCATTTAAAGTTTTGGTCTGGATAAAGCATAATGTAAAAAGCCTATGACCTAATTTTTACGTTAATTAAAATTCACAAATTACAAACTCCACAGATTAAAAAAGCAATCTTGCTTAGATCTTACTTGGCATAATACTTTTAAAAAATCTTATTGTCTAAAAGATTTCCATCATACCATTATTTGACTTATGAGATTAATATTTTATACAGTTCTCATTTAAAAACAGATTGTTAAAATATAGTTTAAATGTGAGAAAATAATCTTTCATGCTGAGTTATAAGGGGTCAAATAGTTGTAGTTAGGTTCTCGAACAGTTCCAATTGATTGAATGATCATGGATTGTGGAACTCCGATTGAAATCGGTTTGGAATAATTTTTGTATTAGTGAGTAAGCTTGCAGCTTCTGCATCCGCCTCAGCATTGTTTGCGTACATCTTGCGTCCAAGCACAAATCCAAATTCTTTCACCTGCGTTTTAAAAGATAAATATAAATGTATGATAAAAAGTATTTTGCGTTACATTTACAAATATTCATTACATAAAAGTTATTATGTACCTTGGCTTGCTCCTTTCTCATTTCCAAATCCGCCCACCTCACCTAGGAAAGAAAACGATAGTATCTATAAAATTATTGTTAGACAAAGACAACTTATCATTATTTCTTTTAATATTTTCTATATCTTTGTCCGTCTGTTTGTCTCCATAATTCTATCTCTTAAACTTTTTAATAATATTCTCTTCTCCTAAATAATATCAATCAAATACGAGTGGAATATGAATATGTCGAATTGCTTGAAGTTTTTCTCCTTAAATGTAAGTTTATAAAGAATTTTTTAGTAAGTTAAAATGAAGACTTAAGTTTGATTTTTATTCTAGATGCAGTTTGAATCTCAGATATTTTGAAATTAACATGTCTTCTTCTTAGTTTTAGGCCAGACATCTTTGCGACAATAAGTTAGGATTTTAAAAAGATTTTCCTACCCTCTTCTTTCCGTCGTCTTTCTTAGAATAGTTGTCTCCAATCTCCAACCAGTCCTCTATACTTGTATGCTGCTGATCTAGACGTTTCTTCACCTTTTCTCCAGTTCCATCCAGCCGAGCTGAAATATATCTAATCAATTAATCAAGCAATATTATAATTATGCTCATTTAAAAATACAAAAAATATTGTTCAAATCAAATCATAACTTGATTAGGGCTAACAAAAAAGAGGCTGTTTGCGAGTACTAATGAAAGCATGGCAGTTTCATGAAATCTTTCAATATTTTCGGAACAGTCTCTTTAGAACGAGGAGTGCACATACACTAAACTTACCGAGTTTATCTTCTCTATCCATTATTTCCCATTTACTAGTCTTTAGAAAACTAGTTTCTTCTGTGTCCTGAGGGGCAAACATTTTCCAGATTATGTACATACGTTCAGTTTACATGTACAATCGTCAATATCAAGTACAGTGCATACATACATATATGTAATAAATTTTTCTTATACATTTTAAAATACGAAATTGTTACTATTTAAGTATTGTTTTATAATATTATTGAATCGTCTGTCACCTATGTAAATTGAGTATTAAGATAATGAAGCAATTACTATACTATGCACATTGTACATATATTATATACATATATTATTATAAAATGTTGAAAACTACTAAAGTTAAAATAGACCAGGAAAAGTTCAGTTTCTTGGTAATTCTTTTTAAAAGAAAAAATAGCATGTTCACCAAACATTTCCCCATTGGAAAACGTTTTGGTTCTAATGAAGCAAATATTAAGCAGTTAAAACAACGTGAAGCTTTCTTAAAGATTATATTTAGAAAGTTATTATTGAATAATTTAAAGAAAATTTCTCAGTTAACAAGTATTCATTTGAATCCTTGTGTCCCATTACCTCCTCCTCTTCCTCATCATCATTCTTTACAACTTCTTCTTTAACATCAACGGTCTGAACTTCTTCAACCATCTCAATACTGTCGATAGCGTCGTCCTTAACAACCAAAATTATTAAATTCTTAAATTTTCAAAATTCGTTTTTTTTGGGATGAAATAGAACAGATTTCAGGTCCTTGATTCAGATCCAGATTCTGGGTATCGGTTAGGATCCAAATTTCAGGCCCATGGTCTAGGTCCCTTGTTTGGACCCAGATTTCGAATTTTTTTAATCACATGGCTGACCCAGAAATCCAGTATCCTAAGCACTGGCCATAAATATATCTATTAACCTGCAGTACAGAACTTATATCCAGAGTGTTCATATGAGAAGGAGTTTTCTCCCAAGTCTTCTTCAGCTGTTTAATCTAAAGAGAACTATTTATTGAGTCCAACCTCTTAATTGTTTAAGTTTTGCAAGTTTTAAATTCCAAAGATTTCCTGTTCTTCTAGAACTAAAAGGAACGTTAACTTTGAAATCTTGATTGACTAAAATATACTGGCTCTGTGATTTCAAGTGGCCAATGACCACCCATATCAAGGGGTAATGTCCAATTTACAGTGGTACCTTTAACACCAAGGGTGGTCCATAAGAAAATTTATTTACTGTACAAAAAGAATTTTGGAATACACAATAAATTTGATTTCGGTAGCTAAAAACTGGTTTGGCAGGGTGTTTACAAACAATCTAATTAGGCTACTGTCAAAATAATATCTTCAGTTTCAATATGAGAAGTGAGATTTCTATTCTTTTAAAGCAGATCTATTTACTATAATTCCCTTTTTCGTCCGTTTGTTTATTCGTTTATTCCCTGTCTTAGAATACTGGGTTCAATTTAATGCGTTGGTTTGTGTCCAGTTTCGGATGCGTTTGTTGACAAAAAACCACTATACATTCGTACAGACACCGAAACTGAGTTCATTGTGAATTAAAGAATTTGGTGTATTCTGAGTACAAAAGTACTTTTGGCCTTACCTTACCTTGCTTAAAACCATTATCTGATTATTGTTCTGGTAGATATCGTCATTTCTTCAGTTTAAATTTTTTTTAATTTCCTTCATTGTTTTTGTCACATAAATCCTCAACTCACTTAGATAAGTCAGTCCCAAGGGAAAATCGAAAATCACATTTCAAAGATAAAAACATGGACATCTCTATTAATCTTGATTACACAATGCTTAAAGGAAATCGTTGTGAATCGGACATGCCACTGTAAAAAATGGAGGGTCTTTTGATACTACGTCTTTAGTCCTTTACAAAAATGTGTTACCTCCTCTTCTGTGCGTTTATGTATATTGTTTGCTAAACATTTCTCCAGGTCGGCCTCTACTTCACAAATATAAACCTGAACATCATTAAAATCAATACCAATACCAATACCAATACCAATACCAATACCAATACCAATACCAATACCAATACCAATACCAATACCAATACCAATACCAATACCAATACCAATACCAATACCAATACCAATACCAATACCAATACCAATACCAATACCGACGAACTCGAACTCGAACTCGAACTCGAACTCGAACTCGAACTCGAACTCGAACTCGAACTCGAACTCGAACTCGAACTCGAACTCAAACTCAAAATCAAAATTAAAGCATGAGGCAAATCATAAATTGTTTCACAAGCTCAAGACCACATGTTCGTAAATTATGGAGTAGATTTGTTTTGTTTACCTCGAATCCGTTCTGTTTGGCATGACTCCACATATTCTTGAAATGATCAACTTTATGATTGATGCAATCAACTACATTAACATTTTATTCATTATCTGAACAGCATTTAACCACTTTTCTTCTTCTACCAAAGCTGGTTATGTTGTGTTATGTTATTATTTAAAATGCTGGAAATAATTCGTTTAAGTTCCCCACTCGATGAGGATTTCAAATTAAAGACTTAAATGTTATCTTATCAATTCATTTCAGACAACTGGGGTTCAACTTTTAAAGTGACAGAATGAAAAAATGCGCAGTACTGTACGTACAAACTTCCACCCCCCCCCCTCCGGCCCCACCCCTTCCTAGAAAAAAGGTCGTGGAGGCAAAGTATAGAAGTACTTTGCCAGATTACATTCAGCTTTCAGAGAAGCAACAACTAGGTGTTAAAAGGCGCTTCTTATAGTATTCAGAGATACAGGGTGAGAGAAATAAAATGGCAAACTAGAGAAACTTTAACCAGGGGTGTATATGGGGGCCGGGTATAGACCCTTGCACACAAATGGAAAAGAAATAAACGGAACTACAAAAAACATTGAAGGCCCGAATTAATTTTTAACGCTGTATTACACTGGATAATGGAAGATTTTTACCTAGCTGGATCCAGATTTTACTACCGGCAGCTTTAAAATACTCCTTAATAACAAGCCTGAGAGGGAATTTAAAGAATTTGAGCCGCGGTTTAAAACTGCCCAAACCCGGTTTAAATTAAGCGCCGGCTTAAATCTTGAAACATTTGATACAATTTTAAGTGGAACCAACCATATTTAAGCCGCCGCTCAAATTCTTTAAATTCGGCCACGGGTTTGCTATGTCCGAACTCGTCTGAAAGACGCTAACTCTTTCGATTGAATCTGGTTCTATGAATAAGCATCAAGGGAGCTCAGAACAGTCAGGTTCTTATACAACTCTCTCCAGTTTCTTGTGGCTGAAACGAATCCTGTGTTAAATAACATGCCAGAACACCCTACTTGGAAAAAAAGAAAAGAAAATAATAGTGCAGAGAAGGAGGGGTTTCTCTCTCTCTCTTCCCCCTCCCAGTTTATACTCTGCCGGCTGCGAGGAAAAGATAGCTGTAGACAAGGCTTTATTCTGAAGCACTGTCTGAGATGAACTTCAAGAATTCTTTTGTCAAAAATATCCACTCCTTTCCTAACCTTTCTTATCCCATTTGTCATTATTAAGGCGGAATTCTGACAATGGATAAGCTAAGAATTTTCAAACCCCGCTTAGCAGTGACTTTTATTTTTTTCAACTTGCAAGAATATAATAAATATGTCTCCCGAGCTTTCCTGGTTAGTTAAGCATAGACCCTGTATCATGAAAAGCTGGAATGCTTAGTGTGACCAGACATAAACGGTGCTATGTTAACGCCTCACCACGCAAATGCCTCAAAAAACGGACTCATAAAACTTGCTAGGGGCCTGAGCCCTGCGGCCATGGCTGTGAAAATTGTTAGAATATAGTCTTTTTAATTTCAAGTTGAGGAAAGACGACATTAAATTAGTTTTATGAGTCCGTTTCTGTGAGGCATAAACAAGAGGGTAACAATCAGAAATATGTGTCAAAATGCATTTTTCCCCTTGTTTACAAGAGATTAGAATGCGTAGATCTAAAAAAGAAGAACAAAACAGATGTATGATCAGAGAAAAAGGAGATATAACAGCCAGAGAAAAAATTCACTGCTCTTTTTAAATTTTGTTAAAAAGAAGTACTCTGCAATCTGCATATCAAAGCTTAATATTAAAAGACCAGTTTGCACGATAGAGATAACACAAATTACGAATTAAGAATGAGAATAAAATGTTTCCTATCAGGAATGAGAAGTATCCACCGTCAATATTCTTCTTGAAGCTTTTAACTAAACAATCCCTGTAGGAGTCCTCTAGATCTTCGTCATACTCATACTAATAACAGAAATTATTTTGGTTCATCACATCAATAGGACTAAAATAAATATTAATAAAACCTTACGCAGAGTTCTTTTGATTCATAATAATTTTTAAGGAGAATAAAGCCTATAAAAAGAATGAATACTTAATATATAAAATAACTCTACCTGTCCATCTGACATAAAGTAATCATCCAGAGCCATAACACGAGGTGGGTCAGCTCCTTCCTCCGTTTCCTTATCCTTAACTAACCTGAACCATTTAAAGGATTAGAGAGGGATAAACAGGATATGGAAATTCTTACCATCAAAATATGAAATCATGTTAAAATACTAAATTTAAATAATTTGAAAAATTATCCGATCTTAGTGCTTACTTGGCCACGTGACTTTTTCCAGCTCCAGGTAGTCCTCTGAGTATGATGACCAGCCTAGGGGGCCGGGTATATCGACCCGGGGGGGATACAAGGTCATCAAGATGGACCTAGAACAATATGATGTATCATAGCTGAAGAACATAATTAAAATATTAAAAACCTTTCTAAAACTTATTAATGTAATTAAAGTCATATTCTTTCTATATCAGGGCTTTTCAGTCAGAATTGGCACAGCCTTAACGTCAGACTTACGACCATATAAAGCCATGATATCGATCTGCAGATCAGATCAGGTCAGGTCAGATCTGACTAAATACTAAGAAAAAATTACCGAAAAAATACTTGAAGAATGCAAACATGGTGGAAAGTACATTTTTGCTGGATTTTTATGATAAAATTTATGTCAGATGCGAAAGTTTATGAAAATATTGAGTATTCGAAAATAGGGTTTCACCTTTTTGCCGGCAGGAGGAGCTGGAGCAGGTGCTGGGGGCGGAGCTTCCCATTCATCTAGAGAAATCATCAATCTTTTAACCAAGACTGTACGAGAGCTTAAGTGTAGGGGGGGGGGACGCTATGCGCGCTTTTTTTGTGTTTACTTTTTTTGACAAACTTACAGATTAGTTTTTTTATATATATCAAAGAACCGTGTATCTTTCATACTTAGCCTTTGCTTGGTTAAGAACATGTATTTGTTGATTATATATCAGATTTGTGAAGGAAATTATATTTTGCCAAAAACTCCAAACTCAAATCTGTCCAACCCGATGTTGTAGATTTTTGATATTTCAAACTATGAATTTTATGAGCTATGAAAAAGCCCAAATTTGAAATAACACCATTAGGTTTCAAAGAAATAGGGATTAGCAAATTTAAGTTTGCGGCAAACACTTAGTTCCTTTCTTGATAAATCTTTCCACCTTTCAAAGATAATGTTTCCTCTCAGAAATTAGATATGTTTGCGCGGAGCAGCAAAAAAACGTGTAGGGTTTTATTTGCTGAATATTTGGGTATGAATTGTAATAAAAAGGATAAAAACATGCCTTTTGAAATAAAGTTTATTTTCTCCATAATAAATCAAAAATCATAATTTATTACAGAAGTTAGGTTTGTTTGCGTGGAATATCATAGTAATTTTAATAGTTTTAATTGCTGAAATTTTGATTAAAGAATTAAAAAGGATAGAAATTTTCAGGGGTTTACTTGCTGAATTTTTGTTGCCAAACCACTTATTTTTAATTTTTTTCCCCACATCATATAACATCATTTCACAGTTGAGACCCCCTATGCGTGCCCCCCCCGTAGGGGGCACTTGCACCCAGTGCCCCCCCCCCTCGTACACCCCTGTTTTAAACCAATTCTATATAACTATTTACCCAGATTATCCTCAATGATTCCATAATGACTTGCGTGGCAAAAAAAGAAGAAAAAAAGAATTATGATAAAAATTTACTTGAATAGTTGCTGATACTCGAACCAGGTCCTCTGTATCCGGGACCATTAGGAGGATATCCACCTCCTCGAGAAGGATATCCAGGTCCGGCATCCGGATACCCAGCACCTGTGGATGAAAATCCACGGCCGCTTTCGGAATAACCAGGGCCTCTGCTTGGATATCCGGGACCATTATCTGAATATCCAGGTCCACCAGCTGGATATCCAGCTCCACTTTCTGAGTATCTATTACCGGGTGGATAGTCAGTATCGTACCCAGTTCCGTATTCAGAGTTTCCGGTTCCATATCCACCTCCTTCATATCCTTGTTGATAATCTTGTTCATGGTATTGAGACCCTCGGCCTGAACTGGAGGACTCAAAACAAGCTTTAGGTTCATCCCTATGCCCCCAGTCAAAGGTCTGAGGTTTAAACTCCAAAGATTTAAAATCTTCCTTCCTAAAATACAAAAAATAATGTAGATGAATAAAAAATACATGCTTGGATAAACTTGGCTTGTGCAAGCTAAGAAAATCACATGCGCGGCTCATGGGCATATTTAGGGGCATAAATTGCAACATATTAAATATTTTCTCTTAAAACTGTTCCGAGTTTTTGAAGATCTAACACTATCAGGGATATCATTCCAAAGTTAAGAAGCTCTAATACAAAAAGAGTGTTTTCTCTTTCAATACTTGATATGATCAACATTTCATTACTTTATTGTACAGGAGTAGATTAGATTACAAAATCAAAAAATAACATGCAATGAAGGGATTGCCAAATATTCATTAGGTCGAGCCTCAGGTAAATACCCGATAATTTAGATGTATAGAGGGACTGTGAACTATGTAAAGGAGGATGGGATCTATGTATTTAAGGAGGATGGGATCTATGTAGCAGGGGAGGATGGGATGTATGTAGTAAAGGAGGATGGGATCTATGTAGTAAAGGAGGTGGGATCTATGTAGTATGAATACCTAAGACTAGGGGGAGGAGCGGGAACATCTGAAGCATAATCCTTGACTGCAGTTGGGTTCCAAGAATAGTTATAACTAGATCCCCTGGAACCCACATCATCTCTTATTCTCGAGTTACGTTGAAACAAATCTTCTTCACGAATGTTTGAGTCCTGATTGTATTGGTTGGGTCGACCAGGAACAGGACTGTCAAACATGTCCTCGGAGTTTAAAATGTCTGATAATCCTGAATGTGTATTTTAATTAATGGGAGAAACATTTAACAAGGCTTGGAACATAATGCTAATAGTGGTATCTTATTGAGTATTTCAATTAGTACTTTAATTACTTGAGATAATATTAAGATTTGAAATTGAATTATCTAATCTAAATGAAACATGGTTCCGACCTGGACCCTGCCGTATCCAACTAGACTTTCGTAAATTATCCATTCGTTCGATCTCTCCTAGGCCCTCCATCAGACTTGGTGCATTCTCAGTTAACCTAATAAATAAATAAATAAATCCACCAACCAACCAACCAATCAATCATTTCTCTGCTTAAAAAATAAATATTCTGTAGATTCTTAGAGGAAGAACAATAAACCAAGAAAAGAGGAATCCGGTGTCCGAATTTAATGAATTTAAGCCGCGTCTTAAATCCCCAAAAAACTGGTTTCAATTGAGCGCCAGCTTAAAAACTTTAAAAATTGAATACAATTTTAAGTGGAACCAACAGTATTTAAGCCTCGGCTCAAATTCTTTAAATTCGGCCTCTGTTGACTTAACTTCCTAGGTCCGTTCTATCTTTTCAAGACCTTTTCAATAAGATTATGAAATGTGAATACACAAAATGCCGACTAACAACCCTGTCAACCAACTTACCAATCCATCAACCAACTAACAAGCCAAACCAACCAACCAGCCAACCAATAAAAATTGAGTATTACATCTAGATAAAGCAAGACTAATAATAATAACCTTCGTCTAAGGGCAAGCAGAGAGTTAGCAGTAGAGGCATTGTTCATGTTGTTCATAGCCATACCACCCGTGTTGTTCATATTTCTACTCTCGTTCATGTTGTTCATGCCCATACCTCTCATATTTCCCATGTTACCCATATTTCCCAAATTCGAAGTTTCCATGTTGTTCAGGTTTCCTCTCATGTTCATGTTGCCCATGTTGCCCATGTTGCCCATGTTGCCCATGTTGCCCATGTTGCCCATGTTGCTCATGTTGCTCATGTTGCCCATGTTGCCCATGTTGTTCATGTTGCCCATGTTGCCTATCTTGTCCATGTTATGTATACTGCCCATGTTGTTCATGTTGTTCATATTGCCCCTCATGTTCATTAGATTTCTCGTATTCCCTTCCATGTCTTCATCCAAGTCCATCATTTCACCGATTCCTGGCATATTCTAAACAAAAAACAGCTGATCACTTTCAAATAGAATTTTTTTAATTCTTCAACACATAGAATTAACTATCCATCTCCCTCCATTTCATGATGTTTTTGCTTGTCTAGTTTTAATTATGAAAAAAATGTCGTACCTTATTTTCAGATTCTCCCCATCTGCTTCTTTTCACCTAATAGAATTTGAAAACAATTAGATGTGAATTTAAAAACAAGTTCAGCCAGAGGGAAAATTTATCAAAAAAGAGAAGTAGTTCAATTAGCCAACAAATTCTACCTGATGAGAATAATGAAAAAATGAGATAAATCAAACACTTCTGCTAAATTCATGATTTTGAATTTGATTTTGATTTGTTCTAGCTTACCCTAGAATAGTCTGGTTGTTGCTGTTGCTGTCGTTTATTATTCTCAACTGCAGTTTCCTCGTCCGAATCCTTTTCGTAAAATAATAAAATTACTTTTCTTAATTTCCTCTGTTTTAAAAAATTGACTGGTAAGTTATTTTTAAACAAATTATATCACAAATCAGATCAAATCAGATCAAATCAGATCAAATCAGATCAAATCAGATCAAATCAGATCAAATCAGATCAAATCAGATCAGATCAAATCAGATCAAATCAAATCAGATCAAATCAGATCAAATCAGATCAAATCAGATCAAATCAGATCGAATCAGATCAGATCAAATCAGATCAAATCAGATCAAATCAGATCAGTTCAAATCAGATCAAATCAGGTCAATTCAATTCAATTCAATTCATAAGATTTAGGGATTGCTTTAGGCTCCTTTATACAGGGTGAGGTTTCAATTCACAAATCAGATCAAATCAGATCAATCAGATCAAATCAGATCAAATCAGATCAAATCAAATCAGATCAAATCTGATCAAATCAGATCAAATCAAACCAAACCAAATCATGAGATTTGCGGCTCCATGTGTACAGGACAGAGTTGTAATTCTTTCCTGCTCAGTTATTAATTCAATCTGCTAACAAAGATCCCAGTAGCCCGACCAAATTTTAGCCAAGCTACCATTTAGAAGTAGCCATAATTTAATTTTCTGCCTAACATATTTTATATACAAATGATGGGTTACAAAACTCACGCATAATAATCCCTTGGAAAACTTACCTCCGAGTTATTTAGAATCTTCTTGGCAATCTCAGCAGCATCATCCTTGCTGGTGTTCAGGGGAGCAGACTAAAACAGATATAAAAATATAAATATAATTTGATAATCTCCTGAATTATTTCAATTTGGCTCTCAAAACTTAAAATTACAATCTTAGATACCACCATTGTTAACATTGATGAAAGCTTTTAGGGAAAAAGAAATAGATCTAAGTCACTTGGAAGGGTAAAAGCCCTCTGAAGTTTAAATATTTTTAGCAAAAAGGAAAAAAATTCTGAAAGCTAACTTCAATATTAACAATATTAGCACTGGTGGACGGTGGTATGTATTTGAAATCGCACTGCTAGTTTTAGAGGGTCGAAATGGAACACCCTTTTTTCAACATCGTAATTTGGTTTGAAAATTGTGATTTGTGATCCATCCTTTAAGTATCACCTGGAATGTTACAGGCTCAACTTTCTTTGGTGTACTGTCCTCGTTCCAGGCCTCCAGCATCTTCTTCCTCTTGGCGTGGGCAACCTCGAGGCTGTTCCTCTTCTCCAACAGCTTACATCGCATTCCCTCCATCACCCTAAAAATATTTATCAGTAAAAAAATAGATTCTCAAATCAAGAATTGTGGCGAGTTGCTCCGACAACAGAAGGGAGGTTCAAGTCCCAAATTAAATCAGCGTCCTAACAATCACATATCCACCTCAAGATGAATCTACTTGAATCTATTATTAATCAAGGAATTGTGGATTTTCATCCCGGACAAAGTTTTTTAAATGTAATTTGCCGTTTAACTTTATAAAGTTACCTTTGGTAGTCGTCAACATATTTTCTGTCCGGGTTAGAGATATTTTGGCTTTTCCAAATATTATATGAAACCTCCCACTTCGAGAACATATCGTCAAATGCTTTCAGCTCGTTGTTCTCTTTGTTTTTAGACACTTCTAAGCTTTTACTGTCAGTGTCTCCTAAAATATATTAAATTAATAACACTTTCAGAAAATTTACTAAACTTTCAACAAGTCATTTAAATAACACGAACCTTTTTGAATCGAATCTTTTGAAGATCCCGGAGCTGGATGATCTGTTTCCTCTTCCAATCCTGGGATTTGATCCGAAGAAAGATTGGTTTTCTTTCCTCCAAGCCAGTACTTCATATTGTTATCAGACTCCTGGATATACTTATCCTCCATAGCTTTCAGCCGCTTAGAGTCGTTATCGTTTAGGACGGGTTGGACAGGGTTCGTAGAGGGTTCCAGAGCCTTCCCGCACTTCTTACAGTTGATCCGACTGTATTAAACAATTTTAAACAATCAAAATACTGACGTCAACAGTCAACATTGAGTATCAATAAATTAAAATGATAAACAGTAAAAATTAGAATTTAATCAAAGGTAAGGTATAAAATAATTTGTCTATATGTGGGACTGTCAGCGTATCCAATATATAAATAATATTCAAACCTGGGAAAATTGTAACTTTTGCATCTTGTGCAGTCCCATCCTCCTTTGACTTTTGCCAATGCTTGGCACCTAGAACAGTTCTTCCGACCAGGTGCATTGTACATACTACATTTAAAACAATCCCATCCTTGCTCAGCCTCCGGGGGGTACAAAGACTTCTTCTCTTTGCACTTGTAGCACTCTTTTCGACTAAACAGATATGTTTTGTTAACTTTCTTTTTACAAATATTTGGATTGAGGCCCCTTCCAATTAAGTTTTCAAGTATTTCCAGTGTATTAAAGGGACTGTGGGCCTAATGTTCAGTAAACCTCTATTTATTAAGTGTCTGATCAAGACTGCGTGGAATATCCGGAATTTTTTAATTGAATTTTTTTCTTCAACTGTGGTTTCACTATTAAGTGATTGCCTCATAAACAATCGAGACATAAACACTTTTACAAGTTAGAAAAACGACAATATCTTCATTAGTATTGATCAAAAAAGGTTTAAAGGGTAACGATGTAAATAATACATAACCTTTTTTACCTGTAATACCATTTTAAACTACAACAACGGTAACTTTACTGAATAAAATCAATAAAATACAAAAAAAGAATGAGTCCCACCTGGCAAAGTTGTGATTTTCACATTTTGGACAAATCCAATCTCCAGGTTTTAACGCCTTGTTTCTCGACTTATCTGCCATTGCAGCCTTTGACTTATCTGCCATTGCAGCCTTTGACTTATCTTCCATAGCAGCCTTTGGCTTATCTTCCAAAGCAGCCTTTGGCTGTTCGACAGGAGGCAAGGAGCCGTCTAGGAAATATTTAAAGTAGAAGTAATCGTGCACGGAGGTTATCGTGAATCGTAAATTCATTATAGCTATTTTTTTATATTTATTATAATACCCTTAGATATGGGTCCTTGGAGGCAAAACAGTGTTAAGGATTTCTTTAGGCATTTAATCATTCTTTAAATTTAAAAAAAAAATGAGTTCGTTCAATAAAAACAGAAACAAGTCTGCAGTACACTAACTCCTGTCATTTTTTTTTTCATAAACTTTGTTACAAAAATATTAAGTTTAAGAGGAACATATGATACCGAAAACAAATTAAATATCTGTTTATCCAATGCAATGTTTTAACAATGCTTCTAAAATTAATGTGACGCTATTACTTCTACGTATATTAAGTGTTTGTTACCTCTTAAAGTTTTGCATTTCCAGCAGTCGTTTCTTAAAAAGTTTTTCCTTGAGCACTTAGAGCAAATCCATTCTTTATCTGACAGACTATTAGACTTTTTAGGAACAAAATCTTCCTTAGATTCACCATCCTTGTTATTCCGGTTTGGAAAACCACCTCTAGAACCACCTCGACCTGGACCTTGAGCTCCTCGCCCAGGGTTACCAAGATTACTGCTTTGAATGTTTTTCAGAGAACCTTGTCCATCCCCTCTTTTCTGACCTTTAAACCAGTCCGCAGGTTGGTCGTTGTAACTAGAATCTACGTCCTGATGGTATCCTTCATCTCCCCATTCATCTTCTTCATTATAATTCTCATAATCTTCATAGGTATTGTAGTCTTCATTCCCTTCGTCATAATATTCTCCTTGATTTTCACCACCTTCATAATAATCTTCACCTTCATTGTAATTTTCTTCATCATCGTAATTCCTGTTAAATCTATCGTTGAATGCTTCATCATCATTGAATTCATCATTATAAAATTCTTCATTTGATTTCTCCTGCTGGAAATTAATATCAAAATTTCCCTCTTGACTTAAATCTTTATTCTGAAAGTTTCCCCCACGTGAAAAGGATTCACCTCTTCCTCTGCTGAAGGAAGTGTTCCGATCCATATAATTTGACGGATTTCCTCTTCCTCTTGCGAATGGAATTTCCTCTCTTCCCCTGTCAAACGAAGACTCTCCTTTTCCTCTATTGACTGAACTATTTCTTTCCATTGAATTTGAAGCGTTACCTCGTCCTCTTGCAAATGGAACTTCACCTCTACCTCTACTGGAAACAGAGTTTCTTTCAAACGAATTTGGCGCCTTTCCTATACCTATTGCACCCGGAGCTTCACCCTTCTTCAATGACGAATCATCTCTTTCAAATGAAGTATCTCTTTCCATAGACTTTTGCGCAATTCCTCTACCTCTTCCAAATGGAATACTTCCCCCTCCCCTTCCTCTATTTATCAGAGGTTCACCTCTTCCCCCACGAAATGAACTTTCTTTTTCCATTGAATTATGAGCATCCCCCCCTCCAGTCATGAAGGAGGCGTCATTTCTACCTCTAGCAAAGAAAGGAGTTCCTCGTCCTCTCGCAGATGCAGATTCATCCCTTCCACCCACAAGATTCCCATTACCTCTTCCTCTTCCCCTTCCGATAGGACTGTTTTGCCAATGACCTGCTCCCGGTGGATTTGATTGGTTGAACTCGTTGATAGGACTGTTTTGCCATTGACCTGCTCCCAGTGGATTTGATTGGTTAAACTCGTTTTTAAAACTGTCTTGTTCTACAGCTGGCTTATCCCAACGATTTGTTTTTTGCCATCCTCCATCTTTGCCTCCTTGATTCTGGTTAGAGCTACTGTTCTTCTCCTGGTTAGGTGGAGGGGGTGGGGGAGGTGCCACAAGTATTTCCATCAAACCTTTCGGCCGATTTTCCGTGGCATTGGTAGTTTTGGCATTCCCTGTGTTTCCAGATGAGGGTGGAGGGGGAGGAGGGGGTTTAGTCTCCGTTAAAACAGGAGGTTTACTGTAACTAGGAGTTCCAATAGGAGTAGGAGGATTACTCATCCCTGACAAAGGAGGTTGAGTAGCGGCGGGTGGCGGGGGTTTAGGTTCGCTAGGTGGTGGAGGTGGTGGTTTCTGTCCAGGCAGAGGGGGGTTAGATGCACTGGGTGGAAGGGGGTTCGGTGTTCTTGGAAGAGGAGGGTTTACTCCTTTGGGTAGAGGAGGATTTCCAGCCCTTGGCAATGGAGGATTCCCACCTTTGGGTAGAGGAGGGTTCGATCCTTTTGGTAAGGGTGGACCTGGTCTTGAAGAAGGTAATGGAGGAGCTGTGCTGTTCAACAGTGGAGGTCTGGGACCTCCAAATCTTTGTTGAAACAAATTGTTTCCGGTTTGCCATTGATTAAACTGCTGATGGTTCGCAAAGCCCTTTAAAATAATGAACAAAAGTTAATAAACTTATAAATAAACAATGGTGTTAATCTTTAAAAAATAATTATTTTAAAAACAAGTAAGTTTTTGCGATATAATTGTTAAAAATCAATATAAGGATTTTCCTAAAATTGATGTTCCCAACCTGCTGAGTTTGTTGAAAGTTGTTGAGGTTTCCCTGAAACTGGTTGAACATGTTTCCCATGAGGTTTGGAATATTACCAGGAAATCCTGGATTCCAATTCCCTCCTCCCCCATTCCACATTTCTGTCTGGAAAGTCGGTAAATATAAAATAAATAGGTGGAAAATATAAAATATGAATATATGCAATTTATAAGATTAAATGAGATTATCACAGAATATTTATCACTTAAATCATAAAATGAAAAATATGAAGAGAAATAGATTCCTTTACCGTCCATGGGAAATTATTACAGTAAACTGTTACAATGTTTACAAACTACAATACAATTTAGTAAAATAATGTTTATGTTTTACGTATTTAAAATAAAGAGATTAAACGTTTAAATCGATTGTTCGGACGGAAAAGCATAGGCCCTTAAATAAACATTTGTTTCCTTCTGGATAATATCCCGCCAAAAAAAGAAAACATTCTGAACGGAGAAATTTCATTAACTTAAACTAATAATAAACTTTAATTGTGCAGTATAGGAAGGTATGACTGGCATCATGATTGAATTATGCAAAATCATGTTATATCGGAAGATCATGATATTCAGGTGCTGGTATTTAGGACTGGTTTGCCTGCAAAGTAACCAGGTCTCCAATATACAGCGCAGCAGTCTTACGAACCTCAATATCCGGATCCTAGAGGATAAGCACTATATAGATACTTAATTATACAATGGTTAACAAAAATCCCTAGGAGAAAAAATTGTATTTTTTTTTACAACTTCTCTTTGTGTATATTTTACTGTAGCCTGGTTTCCGCACATTAAGTAAATCTAATGTTCCTTCTAGATCCCCTGTCTTCCTCCTAGAACTCCTGTGTTCCTCCTAGAACTCCTGTATTCCCTATCTTGAGCAAATCTAAAGTTCCTCCAAGAACTCCTGTATTCCTACCTTGAGTAGATCTAATGTTCCTCTAAGAACTCATGTATTCCTACCATGACTCTTGAGTAGATCTAATGCTCCTCCAAGAATTCCTGTATTCCTAACCTTGAGTAGATCTAATATTCCTACCTTGACTCTTCAGTATATTTAATGTTCCTCCTAGAATTCCTGTATTCCTAACCTTGAGTAGATCTAATATTCCTACCTTGACTCTTGAGTAGATCTTATGTTCCTCCTAGAACTCCTGTATTCCTCCTAACCTTGAGTATATCTAGTATTCCTCCTAGAACTCCTGTATTCCTTACCTTGAGTAGATCTAGTGTTCCTCCTAAAACTCCTGTTATCAGCTCCTCATCGAATCCATCCTTATCTCCAGGAATAAGACCAGGCTTACAAAGAACCTTGCTTAGCAGAATTACAGCGTTTCTCCTTAATGTGTGGGTAAGAACGTAAAGAGATTTTACAAAAGAAAAAAGTGCAAAATTAAAAAAAGGAAAAGAGTTCTTTATCTTGTATTTATACTTAAATTATGAATCGTGGTTTCAAATCGAATCATACTTTACAGAGATTGCTTTAGACATCCTTTGGGGGGAAGGGGGGGGGGGGGTTGACCATGCAGCCGTGAGCCCAGCAATATCCTGTTCGAAACCATGTAATTGTGAATCATAAAAGAATTAAAATATCATGATTTTTTACTTTCTACACATTTTTGTATGAATGATTTTACCTATCACCTATTGTTCACTGTGAACAGTTGTAAGATCTGTGGATCTTTAAATTCTTTATAAACTATTATGTGTTCAGAGAGTTCAAAGTCGAGAAGTTCTCCAGCTTATCCTACAGAGAACCCCTATCTTCAAGCAACTAATCCTACAAATCTCTACAATTACATTGAATACATTAACGTTCAAATTGTTAATCTAAGATTTTAATGTAAACCTTTTTTAAATGCCTATTTTATAATCTTGAAATTGAGTCTAATTCTATAACTGGATACATGTTTTAAAGACTGTAAATAATTTTTATAAATGCTTAAAAGCTAGCCACTCCATTTAAAATATTGGTTAGTTGCATCCTTCTGATCTGCTTTCGATCTCTTTCTCCAGGTTTATAAATCATCCGTGATTTAAATATTCACATGAAAACTTACTCCATGTTGCTTGATTCTTTTCTAACGGATGGTTTATATCCCATGTTTTTTATATAATTTGTTGCGATAATTGTAATTCTTCCCTCAAAAGTTCCGTGCATGTCTCCACGCACTGAACAGGTAATTATGAAAACATTCAAAGTTGAGTTTGAAAATTATCCTAAACCCTCAAAATTACTTCAACTCTTATGCTAGGCTGGCTCTGAGTTTCTGTTGATCTCTAGAACTTTAACCTCTCCGCTGCCTCGCGAAGCTAAACTTATCTGCATCCTTGGTCTCTAGGATGAAGATGCACTCCTCTCCTCTCACCTACTAATCTTAGGTCATGATAAAACCTAAGTATACAAGAATCCGATTTCAACGGAGTCCGAGTGTTCCTGTATCTCTGGACGCTTAGTTTGAGTTCTCTACATATACAAGACTCGGATCTGACGGGAGTCCGAGTGTTCCTGTGTCTCTGGACGCTTGGTTTGAATTCTATGCTTCCTCGGATAGTATCCTAGAGACGCCTCCATCTCTAAGTATACCAGATCTCCGACAACCCTGACCTGGTTGTCCTGCTCCTCTCCGATACCTCTGACGGACGGACAGGTACTAATTTAGATTACGATGCTTGTGATCTATGTGAGCGAGTCATAACTTGAAAAAGGATATTTGAAAAGACATATAAAGATCTCAACTCAACTCTATAAAGCTCATATTTAGTTATTGTACCCGAGGCTGCGGTGCATTCTAAACGCTATAGGCTACAAACCTCCGGACATATCAACATTGAAAGTGAATTTTTCTATTTATATAAAATGGAATGTTTTATTATATAAACCTGTTTTAACCTGGGGAAAGTTTTATTTTTAAAGGCTAGAATTCTATTTTTATTGTGACTTTAACTAACAGGGTTATTGTGTTTCAGTTCACGGTTGAGTCCTGTATAAACTGCCTACCAGAAGAATATATAAGATATGAATCAGTGCAAATTGAGGTGAGCCGAAGAGAAAGATTTCATGCTCGCTCTTGGTTTGACTAACCTGAGATTAGGATTGCTACTTCTGAAATATCCAAGACACTGTCCTATCAAGCTTTCAAGCATACTGTTAATTTCAGTACTTGAACATCCAATAATTTTATCCATCAGCTGATCAAACCCCTAGAATATTTCCGATGGATTAAACATATATTCCACCCCACTAAAATATATATACAGAAATTGGAAATCAAACCCTTTTAACAACTCCACTTAAAATGTGTCGTTATTAATAAACTAAATATAATCCTTAAAATCTATTAAAATTTTCCATCAAATCAAAACTAAAAATAATATATTTTAACAGTCGATCGAGTCTTAAAGACGTGAATTATTAAAATCCCTCAAACATATTATTCAAAAACTAAATAAATTCTCAAAGAAATGGAAGTAAAAAATAATTAAAAGTAGTAAAAGTCCAACCTTGATTATATTGAAGCTATTTATTTGATAAGCGAGGTCAGGTTCCTTAGCAGCCTCTAGTATAACCTCCAGTGTGGCTAGGCACGCTTTACTTGTCTCCTTGTGCGAGGAAGTACTGTACAGCAGAACAGGACCTTAGAAAAAAATATTTATGAATTTTGAAGATATTAATCTATAGCTTGATTAACTTAAACCCTGTTTTTAGTGAAAGAAGCCTACCTAGAATGGATTGACAATGATCAAGATAAATTGTCCTAAAACTTCCCTCAGCAAACTTAGCCAATGTTTTGTACAGTTGTACAGCAGCTGCTCTATGTTCATTTCCAGCCATTTCGAAATATGGCCGAACCTAAAATTATGTTTTAAATAAAACGAATAAAATTAAAGAAATAAAACTAGAAGCCAAGAGAGAATTCCTTGTTTTACATTTTCTTTAGAAAAAGAATATTTGAATTACCAAATGTATATTTACCTTAAGACTGATCAGATCTATTGAATTATGAACGTAGTGCGCCGGTAGAACAGGTAGGATACGACACAATCCTCTTAATATTAGTATTTGTTTATATTTAATACATTAATCAACCAACATTCATTATTAAAAATTTGGTGTGGATGATTATCCAACCTCATACAGTGAATAAAGTAGGTGTTAATTTTACATTAAAAAATGTATTTTGGTCCGGGTTGACACTCGTCAGTTCTAACGATTCAATAACCATCAATATCAATAATATAAATATGTGAAAAAATTACAAGAAAATTAACAAACAAACAAAATAATTTTTTATCATTTAGTAATCTAACAAATGCACTTAAAAAATGGGACCGCTTATAAAAAAAATCTTAATCAACGTACTTTAGAGCAACAAGTGCTACATCTGAAGATTTTTCGTCCTCTATTCCCTGCACATATCCAGCAACCAAAGCCTTAAAAAGTATATGTAGTATATGAAGTTATAATATATGTGTATATATATGAAGAAAATATATGTATATATATGAAGAAAATATATGTATATATATGAAGAAAATATATGTATATATATATATGAAGAAAATATATGTATATATATATGAAGTTAGAAATTAAACTTGAATAATATTAGCCCACCGCTCCTCTATAGCGAAAAAAATGTATGTCCCAAAGGAAATTTTATACTTTCAAAGAAAAAAATGATCTTTCATTTTTGTTTATGTTTTTTGTCATATTTCGTCAAACTCTAATCTCTGAAGTGATAGATAAAAAATACCTCTGCTAATGTATCAATATCTGCCACAGTGCAGTGTTCTACTCCAACCAGACCTTCTAGAACTAGTTCACGAACCTTACCAGCAGGGTCTTAATAATCAATATCTTATTACTTTAGTATAATGGTGATGGAAGAAGGTTTAACTTGTACAAGGGATCCTCCATGATAACTGATCAATAACCGGCCGTGTGTAGTTCAGCAACGTAGCTCAAATTCGTTTAATTCAGTTCCATGGCTAAGGAAATAGTAGGAGCCGCAATATTTAAGTATCCTGGATCTAGATCAAAGAGACAAATTATTAACCAAAACATTCAAAAAGATATATTTGCTCAATTAACACAATTATTAAGTATTTCAATCTTTCTGATATCTCTGAAGTCTGAATAGCAACGGGTAAATAACGTTTCAGCATAAAAAAATTAATGAGAAGGAAGTAGAACCGGATTTTTTCTTCATTAAAGTAAAAGGTATAACTAAAGAAAAAAATGTCGTGTGCTAGATCCGGATCAAAATGTTTTAGATCCTTAGCACTATGTTACCTGAAATACCCTTGAGAAGAGCTGAGATAACAGAGGAAAGAAGAACCATATCTCCTCCTGCTTTCTCCAGGGATATACAACGTAGGACGGATATACTGGCCTCACGGACACAATCAGGGCTGGAACCATAACTGCACACAGTAAAAAACAATAGAGCTACAATATTCACTCATCAAGAATAACAACATCCTTTTTAAAAAAGCTTTTAACTAGACAATGAAATCGGAAATAATGTGCTAGAGATCTACAATGTTTTTAATACTTAGATCAAGCTTTATCATCTTATTTAATTATGCTAATACGCGATTCTGACATATTGTAACAGAATAAATCAGCCAGACGTAAAGAAAAACATCTACTGTCCCACTGTTCATGATCAAATCATGTCTTAAGATGTAGAAACACAAACCCTGCGCCTTAAACCTAATCTATCATTTAGAGGATTATTGACCTGAAGGGGAGGAGAGATGAAACCATCAGTTGGAGAAGATGTGGAGCATGGATTACAACAGAGCGAACCATACGTCCTAATTCAAGGATTAATCATAAATAAGGATTATAAAGGATATTTTTGGTATTTAATAGACTTAAAGGAACTAAAGATAAAACAATAAATAAAGCACTAAAAGGTATGCGCTCATGTTGTGTGTTGTGTGTGGTTAGGTTAGGTGTGGTGTGGTGTGTGATGTGATGTGATGTGATGTGATGTGATGTGATGTGATGTGATGTGATGTGATGTGATGTGACTATAATAAAACCTACCTAACACAGCCCTGAGTGTTTGTAAATCTGCATGTGTTTGATCAGCTGTTATACTATGAGATACAACCAAACAATTTATTGAAGAAAACAAACTCCTAAATTAATATATTACTTAAATCTCATAATCTAATTGTTTCCTTTCATATTAAGATTTTTTTTACTAATTTCTTCATAAATTGGGGAAAATAAATGATTCTTGAAAAGGGGGAATCTTCAAAATATGTACCCAATTTTCTAGCCTGAAGTCATTTTCAGATTAATAATTTTTTGATTTTATAATTTAATCCTTTAAAAAAAAGGCTTGGATATTAACTAAGTAACAACTGCATAACATGAAAGGTCATGAAACGCTAACTGTATCCTACCTAAGTGCCTCTAGAGCTATAATGAATGGGGATATAGTAGATACTACCCCTGCATCAGATCTTTTTCTCTCAAATCTACAAAATAAAAAATAACTTTAATCATTTATTCCCAAATTGTAATTGCAGCAAAGGTTTTTAAAGTTTTTACAAACTGCACCAATGCACATTGGACAATTCAAATGATGGGTAACATTAAATAAGCTTTTGTTTAAAAACTTCTTCGGTTGGAAAAATGTCAAATTTCTGTTTTACCTGGCGTTTACAAAATGTGATGACACTACGATAAGATGGCTGAATATTTTACCAAACTCCTCTCTTGTAGATTAAAGGATTAAACAACAACACAATGTTTCAACCCAATCCCCCTTCATTTATTTTGTCATAAAGAATGCATATTTCAGTTTAAAGGGATTGTTTGCCTTAATCAAACAAAAACGTACCCTGTAATATCAAAAATCATGGTCTTTTCCTAAAATACCGATTTGCAAATCGTTTTGCAAAATCTTCCGATTTAAAAGTTTCAGTCCTGAACTGTGAAAACCCTATTATAAATCCCCCCCCCAACACGCACATTTAGAGAATGCATATTTTCCTATTTATTTAACCCCTGCCTGCAGATTACTTCTAACTTGTGAGAGTCCAGCATTATTGTTAATGCTGAGATACTGGAAACAGCTAAAATATATGTATTAAAAAAAGAAAAAAATTATCAGGTTATAACAAATAAAATCACGAAAAGTAGGAATTGCTTTAAGCTCAAATGCATTATACATAATGGGGGTATAATTCCCTCTAATCCTTTTAACTTATATTTTTAACTAGATTTTTGGTTTAGATCAAATTTGGCATTTTCAGCTAGAGAGTAAATCTGTGATAGAGCTCTTCGCTGAGCTCATCAATAGTAAATAATTATGTATTTTAGAAATCGATTTTTCTCTCAAAAACCATTATTTTGTTTTTCACGGAAAACGCCAGGCACTTCAGCTAGTATGTTTATAACTGTGTAACTGTAGAATACATCTAGTACATACCTAATGGTTCAGCTAGGTAGGTTCCATGTACAGTTTGCCGAACAGGATGATCACCACTTGTCTCCAACAACAGGTCCAGTACATCAGTGCTCAGCTTTATACCTTGAAAAGTATATTATTTGTGTTAAGATTTCAAAGAGAACAATTCTTCACCCCCCCCCCCCCCCGGGTTCAAGCTTGTATGATTATACTTCTATCAAGAAAATATGTATTTAAGGATGAAATCGTTTTTGATTTTGCACTTATTTAAGCATAGTCTACCTTCTGTAAGCGAAGTCCAGATAAGTTTAGCCGACTGATCGAACGGCATTTCTGCGCGCAGTAGACTAGAAACCACACCACGGCAGTTGTGCACGGCCAGATATCTAATATTGACTGCAACCTTAATTCAAAATAAATTATATTTAAGATTCAAAAAGCTGAAAAAAACGAGTTGAAGCAATCAGTGTTTTTATAATTAATATGCGGATCCACGAATCCAAATACAAAAATTAACCAAAACTTGGAAAAATATTTACGATGCAATCTCCTAACACAAACATGTGTTTGCAGAGTTGCCCAATCCAAAATAAATTAGACTTACAAATATTAATTAAAATAAAATTAATTCTAGTTCAAACCTTAGCCATGAGATCACTCGTCTCATCCACCGCCATCATTGTCATCTTGAAGTGCAGCTTGCTCGCCAAACCAGGAACATTTTGGAACACCTCACTACCCCGTACACTTACTACAACAAGAATTTGACATTAAAACATTTTAGACTTTAAACAGTTTAACAAGTAAACATCTTTATACCCGAAAATTTTTAACATTTTTACAAATTTAATAATTTAACAATTTAACATTTTAACATTTCACAATTTGACAATTTGAATTTGAGTTGACAATTCAATACATATCAAATTTATTATGTGGGGATTTGCCGACCACTTACAACAAATCAACATTTTAAAGATGAATCAATTAAATCTTACATTTACCATATAGGAACTTTTCGCAACACTGGTGAGATTTTTTAAGATGTTACTCAAAATCTTATTACCTAGTCCCTCGAATACTGAGATACAACCAGAAACACTGGTCAACTGAGAATCAAGCAACCCATCAACCAAACTGAAAATTTTCGTTTTTTATATATTTTCTTTTAAAACTTAATTATCTTTCTAGTGCAGGAAAAGGTGCAATTAAGATAAAATCTATCGGTTTTATTAGTTAACACTTAAGCGCCTTTCTCTCCTTCATTATTCACTACAGGGGTGTGTATTTTCCTGAAAAATCACCTCCCCCTTTCCACCCCAGAAGTTATGCATGATTGCCCGTAGCGTCAACATTTTTTGAGTTTTATTAGCTACACTGAAAAAATAATGATTTTAAGGAGAATTTAAACAAATGTTTGGATAAAGAAATATGAAAAAAGATGAAAAACTTGTCTTAATTATCTCCAAAAGTCTTTCACCTATGACTCACTATGTGCCCTGAATAAATTTACCTGTCTAGAAGCGTCAGAATGTGATTATGTTGAATACGCTCGTTAAGCACGTTGACCAGCGCATCACTGATTGCACCGCGGTCAATCTTTCCGGTCATCTCCAGGTTGTTGCATCTGTTTAGTTTCATACATCAATATTTACAGCAACCGTAAACTTTTGTATCATAAAACACAACCATTCGTTACAGTTACCAGGTGTTTTAAAGCTTTGTAATCTAATTGATGTGGATTGAAATTCCAAGTATGACACTTTTAATCTTAAAATAAGAATGGTTTTGTAATAATAGTGATAAAACCGGCCCACCTGACATTCATAGTGTTCAACTGTTCCAATGAGTTTTCTACGGTCTCAGGAGACAAACCCTGGGAAGCAAGAAATAACTTAATTATTTAAAAGTTTGAAGAAAATTACATAACAAGAGACAGAAGGCAGTAAAAAATAAAGATATTTTAAGTATTCCATGTTGGATTTGATACCTCGTAAACACCAAGGATACGTAGAAGGGTCTGAAGACACGCCAAAGCTGTTCTCCTACAAGACAAATCTAATTAATTCGTATGCCATTAACTGAAAAAATATTTGACATTTGTCCATGTGATGTGATAAACTTTTAAGGATACGAAGTGAAATAATTCCATTATTAGGGAGGTATCTTACATAACAGTTCTGATGAATAACTTTATAAAGCCATCATAAAATCCTGTACGATTATTAGTTTACTAGGGTTTTAGAGCGCTTCGCGCTCATCTTCTATTTAAATTGTGAACATGTTCTCTTTGTATATAAACAAAGACAAACAAAAAAATTCGCGAATTTAATAAAAAAAAATTTCGCGAATTTTCAAAATTTTCAAAAATCGAATTTCGTTAGAAGCAAATTTTTGAAAATTCGATCATCCATTAACTTTCCCTGGGGTCAAGTGAGGTCCCACAAAAAATGTGGGCCCGATCAGTTAAGCCGTTTTTACGCTTATTGGATACAAACAAAAAAACAGACAGACAGCTAGACAAGCCAAGTATATATAATATATATAGATTACCTCACAGTTAGTGAGGGATCATGGCATCTAGCCACCATAGCTCCAATCATATACGGTCCAGGGGTAAAGTTGGTTGGAGATCCTACGCCTAATTTTACATTCTTAGCGTACACATCCAAAGCACCCTGAAATTAAGTAATTACATATGTTGTAATGAATCTGCTTCTACTTTAAAATGTTGGGCCGTTGGCCGACAGCTCCCTGTTTTATGAATCTTCCTGTTCATAAGAATGTTGACCGACAGCTCCCTGTTTTATGAATCTTCCTGTACCTGAAGAATGTTGACAGACAGCTCCCTAGATAAAGGTTGGTCTAAACGGAGCCATGTCTCAAGCATTGTAAATATCTCATCAACTGTGGACTGTTCCATATCCTAAATTAGATAGATAAATATGAACTGTCAAACCGATATACTTCGTATCTATTAGAGCATAAATTAAATTTCAAAGATTGTTTAAATCAAGAAAATTCTCAAAGTCGATATGTTTTGAATTTTTGAAGACTGAGCTCAATGGAATAGAAGTGAATTTCTGCAAGGTTATGGGAACAGAATTCATTGATCGATCAGGAGGATTGAGGGCTCTAGATTTGATTAAAGAAAATATTCGTGTTACCTGTTTCAGAAGTTTCTGAATAAGAATGTGAAGACTGTCTGCTATGCTGGTTAACTTTTTCTCTAACTCACTAGCTACCTGGATAAAAAGAAGACCTTGAAAAGACTTTGTAACCCCATAGCTTGGAAACTTAGCTTTGCCTGGTAATCTAACCTTTCTATTTAAAAGTCGACTAACTCAACTTGCGTTTTTTCTAGCAAGCTAAGAACTTTCCCGTGGTTCTAACGAGCTCCCTCGTCAACATTTGAGGAAAACACAGATTACTAGTTTATAAATATTGATGAATAAAAAGTGCCTTTCAACATTTAGAAGCTCAAAAAAGTTCTCAAGTAAAATTGATCTTAGTCTTAGTTTAAATTAAAAGTTACATCCCAATTCAATTCAATTTCATCTTTGTAATTAAAAAAAAAACCTAATCTAGAGATGATTCTACATGTCCCCCACCTTATAATCTTCATGTTTAAAACAGTCCGCCTCAAGAAAACTGTTGAATAGTGTGTTAAAGCTTGCCTTCAGTAGAGAACACCTGAATCACATTTAATTTCAAATCATTTTCAAACAAGACAAAACAAACTAAAAAATTGGAAATTGGCATTTCAGTTTCAAGTTAAATATTTGAACAATGATTTTTAAACTTGAACCTCTTTGAGGGCTACTTAAAGTCATATTAAAAAAACTGTTCCCGCACGGCACATGCCCAATTTGAGCCATTGCGTTTAAAAAAAAAGCATTTGTGGGTTACAGAATACAGATTAGTATTTATTACTGTAAAATTGTGCGGTAAAAGAAAATAAAATCAGAGTTTCAGGGACGTCCAATTCTCATCCCTTATATTCGTAGTGACTAAACCAATAAAGAAAAGAATGGAACAAGATCAAAAAAGAATAAGATTGAACAAGAGTGTGACTAAAATGAAGGTTTTCTGACAACAAACTAAAAATAAAAACTCTGACAAATACCGATGCTGTACCTAGTTAATTGACTGATGACCGGTGGGAGCTGAATCAGATTTGTAATCGCAATCAGGGCCATTTGCTTAGATTTCAGGGATATCAAGTTATCCTAAAACAGAATTTTAATTTGGTCCAGCCAACTAAAACAACCTACCCTGGTTACGCAGGTCCAGAGGTAAAACTTTTGTATGAATTAGCGATAATCTACAATGATAGATCACGATATTCACCGTAGGAACTTTAAAATTTGAGGGATACGTGCTTGATTCTATAAATCCTTACAGTGTACGGCCATTACGAAATATCCACGAGGAATTTACTTGATCCCGGAAGTCACAAGCTTTGAATTTAAAATTCGGTGATGGTGATGGACCGAACCTCGGTAGAGTAAATAAAGTAGATGTTAGTTCCACATTTTATTGAAAACATATTTCGGTCTGGGTTGACCCTCGTCAGTTCTTAAGATTGTTTCTGTCATTAAGATTAAAAACAAACAAATATTTTCTTTTGTTTACTGCAGTTTTTGTTAGTTTATTTTCTACCTGAAGTACTGCAATGACAGAGCTGAGGATCTCCTCTTGCTGTGGCATCACGAAATACGGGTTGTGCTTGTGAACGCTATGAAAGGCGGTAGCAACCTCAGAAACAGAGGCCAGCACCGACTCCTGCAGTTACGGGATATTTTCAAGATTAGATGATGATAAAAGATAGCTAACTAACTTCTAAAAGCTAATTTTTTTTAGAGAATGGCAATAAATATATGTGGGCTTATGTTTGCTAGACTTTCGAAGCCAACCCCCCCCCCCCTCTCTACATATTTTCACTCGAAAAACAATCGACTTTGCCAAAAAGTTTATCCATTTATATCTTAAATATGTCCCAAAAATGTCAAAAAATGATGTGGTTTTTGCAAAAAAATTATGGACAATTTTCAAGAAATAATAATATTGAACTTATTTACGCATATTTTGTAGTAATCAATCAATGAACATTGAACATCCCTGTATTTTCTCGGACTCTCTGCAGGTAAAGAGAGCAGGAGCAAGGAAATCTTTGATCATCTTCTCAGCAAACCGTTCCAGCTCTGGGGTTGGTGCATTCTGCAATTAAAACAATAATTACTTCATAATATTAAATAAAAATGTATTTTTCGAATCAATTTTTTTACCTTGGCCGCTTGTCCCACACTGTGCAGGATTATTGCTAAACTCCTAAAATAAACAATTTGGATTAAGCATGAAACAAACATATTTTTAGGAATATCAAAGTTGTACAGTAGAGGCCATATTTTTAAACCTCAAAATGTATAAACTTTTTACAGATTAAGGATTTTGAAAATTAGTAATTAATATTCTACTTGTTTATGAATCTGGGTCCGATTTTAATGAATTCGCTGGTCGCTGGACAACCTATCGCCAGTTCAAATCTTGAACCACCGTTGAACTGGCGGTAGGTATTTCAGCGACCTAGCTCAAATCATAAATTTCGGTCTTTGTTTTTTGCCTGACCTTGACTGCGTTTGTTCACCAGCTTTATCTCGTAATAAACCGAAGAATGTTGTTGACTTCTTTTTAACCTAAAAACTCTTAGTTTAGAATATGTCTTTTAATTTGACTGCTGAATGAAGATCATGGAGATAAAGTACGAGCTTTAACAAAATGTTAAAAATAAACCAATTTAAACGCTGTATTTTCTACACAACTTAATAATTTTGGTCTTAACCAGAATTTCAATAATAATCACAAATCAGGGCTTCAACTGTCAAATTTATACTTATATCCAATATTGACCAAATATTTAAGATAAAGTAATGTTGCTAGCCTACCTGGGATTTGTAAAGTGTGTCCAATTTATCCATGACAAGGTTAAGATGAGTACTGGCAGTGGACCCGAAGGCAATACCACAGCTCTCCTCCTGGACCCCGGGCTCTAGAGCTGCCAGGAATAATGAGGATAAATGGTTCAGGATCACCTGGAACAATATTAAGTCAAAGCAGGTATCCGTCGTTTGATCCTGTCAACCAAACTTAACCAGCGTTGAGATCACATACCATTGATTGGTTGATTGAACATTCTGCATAATTTCATAATTTTGCCAATGTAGTTGGCAACATCTGCCAGTTTTTAAAAACTTTTTTAATGTCATTAATTAGCGTAAAAACATCAAAATTTGGCCATTTTCCTCCATTAATGATCCCTCAATATAAACCTGGGAGGAGCCCTCATAATGTAAAAGAGTGTAAGACTGGGCTAGTTTAATCATGAAGTTAACTCGTTTATTTTAACGTTTTTCCGGTTTTCTTATTTGTTATCTTCTTCAAACGATCGTTTCACAGTCAAGCCTTTCTGGCAGAAAATGTATTTCCCTTATTCTAACTCTTAAACTAGCTATGATTGATTTTTTTCTTTGGAGGTTTCTATTTCTATCCTTTTTGGACGTTCACTTCAATTTTGTGTGGTTACATATTCATGACCTTTGCCTGTGTCTGTATAACAATCCTAGTAAAAGGGATCAATCTATAACAGGCATTTGTAATATTAACTAACCTCGTTACTCTGTATTTGAACCAGAACCTTCCCTACAGACTTGATTGCAAACGATTTCTCAATAGAGGAGTTCTCGTACATGTTGAACTGATGAACCAAACAGTTCCCCATCTTCATACACCAGTCCTGGTCCTCCATTTTGACCAGAGAGTCTATCAATAGTCAAATCCTTAAAAGAACCTTGATACCTGAAATGATTAAAACATGATTATTCATTTAAACCACTTAACAAAAATAATTCTTTGAGACAAAGTTATATCCCAAAAAATCCTGAAATTACAATCACCAGATAGACAAAATCTTGACGGAAAAACTCCTAAAAAGACTAACTTCTAAAAAAAAACTCCTGATCAGACAAGCTAAAAATGAAGACTCCTATAAAGACCCCTTGAAAATAAAACTTCTGAAAAGACCGACTCGAAAAACCAACTGCTGTAAAACCAACTCCTGAAAATACAATCTCATAAAAAGAGAAACTCCCGAACAGACCAACTCCTCAAAGAACTCATAAAATGACAAACTACGGAGAATATAAACTTCTAAATACAACTTAAGAAATGAAAAAAAATCCAAAAAAAGGACAAATTCAATTTGCCTTGTAGCATTTTTAAAAGCTCGGCCAACGACAATTCTAGAAGAAATGAAGTTACTCATATGATAATATTCTTAGATTCTAGAGAGAACTAAATTTTAAAGTTATTTTCTGATTTATTGAAAGGATTTGTTTCCTGTGAGTAGATCTAGCAACCAGTTGTGCCATTGATGAAGGTCTACAGGTTCATGTTGATCCAGGTAGTGCAGGAGAAGGGGAAACCTGGAAACAACCGCGAATTAGTCCTAATGCGGAATTCATTCCGAGTAAACCTAAAGTGGAGGAATCCTAGCAGTCTTAATGCGTCACAGTAAAATGTAAGCAAACCCACCTACACGCTTGATCCCACATAGGTTTATTACATGTAACAAAATAAATTCGGATCCACATTAAGTTAATATACGCACTGTTTCCGTTGTGTTTTGTCTTAAATGAGTAATTTTTAAACTTTTTATTTTTTACATTGAACTTTACCATGCTTGCTAGTTCACACTTTGGTCCATTGTGGTCCGCAACCAAGTATCGCGGTGACTTGGGCTCTTCCGCAACCTCTCCTTATGTCTTGTGACTAACCTTGAATCCCAGAGTTCTTTCAATCCGAAGTGAATATTTGGAGCAAAACTTTTCAAGAATTTGAGGATATTAATCCCGCGCCCATTAACCTAAAGAAAATATTAATTGATACACAACTACAAAGAATTATAATGTAAAGTTATTTCAAAGGTGTAAGCATTTTTTTACTGCAGTGTACTGTCTCTGGGCTGTAAAGTAAGCACAAGACGGATGTCAAAGCTTGATATGGGATCCATCTTTAACAAAAAAATCAATGAAATATTCTGGTCATAGAAAACTATTATGTGAATTTTTCAAATCTAATGCTTTTATCTCCTCGGATACCAGAGGAAAACTGATGCATATACCACACAGCGAGAACTGGTTTCAATATGTACGCAGAGAATACGCAACCGCAATTTACGTTCCTTGCCTTATTGCCTTGCACAACAGCATCAATAAAAAGAAAATTGAGAAGACCGTACCTTTAAAAAGAAATCTAACCATGATACAGTAAGATTCAGAGTAACTATGAAAATTCGTAATATTACCTTGTTCACGACCCCTAAAGAATTCTAATTTTTCGGGAAATATAAAAATGATTAACATAATTTGAAATCAAAAGATTCAATTTCTTGTTGCAGATATCTAGACCATAGTCATGTTTTTTTAAATAAAGATTTAGCACCTGGGGATTAGATGCTAACACGAGGAGTCTAGAGAAGAGAACTACAGGACTTGTACAGTACTGCAAGTTCTCAAACTTTACGCTAAACTCAGGATCCTAGAATTATGCAATTGGTTATTATCATCAGTGCAGGATTAGTACAGTACTGCAAGCTCTCAAAATTTACACCAAACTCAGAATCCTAGAATTATGTAATTGGTTATTATCATTAGTACAGGATTAGTACAGTACTACAGTCTCTCAAACTTTACACCAAACTTAGAATCCTAGAATTATGTAATTGGTAATTATCATCAGTACAGGATTACTACAGTACTGCAGGCTCTCAAACTTTACGCTAAACTTAGGATCCTAGAATTATGTAATTAGTTATTATGATCAGTACAGTATTAGTACAGTACTGCAAGTTCTCAAACTTTGCACCAAACTTAGAATCCTAGAATTATGTAATTGGTTATCATCATCAGTACAGGATTAGTACAGTACTGCAGGCTCTCAAACTTTACGCTAAACTCAGGATCCTAGAATTATGCAATTGGTTATTATCATCAGTACAGGATTAGTACAGTACTGCAAGCTCTCAAACTTTACACCAAACTCAGAATCCTAGAATTATGTAATTAGTTATAATCATAAGTACAGGATTAGTACAGTACTGCAGGCTCTCAAACTTTACACCAAACTCAGAATCCTAGAATTATGTAATTGGTTATTATCATCAGTACAGGATTAGTACAGTACTGCAAGCTCTGAAACTTTACACCAAACTCAGAGTTCTAGAATTATGTAATTGGTTATTATCATCAGTACAGGATTACTACAGTACTGCAGGTTCTCAAATTTTACACCAAGCTTAGAATCCTAGAGTTATGTAATTGGTTATCATCATCAGTACAGGATTAGTACAGTACTGCAGGTTCTCAAACTTTGCACCAAACTTAGAATCCTAAAATTATGTAATTAGTTATTATCATCAGTACAGGATTAGTACAGTACTGCAGGTTCTCAAATTTTACACCAAACTTAGAATCCTAGAGTTATGTAATTTGTTATTATCATCAGCACAGGATTACTACAGTATTGCAGGTTTTCAAATTTTACACCAAACTTAGGATCCTATATTAATATCTTCCTCTTGGGTTAATAATTCCTCATAAAACAACCGTGAGTTTTCACTGCTAACCACTGCTATTACCCCGACCTGCAGTACTTACCTCTGCAGCTTGTTTCTTGATTGATAAAACAGCCAAGGATTTTGATACAGCAGAAACAGCAAGCGTTGACGTGTCCTTAATTGTAAAATATTGTAATCAGTTTGATCTCAACTTTATTGAATGACTGGTTGACAATAATAATAATAATAACATATACAAAAATGTGTCTTTACAAGAATACAGCAAAAGCAGTCAGAAAATTCACTCATGAAAAATAGCCATGATGCTGCTTTGAAAAGTACAAATAAAAAAAACCTGAATTTCTTTTAATATACGACTTAATCAATTTAAGTTGCGTAATCACAAAAAGGAATGAAAGTCTAATTGTATAAAGGAACTAAATACAATTATATTACAAATGAATGAACTAGACCAACCTGCATTAAATACTCTAGTAAATACGGCCACAGAACAGGCTCAACTCCAACTACTAAAAATATTCTTGTTATTTAATGGGGATATGTAATACATACCCCTAAAACGAATCTTAATGCGATTAATTTACAAGTTCTATAAAATTCCGTAGCAATTAATAAAAGCTAGCGCGATCGCAAAACTTATTAATAGCTTAAAGGGAGTGTTCGCGAAAAAAAAGGCTTACGGCGAAAAATAAGCGCTTTTGATCGCTACTAATCTTACTTCTATCTGTTGCGTCTATCAGGAGAAAATTTATAAAAACGACTCATACCGAAGAAGTTCATACGAACTCAGAAAGTTGCAACATTCAACTCGGATCGTAAAAAATTAATTTAATTCCAAACAAATCATTCATTTTTATGATCTGATAGTTACTTTTAAAAACATTTATTCCAGTTTCGAGGATTTTTGATAATGAAGACGACATTTTCATATTTACATAGATGACTTTTGTTTGTAATATCTGAATCCTTAGTCTTCAATTTTTCGCGAACACTCCCTTTGTGGTTCAGGAGCAATACTATTCCTGTAATAAATACAGAGGCCTCATAGTAATCTAGATAAATAACGTTGTACATTGTTCGCTTATTAATAAATACGCATATCATGTATTTCCATTAATGACGAAAAACTTGTAATTAAGTCTATTAAATTTAATCTAGAATCTAGAATCTAAAATATACTCAATTGGTATAGACTCCGCTTTGATTACAGTGATAGAGTAATTGATCCTCGTTTGAACGAACGAGTTGATAAGATCGTGTCCATTGGTTTGGCATTCATAGTTTACGAGATCGTGTCCATGTTGACAATAATAGCTGACGAGATCGTGTTCATTGGTTTGGCATTCATAGCTTACGAGATCGTGTCCAGTTTTGACAATGACAGTAAAGTGAAATTGAGTTGTACCTGGATAGATACGTGTTTAAGAACCCCTTATGGAGTATGGCATTTACTACACCCCCACCCTACGGCCAACCCTCCCCCTCTCTACCTGAATTAGTGAGTAGCTGCAGTATATTATCCCCCATAATAGCTAAAGGTTCAGGAGCAGTACTGCTGAACTCGGTACCCCTATCTCCTTCTTCGCACATTTTTACGATAAAATCTATGAAATCTTTTCCAGACTCTCCTAAACAAATATAGCTTTATTTCAAGACGTAGACTATAATAATGAGAAATATTTGAGTCGTGTAGACGACGTTGAACCACTTCTCTTCAACTTTAACGCGGTTCAGTCACTTCTCACGCTATTCATTAAATCTGGTCTCTGATCACATTAAAAATATCCTCCATTTCATGAGTAAAAGCCCGTGAAAAACATATCAATACCAACGATATAAAATCAATTTTCTTAAGTTAATTAAGATAATTAACCTGAAAGACAACCATGATCTCCCAGAACAACAATTATTTGAGCAATCAGTCTTCGTACACTACTGTTCTGTTCTCCTAAATAAATTAGATATAAAATATAAGAAGAAGAAAATCAGAAATTCAGACCGTGTTTCCATACACACAATGATTTGCGCATCTTGTGCGTAAAAAACATTTTAACCATACTTAGCAAAATTGTGATGCTTTTCAATTGGAATCAAGGTTCAATCATTCGGAATTAAGTAATTTTGGCTAACAACATCATTCTTAGGTTTTCAGCAAAACTTGATATGGATGAATTCTTTTCTTGATTTGTCAACTTTTACCCCCTTTACTAAACCTTAACATTTCACTGATAGATTGAGTAACTCACCTAGGTTCTGATGGATGGCTCTGGTGATCTCATCCAACCTGTAGTTCAGGGTTTTGGTGGGAAGGTTGAGTATGTGCTTGACCACGGTTAAAGCTCCTACTCGGGATTTATCGTCAGAGTTATCAAACTTCAACAGTAAACCTTTCAACAATACACACTTAATATTGGTTAGTTATTCCGTTTACTAAGAACTAAGAAGGAAATAAGGGACATTTATTTTCTTGAATTTTGAAAATCATTTTGTTTCCCAGAAATTATGTATGTTTGCACGAAGCGAAAAAAATGGAATTTTTCGATGACTTGTGGAAAATTAATTTTTTTTGAGGGGAAAACAATTTTTAGGAAAAAGTATGATAAGCATAAGAAAACTTTCCTTTTGACCCCTAATTCTTAAATCATACACCCTGAGGAAAGAAATATCCATATTCGTAACTTAACCATCAATTTAGCATCTTTACTGTGAGATAATTTTCTTCTATTGTTTTTTTTTTTACCAAAAACCGGATTTCATTTGAACAAAACATAGGAAGGTGAAGAAAAAAGGGTCTGGATGATGGTGAAATGTTTCAGAAAAAATAAATAAAGAATCAATGCCCAATATTCTTGAAATTATATATTTATTTTAGGACTTTAGGATAGGAATTTGAAAAATTTTGTTTATTTGGTATAATTTTTTCTTGTTGGGGGAGGTGGGGGGTATACACCATTCAAAACTGAAAACTCTGCGATACCATAAATTAATCCAATATTTTATTAAGTATGTTTTCCTGATACAACTTTCTCTGGATAGTACTTCATGAGAGTATCAAAGCTTCTGATGGCTTCATGATGGTTCTTCAGGATAGAATGACTTGTATAGTCTGCAGGTATACAAACCTGTATACAAGATTAGAAACCTCAGTGATCATTCAACAAATATGTTTTTTTTTAATTAATAAAAAAGGAATTCATCAGTGAACTTCTTTAAAAAAAGGGCTTTAGACTAGAAAGGGAAAACAATAGAAAAGTTCTGCAATCTAATCAAAGAAGACTTTTTTGCAATATTAATAGCATATTAGATTACTATTTAACAAGAAGACTGTGAAAATAAATCTTTTTTCAATGAGGATTTTGAGTTTTAAAGGGTGTGATGATCTAACCTGGATAAACATAGCTTGAAGTATAGGATCAAGGATGGTCTCTAGAACAGCAGGAGATGCTGACGTCATCATATCTATCAACTGAGAGGCACACACAGTAATCTCTTAATATTTTTTAAAATATAGTTTTCTATCTAAAAGTTTCTCATCTTTCCGTCTAAATATCCAAACTAATTAAACCTATAACTATAATGTAAAAAGATAGTTTACAACAGAGTATCACAATCTCATTATCTTTCAATCTACACCTAACACTGTACCGTGTGTACTATTTGTTAAAACAACTCTTCAAAAGCTTCTTAAAAAATCAAACTTTTAAAAGTTATCAAAAGTAGCTGTGTGAAATAATGTTTCACTTCCGTTAAATCAGATCCTTACTCGTTACCTAAATTAGCGACGCTTCCCAACCGTTTGTAGAGAGCTAGAAGAGCCAGTATCATAGTAACACCGTGATCAAGTACATTGTCACGGGACAGGAATGGAGTACACGCAGCCATACTTTCCAGAATCAGTGTCTTCATCTAAACAGGTAGGTATGTAGCTAGTTAAGTAGGAATGTAGGTAGGTATGTAGGTAGGTATGTAGCTAGGTAAGTAGGAATGTAGCTAGGTTTTTACCTTGGTTTCTTTAGCTGTTGATAACCAGGTTGTGTAGAGTGTATCATATATTGTATCACCTTCAGTTTGGAAATGAGCTGAAATAAAGCAATTTATAAATATACGTCTTTGGTTGAGATATAAGTAGTAAGAGGAGGATAGGGATTTCATGCAAGGCAGGAGGGTCGGGGTGTTAGATAATTATCAAAAATAAAACTAGTTCCTTGAAGCTGTCCTAATAAATAACCATAAAATGTAACCTAAATGCCCTTTCCCCATATTCAAAGATCTACTTTAATAGAGAAAATGTAAAAATGAATGGCGCTCATGAAACCAACAAGAAATTATAAAATTGATCAAAATAATCACGTATAGAATATCTAACAAACATACCTGTCGTAACAGAGGTATCAGGCATCTCATTAATGTTCGAAACATAATCGAGAATAGCTTCCGAAAATCTGAACATTTTTATTTAAAATAAAAATTCCAATTTATTTTCTTTGTTGTTATATTAAATGAATATTTAGTTACCAATACATACCAATATTTGATCTATTACCTGCAAATAGCTTTACATATTTCAGTTCTCAGTGCTACTTCAGGGAGTTTAGTACTCTAAACAAATATTAGTTGAATGAGTTCACAAGTTTCTTATAAAATAAGCTCTTTTTATCCCCACTCCCCGCCCCCGCCAAAAAATTGTCCGTATTCAAGTTCGGTTCGACACCAACCATTTACAATGCCCCTTAGTGTAAAATGTTACTTATGCCAGCTTTAAAGACGGCTGTGTGGTCAATTTATAATTTATTGTCAAGGGACGTATGCAAAATTTATTGGAGAGCCGAGGGGGGGGGGAGCATTCAATAATTGCAGGGAGATGGGTGGGGTTGGGGGTTTAAACATGGGGTTTAAGCTTTAAAATGAAAAATGTTTTTAACCCCTGATGCAAATATTGTTTACCTTCATGACATGCGCTGTAGTTGAGAGAATAGCTTTGAGGAATGGAACACACTGTGTAGGATGCCTGTAGGCTAGACTAGCTAGACACTCAACCACTAGGGGGTTTATTAAACTACCTAAACATTATCATATTGTATTATTAACTAGACTAGCTAGACACTCAACCACTAGGGGGTTTATTAAACTACCTAAACATTATCATATTGTAATTATTAACTAGACTAGCTAAACACTCGACCACTAGGGGGGTTTATTAAACCACCTAAACATTATCATATTGTATTATTATTAACTAGACTAGCTAGACACTCAACCACTAGGAGGTTTATTAAACTACCAAAACATTATCATATTGTATTATTTTTAACTAGACTAGCTGGACATTCAACCACTACGGGGTTTATTAAACTACCTAAACATTATCATATTGTATTATTATTAACTAGACTAGCTAGACACTCAACCACTAGGGGGTTATTATTAAACATAATCAAATTGTATCATTATCAGTTTGGAAAATAACAAAAAAAATGTATAATGATGTTGCAAGGGGGGGGGGAGCTTTTTGAGAAAACATGTATGCTGACCATAGCATATTATTCCAAGATCATGATTCCATAATCTTGGGGCACTTTGAGTACGTGTTAACCACTGAAGCTAGTTACAAAACTTAAGTTAAGTGTGCTAACCTGTATTATTTGGCTGAAAATGAACAAGAAGTACATCCATAACCTTATCCATGTACGTTCCACCCAGATCCACTAAGATACTGTCCAGATGTGAACCCTAATAAATTTCTATATCAATATATCCATTCCAGGATTTACATCTTCCTGGTTACTGATCCATTGATCTTAAAGTCTTTGCTAGATTTAAAAAAAACAAAAAAACAATAATACAAAATCAAGCAACGTTCCTCGGTTTACTTCTCGAATCTTAAAATAAATTAGGGAGATCTTTAAAATTTCTGACAGACCATAAACCTTTCCTGAGTTGAAGTAAGTTACAAACATTAATGATTAACGTTTTGATATTCAATGCTCGACTTACTTTAGCTGAACCCCGTAACATTTCATCAACAACAACAGCCATTATCTGTCCAAGGATTGCACGATGACGAACATCACCTTAAACAAGAACATGTTTAGCCAGGAATAGCACTTCCCTACCATTGCTTTAAAAAAACGTCACAATGAAATATTATGTATTTAATTCCGAATTATTCCTCTTAAAGTTTTTGATATAGCTAAGATCAGTAGTGACCTGGCTTGTCAAATGTTAAATAATATTTCTCTTATTTCTCAGATTTAGTTTGTTTATGTTTCCCTACCAGGATCCAGACTGCTGTGTTTAACCAGTACAGTGATGACCGGCTGAAGGGCGCTGGTGAGCCGACCAAACGGCTGAACCTGACTCGGTGATACAGATGGTCGACGCCCACTGATTGGCGATGAGGGAGAAAGAGTTTGTTTTTCCTTCGAGTATTCAGAGAACCATTCCTGTAAACAGATGGAAATTTAAAAAATAACTGTAAGCTTACCGTGATAATAACAGCTTTTTCCACAGAACATAGAATATGAATATTGTCAGTCCCTTTGAGTCTGAAAGGGAGTTCAAAGTGTTCATTTCGTGTAAATGTTCACAAATTATATGCAGTAAAGTACATTAATACAGTATGCTCCCTAGACTATCCATTTCAATTTCTAATTTTAAAGCTGCTAAATAAAATTTTCAAGGTTAGTAAGGTGAATACAAAATCATTTAATTTATAGTTATAACTAATAATTCTGGTAAAATCCGACTATTCTAAGTTGGAACAGTTAACATTATGAAAGGTTGCAAATAAGTTTTATGCTCTTATTCTGACCAACACTATTTTTTATTTTCCTAATGTTAAAATCAGTGTTTCGGATCCATATCATTTTGATTCGGATCCGGATCCGGATCCGAGGTAACTTTTGATTCTGTGAATCGGATTTTCCCTATTAAATGTTATGCAAGGTTATAATTTATAAACTATAGTAATCCTAAAGTTAAAAATGTCGTCATTACTATTATATAAATGTAAACATTAAATTATTAAAGATAATTTTGAAAAATTTTCGTCATGTAAATAATACATTTACGAACCATTTTGATTTATTTATTCCATGGTTTTGGTTAATTTTTGGCGCTACCCGGATCCATATCAACGTTTCCTGATACTGGTCCGGATCCGGATCCGGATCCGACCAAATGATACGGATCCAACCGGATCCGGATCCGGATCCGGATCCGGATCCGAAGCACTGGTTAAAATGTTAATAAAAGCAGGTTGTCCAGTAAGAATCAGTTCGACATAAACTGGTGAAGATCTTTGTCTTTATATTCATGAAGCAAGATTTACTGGTTTGTTTTCATTGCTATAGAGTGCTAAGACTCCATTAAAAGTGTGACACTAATATTTCAATGATAAGTTTTTATACTTTTTTAGTTTTGATTGTGGTTTCACTTCATCATCTCGAACTTTGCGAGATATAGTGACTCAGACTGAAAAGCTCTGTCCATACTATTACAAGTATGCAGAGATTTGCAAAATCTTACCAAACTTGGTTTGAAATGAAGATGAACTAAAAAAAAATAATAAAGTAGGTAGTCTGGCAGCATGCTTTAAGACTCAGAAGTTTGATGAAAGTGTCTAATCTAAGGCTAAAAGCATCGTCCATATTTTTGGGAAAGGTCAGAAAATGTTAATTTCCACTCTTCTGTCAGGACTAGGGTGAGATTCAAATTGATATTTCTGAATTAAGGTATATATCAATACTTCAAAAAACGAAAAAGTTAAGTGAGCATGAAAAGGTAAGTGAGCATGTTTTACTAAAGTAAAAAAGGTAAGTTTGCATGTTTTAATATAAAAGAAAAAGGTAAGTGCGCATGTTGTTTTTAAGTTAAAAAAGGTAAGTTTAAATGTATTAACGTAAAAGAAAAAGGTGAGTTTGCCCTGTGCTTGTTGTCGGTACAAAATAATTAAGTTTTAATATTAATATTGATCTATACTGAAAAGATCAATATAAGGAGCGTGTAAGAATGAATATTCTTCAACTAGTGTAAGAATTTCCATTCTTCAATGATCGGAGCGTGTAAGAATATACATTCTTTCACGCTCTGACCGTGTAATAATTTCCATTCTTACACGGTTTGAGCGTTAAAGAATGAAAATTCTACGCCGACAGTGTAAGAATAAGCATTCTTAAACGCAAGGAAGCGAACAATATTAAAATTGTTCCTCCTGAACCGTGTAATAATGGGAATTCTTACACGATAGGTTTACTACTATGGAACCGAACAGATATGATATAATAAAGATTCGTATGATTACAAATACAGATACGATGCTATATTGATTGAACTAAAATCTAATTTAACTAAAGTCAGCTGTTCACAAGCCGGCTTTTAGAGCATTCAAACAAATATAATTTTAATCATGTTAATATAAACTTGTTAAAACATATTTTATAACATTTGAGGACTATTGTCCTTTTGAACGTTAGTCTCAATAAACATAAATCCAAAACTTTCGATTAATCGATCATTAGTTCAATTGATATTACACTCCAAAAGCGGGAAGATTAAAAACCGGTTTTTCAAAAATTAAAGATCCTTTAATCTCTAGAAATTAATCTGAAGATTAGCAAAAAGAGAGGATAAAGCATTGGATCTTGATATCCACCATTCTAAAATGTATCAGCCCTGAGCTGAAAACTTTAGAATGGGATATCCTTAATTCCGATCGGTAAATTAATCTGGAGATTAAAAATGAGAGGAGAACAAGCATTATTTAATCTGGAGATTAAGAAAAAGAGTGGATCAAGCATTAATCCCGATATACACTATTCAAAAGTTCCCAGCTCTGATTTACTGAAGTAGTTAAAATGCACCCCAAAATTCATCAAACTAACAAAAATAAAAGAAAGTTTCAGAACAAGTACAGAAAATAAAAAATTGACCATTAGGACCGATTGTAGAAAATAAGATCTTGAGAGATTATTAACATTATGGAAAATAAGATGTTTTCAAAAATGTTTAATGATTATGAACTAGAGATATATAAGATAGCTGTCACGAGGAAACAACAATAATAATATGATAATAATTAAAAAAAAAAACCATAAAAGAATATAACAAGTATACTTTTTGTACCTGGAGTACCAACAAAGGATAATGACGGCCAACAAGAGAAAGTGAATGTGAGGCAGCCTAAATATATGGATATTGTTCATGAATCAGACAGGAAACTATTAAAATTTTATTATAAACTAAAAAGTTCATATCAGAATCTCAAAATTATACAGTATACACTATACAGTATACACCCTTGCTAACAAAAGTACAGCTTACGTGTCTATTGTTTATAGATTTTAGACTTAACTTTAAGAATAAAGAAATGAATATGTTTGGGATAGCAGAATACCGATCAAGTTTAATCATTCTAAACCCGATTAAACCGGGCTTTACGTTTAAATTGTTTGTTTTATTTTTTCCTTGATTAAACTTTGAGAAATAAGGACAACATATTTTTGGTTTGGGATTACACAATACCGGAATAAATTTAACTTTTTGAGCTTGATAAAACTGGACTTTTTAAGCATTGTGTCTTATCAAATCAAATGCTGTGCACGCATTATCAGTACCTGTCGTACTTCCTGTTCGTCTGCTCTACACGTCTCCAGTAGGGAATGGATAACTGTCTAAAAACCAAAATATTTCTGATAAAATCCCAGATAATTTGTCAATTCTTACCTTGATTTTGAGGTCGGGATTGATTCCATCCTCAGAGGAGGCCTCGGACCCTTTAGGAGAGGACGTTCTACTCATCTTAAATAAACATATTGATAGTTCATGAAAACAAAATAATTTGAAATAAAATATATTCTTTTCCATCCATTTTTATTGTGATATTTATCTGCGCCTAATCCAGAAAAATATCTAAAATGAAAATGTAAAATGGTTTAGTTGGGTTTCCAACGTAAATTAGTGTAAAATTCATGGTTAAAGCGCTTTTGATCGCTACTAATCTTACTTCTAACTGTTGCGTCTATTATGAGAAAATTGCTAAAAACTCATGCTGAAGAACGCAGCGTCCATACAAATTCAGAAAGTTGCAACATGCAACTCGGATCGTAAAATAATCTATTTAATTTCAAACAAATCATTCTGATATTTAAAAAATAGTCATCGATTATTTTTAGTTGCATTCGTATATAGTTAATATTTTATAATATTTTTGATTTTTTCTAATAATATTTCGCTGGCGCTGGATTTTCGAACATTCGTGGAAAATATAAAAATGACGTCTTCATTATTATCAAAAATCAAAACGAATAAATGTTTTCAAAATTAACTATAGTTCATAAAAAATTAACAATATTAAGAAATATCAACTATATACGAATACTTCGAAAAATTATCGATATCTGTTGGTTACAATATCTGTAATGATTTGTTTGGATTACAATTGATTTTTTAAAGATCCGAAATGAATTTTTCAACTTTCTGAATTTGTATGGACGCTGCGTTCTTCGGTATGAGTAGTTTTTAATAATTTTCTCCTTATAGACGCAAAAGACAGAAGTAAGATTAGTAGCGAACGAATGCGCTTATTTTTCGCCGTAAGCCTATACCCCCTTTAATTTTTCGCGAACACTCCTTTAATGCTTCACAATTTTTTGTAATTTTTCTTCCATTTTTTCAATGCAATATCTTTTTGTTTCCAATATAACTTCAAACACTAAGAAATTGTGAGTTGTTATGAGTTCAGAATTTACTGTACAGTTTACACAATACATCTGAAAACTAATTTAACAAGCTGAGATTATAAGTTATTTCTTGACCACAAAGATAGAATTAATTGTCGAAACTTCTGTACCAAACTGTTTGTGAAGCATAAGCGAGCAACAGTACTCGTTTTGGTAAGGATCTTAAAGTGTTAAGTATTTCTTTTGCACACAATCTTACAGTTTTCTCATAAAATTTCTGCCGATTTCGATACTTGTAGATTTTTTTAGTTTATTTTTGCGAATATCTCTCTCAGTTTTAAACATTTTGCAAAGTGTAAGAAAAGCAGAAGTTTAAACAGAAAACTATTCAAAATTTTGTGGAACATTTTTTAAGTTTAAAAACCTTAGACGAACGAAGCTTAATGTCAAACAAAACAAAACTTATCAATATAAGTTCTTTCGACAATTAGGTATTTTTCCAAATTTTCTAGTTTCGTTAAAACGTATTTTTTTAGCGAATTCGTATTCGGAAAGTTAAACTATCGCAAATACAGTATATCCTAATATTCCAACATTACTTACAATTAAAGTCTATACATTCATACATTCTAATAGATTGTTAAGTGCAATAGATGGCAACGTAGTATTGTACACAAGTGTCAACTCATTATTGTGTCTGACAAAATTATTAATAATAGTGATAATTTTAGAATAATAGAATCTTATCTTACAGTGAAAAAAGTGCAATTTTATGTTAAGTTATTTTCTGTTCTTACACTTTCTTGAAAAACATGTCAAATAATGTGAGAAAATTTCGTTTTCTTTGTTATATTTGACACTTGTGACGTCCTGTATAATTGATCCATTTTTCTATTGCCACCTATTGTACTTGATAATCTATTTGCATACATTTGATCAGTCTATTTGTTTTGTTAACGTCAAAAACGGCTGAAAAGATTTTGCCCAATTTTAATGGCACTTCATAAGATCTCAGGGAAGGGTTATGGCTGGTCAAATGGTACCTGAATAAATAGAGACTTTAAAACTAAAATAATCCATATTAGAATTTGAACGCTAAAATTATTAAAAGACGAGGGGCGCAAAGCGCTCTGAAAGTCCAGTGAAAAATAATTGCCAATAAACAATAAGAGTCCTAGAGTTTTAACTCTCTAATAATAATCACCAAAAAAATTACGCATTTTTACCTTCTTGTTAACTGGACAAACAACAAATATAAATCATAATTTTATCTGAAATTATAAACGTGAAAAGGTTTCTAATTAAGACTACGGTTAAATTTAAATGTTTAGTTTAAACTAAATACAACGTGGTGTCTCTAAATAATGAAAATGATAATATAAGACATTTCATAAGAAGCGCCCTGTTAAAAGAACAAAGTGTAAGATTCTATGTAAATGCTTGATAAATGCAAACCATGTTTTATCACAAGATGTTTAAAAAGTACAAAAATACATGATGTATAAAAATATTATCTCGAATTATAAAAATTGACAATTTGGTTCAGACAACAGGGTGAAGCTTAGAGACCCATTCTGTTACAGTAGGCACGTAGCAAGGATATTCAACTACTCGAACTTGGGCCTATCCTGTCCATACTTGCTGTAGTCGATCCCAGAGGGATTCATGAACTTGAACTGCCTAAACAATAAATTAAATAAAAGATGAAAAAAAATATTTATTTAATGTTTTTTTTAACTTTTTTATTTGCCTCTAATTCAAAAAAGAAAATTCACAAAACTAAACTACGTTCTTACAGAACATACAGGGTGTCGCAATAAACATGGGAATTCAGTGACGAATTCGATATCGTCTTTTTAAATAATTCTTTGATTTAGTCTAGTGATACCTACTAAGAAAGCTATATTCACAATTTGTTTGTTTATGTTTTGACTGTTTACGGTTGTACTCAGTAAAACAAGAAAATTAAAGTATACAAACAGAGAAAACTTGTCTGTCTTCACTGTTTATCTTGCAGAGACATTATAGACACATATTTATAGCCATTTACCGTTTTCATAAAATAAACTCTAGCAGACATAATAATATTATGTCTTTTGATATCAAGTATTACAATGCTAATTCATAGTAAAGACGATATCGAATGTGTCACTGAATTCCCATGTTTATTGAGACACCCTGTACAATAAGTCATTAAATGTTAAAAAATTAGCTTTCGTGTCTCTATTCTTTACAGCCTCACTCAGTCGCAGTCTATGATGGAGATTTGTAAGTGGGTGATCAAAAGAATGTTATTTCAAACAATTAATTAAGCTCATTCAAAGTTTCAAAATGAAACAATTGATCATGTTACAAGTCTTTTGTTACAAAATATAAAATTTACTATAAAAATGCAGAAAAAGCAAGTTATCAAATCTTTGGAAAGAAAACCGGACATATCTCTAATTCTTTGAATTGAGTCATTAGGTTTGTAAGAAATGATAAAATATAAATAATTATACTTAGCTCTTAACTGGGTTAATTCATTGGAACGGAAGGGAGTTCAAGTCTGAGATCTCAGATTGAAGGAGTGGCAGTGATTATTATTATTATTATTACTAAGTCTAATATTATTATTATATCTTACTTTCCGTCATAATAACCGTAGGTATTAGCGGGGTTCTTTTCCTTCCTCCAGTTGATATCGGTAGTTTTAGCGGCCAATCTGAACAATAACATAATTTTAGATTTTTAGATCAAGAGTACTTGGAAAAATGCATCAAAACCAAAATACAGCCAAGTATTTCAATCCTCGTACATCAGACATATAAAATATACATCATATCCTGATTGTTCAATAGAAATGCGCAGATGCATAATATCTCAAAAAGAAACCCTTCAACTTCTAACTTTCATAATCTAAAGGCTCATCGTTATTGCATTAATAAAATTTTCAAACTTGACACAAATCATAAAATCATGCTCATCGATTTTGAAGAGAATGAACAAAATGTCTTTCTTTTTCTTTTTTTTCTCGATTAATGGATATTTTAACCTGTTTTTGGCAAAACAATTTATAAAAGAAATTTTTGTATCATTCCCCAACTCTAAGCATGACCCAAATAAGAACTCCCCCCTCCTATTTCCCACTAGACGGATTACCTGTAAAGGTATGCTCCAACAAAGATGCATCCAGCTCCGATGATGGCGAAGAGAGGTTGGAGAGCAACATGATGCTTCAGAGACTTCAGGGTCAGCCCTTGCATACTACCCTTGCCATTGTTAGCCTAGAATATAATAGGAGTTGATTAAACTTCAGGTCTTAATAAAAAGTTTAACGTTCATAGTGCTTACTGCTTAAGCCTGGATAAGTCATAGAAAACTATATACAGGGTGGCCAAAACTTTTTTGAAAAAATCCGTACAAAAATCCGTACATTTTCAGAGGAAATCCGTACAATCCGTACAATTTTCGAAAAAAAATCCGTACAATCCGTACAATTTTCGGAAAAAAATCCGTACAATCCGTACATTTTTTTGAACAAATCCGTACATTTTTTTTAAATCCGTAAAATTTTATAATATAATTAAAAATAGCGTGGTACAGGGGTTGCACACTCAATTAAAAGAAAGTTAATATTAAACTAAAAATGAAAAGATTTACAGATAAACGGAGGAAACCTGAGAGGATGTTCTCAGATCTGATAAAGAGACAGATAGATAGATAGATAAACAGACAGACAGATAGATAGACAGAGAAACAGATATACACATACACATATAGATAAACAGAGAGACAGATAGGATATATAAACAGATAAATAAAAAGATAGATAAACTGACATGCAGATAGATATACAGATGGATAGACAGATAGCTAGACATATAGCTAGACATATAGCTAGACAGAGAGATAGACAGAGAGCTAGACAGATAGATAGACAGATAGATAGACAGTTAGCTAGACAGATAGATAAACACATTCTCAAATGAACACTTCTGTAACATATTCTCAAATGAACTCTTCTGGGATCTCGAAAATTATGAATGAATTTTGATTGTCAATTGAAACGTTAATCAATCTAATATTATTTAGAATGCAGAAAATAAGTTAAACTAACTTCATTTTGACGAGTTTTTTTTTGAAATTTTCATGAAAAGCTTGCTGAAATGAGTGAAACAAAACCGGTGTATTTCCAGGATAAAAATCCGTACAATCTGACTCCGTACAATTTGAAAAAAATCCGTACAATCCGTACAATTTTAGGGTTACAAAATAAAAAATCCGTACAATCCGTACATTTTGGCCACCCTGTATATATAACATTTTATTTTGAAAACTAATAGTAGAAAAGAAGTAGTTTCTGTTTGTCTTTATCAAAATGAGCATTTCAGCCTTAATAAACATCACAAGAGAAATTAGTTCAGATTTAAAAGTAATGTAGCGAAGGTGCATCTATGACGACTTACTTTTTAAGTAAAATTATGATAAAAGGTATGAATTTGTAAAACCTTAATTTGTAAAAAATGAGAGAATAGAACGAAATTAAATTAGAATTTGAAGATAATAAACGGTTTAATCGTGACGTCTGTACTAACATTGTGTACTTTAGGTGATGTAATGTACAAGTACATGATGTGCGCAGCGCACACAGTAGTTGTACATTATACAGTTCTAATTTAAAAGTTCAAAATAGGGGTTTAGAAAGAGAAGTTAATTTTACCTTCCTGCCTCCAGGGCCGGTGATGTAAGGATGGTCGACAGCTCTCATCATCTTGGTGAAAAACATTTTGATGTTTGATCAAAGGAAGAAATTATCTGAAATGTAACAAAATACAATATTATCAATAAAATACCAAACTTACAGGAAAATGCAAGAATTTGGAAATCAAGACTCAGTAGATATTTATCTTCCTTGATTCCATACTGCGCTGGAACCTTCTCTCATCTGGGGCATGCTTCTTACCATTCCCATGTCAGACATTCCACCTCCCATCCATCCTCCCATTCTTTCCTCCGGTCCCATACCTCCAACCCCCATTCCGACTGCCATTCGGTCGTTAATTCCCATTCGGTCATTCATTCCCATTCGGTCATTCATTCCCATTCGGTCATTCATTCCCATTCATCCACCTCCCATTCCACCTCCCATTCCACCTCCCATTCCACCTCCCATTCCGGCTCCCATACCTCCAAAATCCCTCTGAAGCTCTCCTCTCTCCGCTGCAAGCTCGCGTCTCATGTTCCTTAGCTTCTGTACGGAAGATTGCAAGTTTACAGAATTACTGGTGCCACCGAAACTGTCAGATTTCAGACGATCTGCAACCGATGTCTCCCTTCTAGATGTTGTCACGTCCCTGATATGCGTTATCATTTCCCTCACGTTCCGCTGGAGATAATCATCCTCTTCCCCAAACCTACTGTTTCTAGCACTATACGGAGATAGTCTAGCATTTCTCATTGAACTAGTAGAACGGATACTATCTTGATGCCTGTAATAATAGTTTTAGTTTAGTTTAATGACGTAGTCTATTTCTCATTGAACTAGTAGAACGGATACTATCGTGATGCCTGTAATAATAGTTTTAGTTTAGTTGACGTAGTCTATCTTATATCCTCATTTGAGCAGTTTGAACCAAACTTGCAAGCTTACAATTAAGTTTTAAATGAAAGGTAAATTAAGCAAAATGTTTTGAAAATGATTCAACAAAAATCTGTCATGAACCATGAACCATGTAATTCTATTAAAAATTAAACCAATTGAAATTTTAGGAATATTATCGTTAGAGAAAATGAAAAAACTTTGAAAAAAGATAATTGAGGGATATTTGTTCACTCTCAGTTTTCACCTTGTTGGTTTTACTCCTTGGGTGAGACCATCCATATCAGGATCAATTACTCCAATACTGGCATTCATCCGTCCTATTCCACAAAACCCAGGATTCATTCCGCTAATCTTAGCATTCATTCCGCTCATTCCTGAATTCATTTCGCCCATGTTAGCATTCATTCTGCTCATTCCTGAATTCATTCCGCCCACGTTAGCATTCATTCCGCTCATTCCTGAATTCATTCCGCCCATTTCTGAATTCATTCCGCCCATTCTTGAATTCATACCACCCATTCCTGAGTTCATTCCGCCCATTCCCGAGTTCATTCCACCAATTCCCGAGTTCATGCCGCCCATTCCCGAGTTCATGCCGCCCATTCCTGCGTTCAGCCCGCCCATTACCGAGTTCTTTCCGCCCGTTCCTGAATTCCTTCCATTCATTCCGCCATTGTTTGAGCTTCTTCCGCTCCAGACAGAATTTATTCCATCAGTAGCCGGATTTATTCTTCCTCTTTCGGAATTGTTTCTTCCCCTGGTTGAGTTAGCAGAAACTCCCCTACTGTCTCTGTTGATGGGGAAAGCGCCACTGCTAGTAAATGCAGAATGGTTGGCTCCGCTTCCTTGGTTTGCCCCACTAAAAAAAACCGTCAGGAGTCTCAGTAAATATGAATCAAAAGAGCCTTTTAAAATTACGGTCACAGTCCCTTTATTTTATACTTGACAACTGGTAGGATGAAAAGTACCTTTTGTTCCAATCAAATCTATCACTGCTTTTACGGGTTAGACTGTTGACAGAGTAGAAATTCCACTGGTTTGCCTCCCGCCTGAATTAATTTGGTCATAAATCTTAAGATTTGGACAAGGATAGATAAGTAAACAAGTTAAACTAGAACGATCTGATGTATCTTAGAATATAGTGATTGAAAATGGTACGGATCCGAGAGAGCCAGCCCCCATGGTGGGCAGACGTATCTTGCTGTAGGACATATGCAGTAGGGGTGTCCATTTTTAGGGTCATTTTTGGTACAAAGATGCAAGGTCGCCAGAAAGTTGCAAATTTTTGCAAGATTTTCAAAAATAATTTTTAAAAACTTCTTAAATTTTTTTTTCAGGGTGCGCCAATTGATTAAAATTTCACCTTTTTCGATTTTTTCACAAAAATTGTAATATGCCCATCCCTAATTTGGTTATCAACATGCATATCAGTTTTTATGGAGATAAACATGTCTAGAATACACACACAAAAAATTAAAACCCTATCTTGACTGGAAAGGTGTGCGCCAAATGGTTTCTTGAACTACGCAAAAACAAAAATAATTAATCAATCAATCAATATTTTTCAACATTTTTGGCGCAAGTACTTCTTACCAAGGTAGGATGTTAATTTTTTTTTGTATGATAAAATTAGACCATTTCAGATAATATATCTGGACAGTATCATCTCAACTTGTCGGGGGGGTGGGGCGTGTCCCCCCTCTTTTTAGTATAAATGGAAGAATTAAATCATAAAAACTCCTCATATACAGTACATTTGTACTTGGTTTAATGTAGTATAGTAGGCAGATACTATTATTAGAATATGTACAATATAGTTACAAGTTTTGTGAAAAAAACGAAAAAATGTGAAATTTTAATCAATTGGCGCACCCGGAAAAAAATTTTTAAGAATTTTTTAAATTTTATTTTTGAAATCTTGCAAAATTTTGCAACTTTCTGGCGACCTTGCATCTCTGTACCAAAAGTGACCCTAAAAATGAACACCCCTAATATGCAGTGTGCACACCTGACTCTCATGTGACTTAACCTAGAGTCTAGAAAATGCTAAACATCAATAAAGATCACAAAATGCATTCACGAGTTCTGCAAATCCTAATTGGCCCTGGTATAACAGTGAAAACATTTAATCATGCTGTTAGGATACATATTTTAAGAAAGATGATGAAATATGTAAATTGTACAAAAGAGTTCACTTGTGCGTGGTTAACTTTTAAACTTCGTCCGAATTTTACATTATATAAAATTGAATGAATGCGTAGTGTTATTTAAAAGATTATGTAATAATATGAATGTCGTCTTCGATATCCGTACAAATTTATGGGGTTTGCACTCTTGATGATTAACATTTCCTTTACCTAGTCAGACATAGATAGCACACATTTATTAATTATTTTTAATCTATTGATTATCAACTTACGTATGCAGCTAGTGCTATTATCTTCCTTATACCGTAAACAATATTGCCGAGATTTAAATATTTAAAACAAAAAGTGTCCGCCCCTCATCAAAAGTTCTCCGCTCTAATTATATCAATACCTGGTAAAAGCCACAAATAGTTTACTTCCACCAACTATTCTTCCGTCCAGGTACATCCGAGCTCGCTTGGCGGTCAGAAAATCTTCGTAGATAACGTAGCCAACATCATCCTAAGAAATTGATCAAGATCAAGGCCAGAAGAAATAAAACCTCTTGTTTAAAATGATATTTGATAAGATTATAAGAGGATTGGATCTGTAAAAGAAGCCCCAGCTTGGGCACCAAAGACCGCCTACAGGTAGCGTCCGATCCATCACAGATAAAATATTCTTAAATGTTATATTTAACTGCTTTTCCCAAAGTTTTCAAAAAAAATGTATTCTTGTAAGCTGCATGCATGAACGAAAACGAGATATTTGGAATTCTTTTTCTTTTCAAAAATAGTATGGTCTCTTTTTAAATAAGAGGAACCTAAAATCTGTCCGTGAACACAAAATTACCTGTTCCAAAATTTCCCATTTTATAACTGTTCCTGGAGTGTTGATCATTTCAAGGAAATCCTTCTTTTTCATGGACGAAGGAAGATGTCTGCAAAGTTTTATAAATATTTAAAACAAAAAATTAGAAGTTTCAAGTATTTGTGAAAGGCAATCTCAAGCAAGTCTTTTTTATTTTAAGAACCCATCCCATAATAATATCTTTTTATCTAATAAACAAAAAGCTAGATCAACTAAGCTTTTAATTTTAAGGATTTAAAATACAAAAGTTTCTCAAAAAGAAACGCTTTCAACGGCACAGATTCAGGGTTGGCATGAAATACCCCCAGCCCAAAAAAACACCCAAAAAAATCCAATACAATCCACTTTAAAAAACCCACCTGTAAGTGGCCGTATTTGGGTTTTATTAAGTTATTTTAATTTTTTGAATTTTTCTAATTATTGCCCTTTCTTCAATCTTAAAAAGTTAAAATGATAGTCTTCAAAAAATAAGGTCTACTATCAACTGTATTGATTTTTAGGGAGTTTACAGCACTAAAACTGACATATTAATTCTTTTCTCATGAGTTTTCAAAATATGTTGCGATTGAATAAGCATATAAAATCTTTTTATCGTTCTTAAGTGTGAGTGATCTGAATGTTTCCGGTATTTAACAGTGGTCTGTCTTCCTTCTTGAGCATATGAATATCTTCCGATTAATCTGAGTAGCCCCACCCCCAATCAGAAATATGAATCCATGTTTGACAATAGAAGTAGTCTGAAATTCATAGAACTAATATATCAAAAAATTGCAGTATTCCCCTTATAAAGGCCCACTATAAAGAAGAGAGGTATTTGAAAAGTATTTATTATGATTATAGTCTATTGTTAAAATAATATTATTATTTTTCTTGACTATAAAGTTCACCTATTGCTTAAATAGTCTTATTATTATGAATTAGTCTAATTTTAGTAGGTGTCAACTACTTTCAAATTGAAAAACCAAAAAAGCCCAAAAAACCCAATGAAACCCACTGGGCTTGCTTCGATTACGATTTTAAAGTAATAGCATAGCAATCCATCCTATAAATTAGTTTGGGGTGTATATCTTTAAAAAATGGGGGGGGGGGAGGAAAGAATTTTTTGCGAACAGCTGGGGAAAATCAGAAAAAAATGAAATATTTTCACATTTTTAATACATTTCACCATAAAAATCATTGATTTTCCCAAATTTGACGAAACACAACTTTAAAAAAAAATCATACCTATCTTCTAGGGGATAAAAATGATTTTCATGAAAATATAAACCCCTGAAATTAGTCCGTGTAAGAATAGAATAAACACCTGATTATAAGCTGTGAAGAGGCGCACAAATCATCCATCTGCTTCCGACTGAGGTCGGAGAACTTTGAAGAGGATGGTTTAGGTTTCTCAGGTTGCACGACATATGGATTATCCTTGGGTTTATCCTCCCTACTGCGACCCGTATCAAATCCTTTACCCTGCACCATGAATTGAATCATAATAAAGTAAAGCAAAAATATAAAAACTGTGCTTTATATATTTGATAAAGATAAAACATTTATATCTCTGATCATTCCGTATCATTAATTATAAATGGCAAACGTCCGAAAATTTGTCAGTGCATTAAGTAGGGGTGTATATTTTTTTAATTAACCCATCCCCCTTCGGGTAATTTAGGGTGGGGAAAATCTAAAAGTTGTACATTTGCAAGTTTTGTCATACTCAGATACTTTTTTACACTAAATTTTATTAGTGCAGCAATAAACCCTGAAAAAAAATTCTGTTCCTTGCAAACGTGCCTGACTTAAAGAGAAACAAATATATTTTCTGAAGGGAAGGGGGGACGATTTTTCAAGAAAATATTTATCCCTGCAGTGAAGATTAACACAAACTGTGAACAAGAATCTTCCTTTTTGTTCAAAAATTACCTTTGTTCCGTCTAGTTTGAGAAATGCTTTATCATACATGGATTCAACCTGCTTCTTTACTTCATTCATCAGTTTAGTGCTTCTTCCTAAATAATTCAAGTTTAAGACGAGTAAATTTATATTTTTAATTGCATCTTTATAAATGTAGGTACACACTACACACTACACATACAAACATAAACATTGTTCTTGTAGTTTCTTAATCAAATCAAATTACATCAAACAGGTTTAAGGATTTCCAAGTACACTAAATTATTCTGAATTATCGTAGATATTTCAATTTAAAATGTTCGTCTCCAAATAGCATTTTAAGGATCCGAATCCGGATCCGTTGGATCCGAAAGATTATAGCTTCCTGGATCCAGAACCGGATTCGCAAAATAAGCGAATCCACAGATCCGGACCCAAGGGGGTAATATCAACCAAAAACTCTCAAAACCCAAATCTGAACTGTTGAAAGAGATTATAAAAATATCCTGATCTTTAAGTTTTAGCATGAAAATAAGCAAAAAAAGAAAAAATAATTTGACAAGTTCAGTAAATCTTAAATCAGTAAATCGGACCTGGATCCAGATCCGGATCCATTTTTTCCAGTGCGGATCCATAATGCAGATCCGGATCCACATCAAAATTAAATAGATCCTAAGCACTGAATAGCAATAATTAAAATATTACCATGAAGTTTCTCAAACGAGGGAGATCTTGATCTTGTGTAGCTCCTTGACCTTGATCTTGACCTTGATCTTGACCTTGATCTTGACCTTGAGATCCAGCGACCGTTAGACAGTAGGGACAATCGGTCTACAGAGTTACTTCTAGATCTTCGTCGGCGTTTACGAGACCGAGATCGGGAACTGAAACAAAAAAATATATATTTCTCATACAATTTCTAATTGTATCAAGATGACGAGTCGCGCCTTAATTTCTAGTGATCTGAAATTTTTTGTTGCTGATGTATCTTTTCTAGATAATAATTTTTAAACTAATTAAAGGAACAACCCGTCTATGTAAGGTAGTTAAACTGAGTATGCAGTGTTGTAGACAAATTCTTTAGAATTCATTTGAGTTATATAAAACGTTTTCACGATGAATAATTACTGAGTTTGAGTGCATAGTCGACGTTCAAAATCACGAATTTGGGTGGGTGGGTTTTCAGAATCTGTTTTTTTAACTATTAAATAACGACAACGAAAAACAAAGTAAAAATTATACAAAAACATAATTAGAGAGATATTATAGAAACTAGTTATTGAATAAGATTACTTATTTTAGATGAGAAGATTAATTTTTATTTTCTCAACCTGTTCCTAAACAACTAATTAGTTTGCTAAAGAATTTACATTTTTCGTCGTCGTTATTTTATAATTTAAAAAAAAAAAAATTCTGGTAACGTATCAACCCAAAAGTACTACTTTAAACGTTGACTTTCCGCTCAAACTCTGGATTTACAGATCTATAAAAAGTTTTATATGTCTCAAATGAAACCTAAACCTTACATAGCCGGTCTGTCCCTTTAAAAAAAACAAAATGTCGCTGATTCTGTTTGATAAAAAAAAATGTTAAAATAAAGTCCAAATTTTTTAAGGATTTTTTAAAAATGTTGACCGGAAATATCTGTCCCTAAAGCCAGGACTTACTCACCGTTTTAACGTTTATAGGATACTAACAGACAACATAAGAATATGTATGTAAAAATTTGTCTTACCGTGAGAGTGATCTGACCAGGACAATTTCTATTGAACTACTCCGGGATTTGTTCGCATTACTTCGTTTCTTGGTCCTGGACTCCCTGTCCGCATTCATTGTTCCTCGACACCTGTTTCCCTTCTTCTTGTTTATCTTCTCTCTCAGATCTTCGTTCTTCGAGGACAGTTTAGCTAGAGCTGAGTCAAACAGATCGTCTTCGTCTTCTAATACTTCAATATCACTATCAGCATCATCATCATCTTTTTCATTGGAAACGTTGGCGCAGTTTTTCTCAGCAGGGTCTCCTTTATTTGATGTATCTTTGATGGAATTTTCAAGTGATTTTTCAGAATTAACGGTTGATTTCTTAGGTGACTTTTCTTCGAAAGTTTCAGTAGGAATTTCTGGTGACTTCTCAGTAGATTTCTCGTACGAATTTTTGGCAGATTTTTCAAAGGTATTATTAGAAGCTTTCTCAGGTGCTTTTCTCTCATTTACTTCTTCATCGTCAAGACAGGTTATTTCATCATCATCATCTTCCTCATCAGCGTCTTCTTTTTCTTCATGAGTAAGAGAGCCAGTGGATTCAGCATTCTTAGAAAAGTTTTCTTTTTCTCCAGTCTCATCATTTTTCTTCTGTGATATTTCCTCCTCCTCAGAACTTTCGTCATCAGAAATGTTAAAGCATTCAAAAACCTTGGGTTCGTCTATATTCTCAGATGATTCTTCATTCTTCTTGGATAATGGCTCATTCTGAGATTTATTAGACGAAATTTTTTCAGCTTCAATTTCAAGGACTTCAAAATTTTCTCCTACAAGCTCTACGTTATTATATTCTGCTGTATCCTTAGGACTTTCTTCATCTATCTTGTACTCTGAAGATTTGTTGTTTCCTGAAATATCATTATCATTTGGTTGATTGAGTTCAATGATCTCATCATCATCAATGATTTGCTTAGTGCTATCCTCAGTTTGCTTTACAGGTTTCATTTCACCAGTTTCAGTTAACTTGGATCCTAGAATGTCCTCGATTTCAATTTTCTCATCAACTTCAGCTGCCTTTTTTTTAACTTCGGCTGCGTTTTCCCCAATTTTATCTGCAGTTTCTTCAGTTTTATCTGCCAATTCTTCAGTTTTATCTGCCATTTCTTTAACTTTATCTACTTTTTCTTCAACTTCATCTACTTTTTCTTCAACTTCATCTACTTTTTCTTCAACTTCATCTGCATTATTTTTAGCTTTAACTTCCATTTCTTTAGCTTCCTCTGCCATTTCTGCAACTTCACCCACTTTTTCCTCAACTTCGTGTACTTTTTGTTCAACTTCCTTTGACATTTCCTTAATTTCAGCTGTTTTTTCTTGAAATTTATCTGCCGTTTCTTCAATTATACCTGCCACTTCTGCCACTTCATTTGCCATTTCTTCAAATTCTGCGTTTTCAAAATGTTCAACTACTTTTATTTCTTCACGTTCTTTTACTGTTTCAACTTCAGAGACTTCCGTAGACTTTTTCCAGTTGTTTTGCCCATCACCGTCTTTTAAATCAAGGTCATCAACTTTATTATCCGTTTCTACAGCTTGAAATTTTTGCACTTCTTCATTAGTATTAATACTATCACCTTTCATACTGACATCTTCTGTGTCTGAAACTATATCATCGGAGCCAGAAATTTCACTTGCAATAACAGAAGTTTCTTTTCTGACTTCATCAATTTCAGATTCTTCAATGACTTCAAAGTGATCATCTTTTGTTGGTTTAAAGGAATCTGAAAGAGTTTCAGGTGTTTTATCTTGTTGCTTCAAAGTTTCACTGTCGGTCCCCTTGCTGGGTGATATTTTTGCATTATCTGCGGATAGCTCGTCTAAATCGTCTTTGATTTGGATCTTATCGGAATCACCGACAATTTCAGGAGGAATTTCTGTTGATGATGAAGTTTGTTTAGGTTCTCCTGGATCTTGTGACACACTTTCAACTGGTTTGTCAGTTTGATTAGTAGGAGTTTCAGTTACTTCGCTAGTTTCTTCGGAAATAACCTCAGTGATTTTCTTCCGGCCCCTCGTAGCTCGTTTAGGTGAAGCGACGGCCGGTGAGGCAGGAGTTCGTGATGCCCTTGTCGATCGTCGACGATTCGTTGATTCTGGGGTATCAGCCCCTGAATCTGACATTATCATCCTTAATCTGAAAAATAATGAAATATTAAGTTAAGTTATATTAGACTTTTAGAAAAATAATTAAGCAGGTACTTTGTTCAAGGGGCATGTTGCCCAACAGTTTCAAATTCATACATCAAATATTCATTAGACTTTTTGTCGTTTATTCGAAGGTTCTGTTTCCTCCAGTCGCTGTAACTTCTCCTGAGATGCACTCGATAGTTTTGGGAGGTCTCCGTTTGATGAACTGCTGAGAGTTTCAAGGTTTGAAGAAACTACGCCGAAAATGTCCTGGTGGTAAAGGGGATAAAGAAATATTGAATGGAGTCCGAAATTCATTAATCAACTAATTCTAACAATTATTATTATAATTTTTTAATTTTGTCTATATCCCTTCCTCAGCTTGTTTTTCTGCATCTTCTAGACCCTCACAGTGTTTTTTCATGTACAGCGGTATACTCTGCAAGATTATACACTGTACACTTGCAGTACAGTGAAAATGTTCACCATCACAAGTGGTTAGATCAAATTAAACTTAAATTCAAAGAAGAGACCCGTATTAGTTACGGCTAAACAAAGCATGGATAATCTAGCTTTAATTAAATAATGATTGAAGTTAGATCAACTAATTTTCAGAAACACTTAATAAAGAAGTAAATACAAACTTAAAATCACAGCAGATAAATAAGAATAGGTATTTTCATCAACAACTATATACCAAATGTTAATTCAAGGCTAATTTTCCAGATTAGACTTCTTGGCATAAATATTAGTTAAATCTACCTGAACTCCTAGATATGCCCCTGTGATAGCCCCCGCCATACTAGCGATAGTATCCGTGTCTCCACCCAAATGAATCGCAAGTCTGTAAAGTAAATAAAGTTAGAAAAAAATATCAAATTAATGAGATTTTTTTTTGACAAATTCACAAATAATATTCTATTTAGCAGTACAGGGGTTCAACGTAATATTCATTTATTAAAATAGAATAAAATTGTTTGAGGGAAAAATTAAATTTGAATCTTCATTTTTTTATATTTCCTTATAAAGTCAAAGATAAGGTTGTGTCTAGGATGTTTATTCTAATATTCTACTTGTAAAACGGGTTTATAATATCATTTTAACATATGGCCTTGAATTGGTGATTTCATGAAACCGATACAACCGCCTCCCCCATCATCACTGTCCCTGCTTCAGCAGATGAAGAAGCAGATGTAGAAGTTGTGGCAGGGGGGGGTGGGGGGAGGGGGGGGGTAAGTTAGCCACAAATCTTAGCCGGGACTGGGGGAGGGATTTAAAATCAAACGGATTATGCATAACCCGTTATACCAATAGGACATATCATTGCACATGTCATGCTAACTCTGTGATCCATGCACCAAGGGGCCCTGGGTTGCAGGGAGGGGTGGTTACCTGGTAACACTTGTGTTATTGGGGAGTCATAATAGATAGATAGATAGGACTGCATACCTTATAGTTTGCTCGAATTGATCTTTTCCTTGAAATCTCTTGCATCCCCTAGATATTAGACATAATTTTAAACTTATATCTCTACACAAATTGATATGAAATGCGTACGTACATCAATAAATCAATGTTATATTAAAACCATCCCAGTTTGGGAGACAAAATATATACTGTATATAATATCGTGTTTGTATGTCTGTTTCTTTGTCCGATCATAACTCAGGAACCCCTTGACCTAGTTGTCTACAATCGTAATTTACGACAAAATGCGGGTAGACGGCGGGAGTAACTATGAGTACCCTGGACAATCGCTAGGTTCCCAGGCTAGTACATAACAATATTTGATCAATAGTATTGCAGGGGCCTACAATTTGTTGAAATATCGTCCCTCCCAATTTATATAAACCCTAACAATAAGCATTCGACGGATTTAACTTCAGTGTATGTTTAAAAACGTACCTGAGAAAGCAGAAAAAAGCTGTGGGGACCGAATCTATCGCTGAAACATCATTCCCGAGTTCAAAACAAATCTCGGGCAGTTCAGAGTCTAGATTGGGACAAACATATTCTTCGTGTAAAGAAGACCCTTCGAACACATGTTCAAGTTCATGCTCTAATATACACCGGAATCTGTTGGTTATATCATTGAAAGAGATATAATTTCAAATGATCCTCCATTTATTGAGTGGCATGTCCAATTGACAACGGTAACCTTGGAATCTTTGACTGATCAAATAATGAATTAGACAATTTTGAAGCTAGAAAATAATTATTTATATGCTAACTAGTTGAAGGGGGACGGGAAATAATAAATTTCGGCCTGGATTTTTTAATTCATCGAGACTCTAAGAGACTTTTTAAACATTATTTTCAACCCAAGCGAGGATCGATTTTCTCCTTAAATCCGATCTAGGAATGCTGGAAAGGAGAAAATATATTGCTAATAAATGCTAGATCTGTCTTAACTAACAAACTTTTAAAGTGGCGACCCCGAGAGAGAAGCGCAATAAGCGATTCAATCAGTTTCTCCTAAACTGTCCCAGTTCTGGCCTGATATGGTGCTAAATTGCAGCTACTCCAGGAGCCAACAATCTACTCAGCTACTTCTGGAGCTCATAAGCTAAACCTCAGCTACCCCTGGATTTAATAAGCTAATCGTTAGCTACTCCAGGAGCTGACAAGCTACTTAGCTACTCCAGGAGCTAATAAGCTAAAACTCAGCACTCCAAACACTTTAACCAACACGAAGATATTCTGGACTCGATTTTCTCCTTAAATCCGATCTAATGAAAACATAGCTTTTGGTTGAAATCTTGTAGTTCTCCCAGCCTGCATCGGATCAACATGTCCCCTAACATATTAGTTTATTGCCTGCAAATATATTGCTAATAAATGTTAGATCTGTCTTAACTAACTTACTTCTAAAATATCTTATATATTGTTGATCAGATAAAGGTTTAAGGGTACCGTTGTAAATTGTGAATGTCCCCCTATAAATGAAGAGTAGCTTAGTTTGTTTAAGTTGAAATTAAGAAAGCATGCAATGCATACGTAAAGTAATTAATGGTGACTTAATTTGAATTTGAGTGTATTAGTCTCAATCCCTGGTTGATCCATGTACTCCTGAACAAGATCCAGCTTCAAGGAGTACTCTGTATTCTCCCACTCCTTCTCAAACTCCTGCATACCTACCCGGACTCCTGACAGAATATCTTCAGGGGTTCCTCCTTTCAGTGCCTAAATTAAACATAATAATTGAGGAAACGTTGATAACACTTTTCCGACATTTTTTATTCGAATAACGAGCAAGGTTTAAGTTCAGATTAACCTTGGCTAATTAAAGAACACTTTAAGAAAAGATACAATTTTTTAGCAATTTCTCTAAATAATATTTTCTTTCTTATTCAGAGTAAATAATTAATTATTTATAATAAATAAAACGTTACGGATAGAAAATAACATGCTTTTAAATGACCATACATTTAACTAGTGTCATGTCCGATTCACAACGGTACCCTTTAAACCTTTATCTGAGTAACAGTAAGGAGGATATTGTTGTTTTTCTTTCTTAAAGTGTTCATAAAATTTCCTAAACTCTCTCTGCAGCATAAATCTGCAAAAACATATGTTAGGTAAACATAAAAGTACATCTCATTCAGACAAAGTTTTAAAGAATACTGTTGTGAATCGAACATGCTACTCTATAAATTAAGGGTCCCATTGAAATTAAGTAGTTTCATCCTCTTATTATTTGATAGATGTACTCGAACATGGTTTACCTGAGTGACCGCTAAGGTCTGCAGTACACCCCCTCCAACACCAAGAACGTGCGCGTGAGTAATCCTTCCTCAAAATCCAAAAATAGACATTCTTTGTAACCAATTTTTTAAAGTTTTAATAAAAAACCCTTACGTTTTATTGAAGTGTATCAAAAGTAGATTTACACTCGCTAAAAATGAAATGGTTCAGGGGTCTATATTTTCTAGGAAAATGATTCCCCCCTGTAATGTTTCAAACTGATTTCTTCAATGTTTGAATCTTACCAATATTGACAGCTGTGTCTATTATTTTCTTTGTGTCTTGACCATGAAGAGCTAGAGCTGCAGGATGGGCTCTCATACCAGCACCATTCCCATAGGAGCCTGCATTGCATACATGGTGATAGTGATTAATGGAAGAAAAAAATAGATAAAACTAAGTCCTGAGAAGGTATTAATGAGGAGTTTGTATTTTAATTAAGAAAAAAATAGGAAACCTGAACCATTGAACTGTTGTGCTCCAGGTTTAAAAGGATCGGTTGAATCTAGTTCTAGTGCTTTAAACACCTCACCAACCGCCTGCCCGTATCCTCGCCACGGCTCTCGGCAGTATTCAGAGGAAAACCGTCGAGCTAGATCCTAGATAAACATGATCACAAAGAAAGAAAGTCAAGTGGAAAACTTTTTCTTTGACAGGAAGGAAACTCGTATAAAACGTAAATCTTATTCTTACACTCCAGCTGAAAAGATCAAAACATGAGCTCTGATAGGTTAAGGTTATCAAAAAACGGAAACATTTTTAGCAAAAAAGCTCAAGTTTAACACATACTGAAAATCTTAAAAATGATTAACATTTACCTGGTAGTTAAAGGATTTCTTCTCGATAAATGAACGAGCAATTTGTCTCGCCATAGCGGTATCGTCAGTAAATTTCTGAACCTTGCTTAAAAACAATCTTTATACAACTAATACGTAAATTTACTAGATTTTCAATGAGCACTCCACACAACTCTTCAAGTTTAAAGCATAAAAAAAAATATCCAAAATGTCAGATTGTTCAAAATTCCTGTGAAAAGGTCGGGTCTTGAATTTCTTTGAGAAAATTATCAACTTTCTCAACCGGGACTAGGTTCTCATACTGGCACTCGAACTTGGCTCCAAGACAATCACCTAAAGTTCATTTAAAAGTTCAGTTTGTTTGTATGTTTATATGTTTGTACTTCATTTGCATAACATTTTGTGAAAGTCAAATCTGAGTTCCAAAACTAATGTTAGATAATTTTACTAGCTTGGAAACCCAGTTTTGCCTCGAAAGCTAAAGAAAAATGGTTTATTTCCATAAATATATATATAATCTTGAGCGCTCAGTAGTAATGAATAGGTGTACTAATTAGCATTATGCAAGGCCCTCAACTTATGAGTTGGTTGAGCTCTGTAGTCCCTATTTCATTACCCAATCATCAGGGTTCGATGAAGCAGTGATTAGTGTGTTTGATCCATAATCTAAGGATTCATGTTCAAGCCCTGTCAAATGCAAAAATCAAAAACTGATAAAATTCAGCCATAGTCCAAGTAGGACGAAACACTTACTATAAGGCAATAATCAGAGCAGTTTCTCAGTTATATGGTCGTTAGGTATTATCTATCTAGCTTAATGCGTTCAGTTCTCTTGTTGGAATACTCATATTCAAATCCTGACCCATTATACCAAATATGAAAATTTTAAAAAAGGGAAAAAATCATAAGATTTAATTCAATTCACTATCAACTTTAAACAATAGTTTACTTGATTGTATAATCAGCATTTTTAATACCTATCAGTCCCCCTACCATACAGCCTTTGAAATGTTCCAACATTTTTGCCATTATCTGAAATAAATTTAAATGGAGACTCGTTTTAAAGTGTTGTGTAACTATGATTCATGAAACAGGAGTACAATATTATATTACTATTTTACTAATCACGACTACTGGCCTCAATCTCAATCCTAGTAAAAGGTAATTTTTCACTAAACATTTTTGACGGAGCCCTTGCATTTGCCTCATAAATAGGTCTTATTTTAGTCCAACTTCGTTCATTTATCAAAAATTGGAATGAAATGTAATTAATATCCCCGACATATGCAATTCTTTAGAAAAAATGTATAACAAAAATATTTTGAAAATATTCCTTCCTTAATGATGAGCTACTTCCTTCTTCTTAGGCTCGGGGATAGAATTGGTAATCTTGGCGAAGATGGGCAGGCACAGAACAAATCCTGGTAAAAAGTTCAAATGTATTGAATTGCAAACGTTAATACGAAACGTTATTTAAACCATGTATGTTGGGACCTACAACATTGATGCAAAGGAACTAAAATCTCTAGCTTCAACTCCCTTTATCAAACATATTTTAACAAAATTTTGAGGAAAAGGCACAAAAAATCAAAATTTTGTTGCAATAAAAAATATTTTTTTTAGTTAAGATTTCTATTAAATATTCTTATGGTATCTTAAGTTTATTATAAGATTTTTGTAATGATAGGCTTGTATACATGTATACTAACCAATAGCGTAGGATTTGAAGATCCAGTTCTTGGTGACATAGGTCTTGTACGGAAACCTCATGAGCATGGCTCCGAAGGTGTAAGGGTATCTAAGCTCGGCCATCTTCTCTGAAAATTATCCATTATATTTGCATCTGGTCGGAACTGAACTTTTAAACATGGCTTATCTACACTGTTTTCCGAAATGTGTGGTTTTAAAGTGATGACCATAGCTAGAGTTTAGTGAAGTATATGACGAATAGAGGATGTATTAAAAAATGGGGGAAAAACAATAAAAATCGAAAAGAAACGCCTAGAGTTGACATCCATGTTTTCTTTTACTCCCATAATAAAAAGATTAAGACATTTAAATGCGTCTATCCTAGAGAACGATTTTTGGACCCCCCCCCCCTCATTCTAACAATTTTGTACATGACCACTAATTCGTAATTACCGAGAGCACGATTTTTTGTACCCCCCCCCCTCCCCTATCAATTTTGTGCATAGGTGTCATATGTAACACATGTGCCAGTGCCCGGACCCCTAGCGGCGACGCTCGACCTCCTAACTTGTCCAACCCGCAACCACTTTTTGTCTGTTCTAGCGGCAGCGCTCGGCCCAGAATTTATCTTGACCTAACCCTAAAATAATGACAAATAAGAAATCATAATTTTGCTGAAAATGAGTGGTCATGTAAAAAAATTATAGGCGGGGGGTGCAAAAATCGTTTCTAGGGCGGACCCCACTAATTTTCAGCAGAATTATTATTATTTATATAGTATTAATTAAGAGTTAGGTTATGACAATTTCTGGGCCAAGCGCTGCGGCTGTGATAGGCTAGGGGGCCGAGCGCCGCATCTAGGCCAAGCTAGGGGGCCGGGCGCAGCGGCGATATGACCAAATATATCCGTGTGTTACGTATGAGATCCATGTACAACATTTATAGGAAGGTGGAGGTCCAAAAATAGTTCTCTAAAAATTACCATTTACTTTTTCATGAAAATGTTTACCCCTGTAACATAATAATATAAACCTTAAATAAGTTGAACTGCATAATTATATTGAAAACCAGTAATCTTTCTTTAAAATAGGCTTTCTTTCTCCCGACCCTAATGCCTGAGAAACTCTATGAGGATTGAGGGAACTGGAAATGATGGACGGCAATTGCGCAAGCCCTCCATATTGAAAATTAGAAGACGACATCACACTCAAAATATGCAATCAGTTAATAAGAATTAAATTAATATCACTTCAACTCCTTCAACTCCTTCAACAAATTAACTACAGAGATTAGAGAATTATATTTTGAGATCAGGGGCCTTTACAGAGAGTATAATATTCCGATTTTTAACCTTCTCCTTATATTCTAGAGTTTTAAACCCAATTATGTTTTCAACCTTCTCCTTATATTCTGCAGTTTTAAACCTTCTCCAATTAAAATTCTATTTTCAACCTTCTCCTTATATTCTGTTTTCATCCTTCTCCTTATGTTTTGTTTTCAACCTTCTCCTTATATTCTGTTTTCAACCTTCTGCTAATATTCTGTTTTCAACCTCTCCTTATAATTCTGTTTTCAACCTTCTACTATTATTCTGTTTTCAACCTTGTCCTTGTACTCTGTTTTCAACCTTCTTCTCATATTCTGTTTTAAATCATCTCCACATATTCTGTTCATAACCTTCTCCTATAAATTGTTTCCAACCTTCTTCTTATATTCTGTAATCAACCTTCATCTTATTCTGTTTTCAACCTACTACTTATATTCTGTTTTAAACCTTCATCTTATATTCTGTTGTAAACTTTTACTTTATATTTTATTTTCAACCGTCTCATCATATTCTGTTTTCAACTTTCTTCTTATTTTCTCTTTTTAACCTTCTTCTTATATTCTGTTTTCAACCTTCTTCTTATATTCTGTTTCAACTTTCTCCTTATAATTCTGTTTTCAACCTTCTCCTTATATTCTGTTTTCAACTTTCTCCACATATTCGGTTTTCAGCCTTCACCTTATATTCTGTTTTAACCTTCTCCCCATATTCTGTTTTCAACCTTCTCCCTATATTCTGTTTTCAACCTTCTTCTTATATTCTGTTTTCAACCTTCTTCTTATATTCTGTTTCAACCTTCTTCTTATATTCTGTTTTCAGCCTTCTTCTTATATTCTGTTCTCAACCTTCTTCTTATATTCTGTTTCAACCTTCTTATTATATTCTGTTTTCAACCTTCTTCTTATATTCTGGTTTCAATTCCTTCTCCTTATATTCTGTCTTCAACCTTCTCTTTAAATTCTGTCTTCAACATTCTCTACATATTCTGTTTCAACCTTCTCCTTATATTCTGTTTTCAACCTTCTCCTTATATTCTTTTTTCAACCTTCTACTTATATTCTGTTTTAAACTTTCTTCTTATATTCTGCTTTAACCTTCTCCATATATTCGGTTTTTAACCTTCTCCTTATATTTTTTTTTAAACCTTCTTATATTCTGTTTTAAACTTCTCCACATATTCTGTTTTCAACCTTCTCCTTATATTCTGGTTTCAACCTTCTCCTTATATTCTGTCTTCAACCTTCTCTTTATATTCTGTCTTCAACCTTCTCCACATATTCTGTTTCAACCTTCTCCTAACATTCTGTTTTCAACCTACTCCTTATATTCTTTTTTAACCTTCTCCACATATTCTGTTTTCAACCTTCTCCTTATATTCTGTTTTCAACCTTCTCCTTATATTCTGTTTTCAACCTTCTCTTATATTCTGTTTCAACCTTCTTCTTATATTCTGTTTTCAACCTTCTCCTTATATTCTGTTTTCAAGCTTCTCCTTATATTCTGTTTTCAACCTTCTCTTATATTCTGCTTCAACCTTCTTCATATATTCTGTTCTGAACCTTCTTCTTATATTCTCTTTTTAACCTTCTTCTTATATTCTGTTTTCAACCTTCTCCTTATATTCTGTTTTCAACCTTCTTCTTATATTCTGCTCTCAACCTTCTTCTTATATTCTGTTCTTAACCTTCTTCTTATATTCTCTTTTTAACCTTTTTCTTATATTCTGTTCTCAACCTTCTTATTATATTCTGTTTTCAACCTTCTTCTTATATTCTGTTCTCAACCTTCTCTTATATTCTGTTTTCAACCTTCTTCTTATATTTTGTTCTCAACCTTCTTCTTATATTCTCTTTTTAACTTTCTTCTTATATTCTGTTCTTAACCTTCTTATTATATTCTGTTTTCAACCTTCTTCTTATATTCTGCTCTCAACCTTCTTCTTATATTCTGTTCTTAACCTTCTTCTCATATTCTCTTTTTAACCTTCTTCTTATATTCTGTTCTCAACCTTCTTATTATATTCTGTTTTCAACCTTCTTCTTATATTCTGTTCTCAACCTTCTTCTTATATTCTGTTCTTAACCTTCATCTTATATTCTCTTTTTAACCTTCTTCTTATATTCTGTTCTCAACCTTCTGTTCTCAACCTTCTTCTTAAATTCCTTTTCATGAGAAATCATGTAACATGAAAAAATTAATATTTTAATACGTACTATTTATTACAGACGTTTATTATTGATAAGTTATTTCACAATTAAAGTGCAAGTACTAAAAATTTAATAATGTTAGATTTTCTATCGGATAGAACATATTTTTGGTGTTCCTTGTTCCATCTTTACAATTAGGAAATGTATTCCTATATCTTCAGACTTAGAACTCAAAATCACCTAAAAATAGATAATTACAATCTACAATAAAAAAAAACATTTTTCTCAAAAACTTGTAACACTTGATCCAAAACTCTTATATTTTTTTATAGGAAACATTGGCATTCATAGAAGAGACCAGCTTTTTTGCGTTTAATTTAAAAAGTACTATTTTATGCAGTGGTCGACGATTTTAACAATACAATGAAGACAATCAGTGAGTACTATTCAATGATTAATGATTTATGTTCTTCATATAGCAGATATCAACCTAGCTGTAATTTTTTTACTTGTACCTGTACATTTACCTGAATCCTAAACATTTACATTTGTCATGAACATGTACATGTACATGCATGTTGAACATAAACCTGAACCCTGTACATTGCCTGTACCTGCAAATATACATGTATTGTGTACATCTACCAGTATCCATACATATTCCTGTATCCTGAAGTCTACCTGTATCCTACAAATGGACCTGTTTCCTGCACATGTATGATGTACCTGTATCCTTCACTTGTACTATTATACTGTATATTTACATCTATCATGTACGTGTACCTGTATCCTGTGCCGTATCATGTACATTGACCTGTTTAATGTATATCTACCTGTATTATGTATTTGTACCTATACTCTGTACATGTACCTGTATCCTTTACATGTACCTGTATCCTTTACATGTACCTGTATCATGTACATGTACCTGTATCATGTACATGTACCTGTATCATGTACATGTACCTGTATCATTTACATATAACTGTATCCTGTACACAGCATCTGTATCTTGTACATGTACCTGTATCCTGTACATGTACCTGTATTCTGTACATGTACCTGTATCCTGTACATGTACCTGTATCCAGTACATGTACCTGTATAATATACATGTACCTGCATCCTGTACATGTACATGTATCCTGTACATGTACATGTATTCTGTACATGTACATGTATCCTGTACAAGTACATGTATCCTGTCCATGTACCTGTATCCTGCAGTACATGTACCTGTGTCCTGTACATGTACCTGTATCCTGTACGTATTTGAGGATTGATCCATCTCGCATCCTGTCATTGATGCTCTGTAATAAAATTTGCCTCATCAACATTCAACATGGTAAAATACCTCAGTCATTTTCCCCATTCGTTTTCCACTTCACAGCTTAATACATAATAATGTATAAACAATTTGAAAGACTCTTTTGTTAACATATTATTTTAACAAAGGAACTGAGTTCTTGTCATAAACTCAAGTTTTTTAATCCCAATATCTTTGCAACTTAATGATGTAGACCTTTGATATTTAAAATTAGGCTTTTTAACTTAACAGAGTTCATATGGTATAAAATATCAAGTCTAAAACATCTAGTTGCATATATACTGGGATAAGAAAATCAGAGTTTGCGACAATGACTCAGTTCCGTTTACGAAAACTAAACTTTACTTGCATTCCACCGGTAGTTCTCTTTCATGAAGCACGCTGTAGTAATTTCTACAATAAACATGATAATTAAAATAGGTTAACTCCCCCACAAAAACTTTCGAAATATATCCATCCACCCTGTCTCCAATATAACCAAGGTGAAATCCGTTTGGTTTCTCAAATTTGAATTTAATTAATGGTTTGGTCTAAACTGTTTAACAATGTTTAAAGTTACGGATTTCTGTTTGTATAATTTTACATTTAAACCGGATTAACGGAGAAAAATGTTTTTATAAAAAAGGCAAAGATTTATGTTTAAAGGGACAAATTGTGTGCAAAAGTCACAGCTGGCTCGCTTAAGGTTGAATTGTTAAATTGGCGTCTATCTCTAAAGGATGAATGTTAAATTGGCGTGCATCTATAAAGGTTGAATTATTAAATTGGCGTGCATCTCTAAAGGTTGAATTATTAAATTGGCGTACATCTCTAAAGGTTGAATTATTAAATTGGCGTGCATCTCTAAAGGTTGAATTGTTAAATTGGCGTTTATCTCTAAAGGTTGAATTGCTAAATTGGCGTGCATCTATAAAGGTTGAATTATTAAATTGGCGTGCATCTCTAAAGGTTGAATTGTTAAATTGGCGTGCATCTCTAAAGGTTGAATTGTTAAATTGGCGTGCATCTCTAAAGGTTGAATTGTTAAATTGGCGTGCATCTCTAAAGGTTGAATTGTTAAATTGGCGTGCATCTCTAAAGGTTGAATTGTTAAATTGGCGTGCATCTCTAAAGGTTGAATTGTTAAATTGGCGTGCATCTCTAAAGGTTGAATTGTTAAATTGGCGTGCATCTCTAAAGGTTGAATTGTTAAATTGGCGTGCATCTCTAAAGGTTGAATTGTTAAATTGGCGTGCATCTCTAAAGGTNTATAGCAACTAAAGATTATTATTATTATTATTATAATTATTATTATCATTATTATTATTATTGTTATTATTATTATTATTATCATTATTGTTATTATTGTTATTATTACTATTATTATTATTATTGTAATTATTGTAATTATTAACCTGATTTCTGATGACAATATCATCGACATCAGGTTCCTCATCAGAATCATTCTCAAACTCCAGATCCTCAAAACATAATAATGAGAACTATAATATATTTTTAAGACTGGCTGAAGTGTCCGGTGTTTCAAAAATCGTCCAAGGTTCAGTGGACAACTGGTTCCTATGCTAATCTGAAGGACTTTCCACCTGGCCTGGCATGGAAAAAAAATGTAAATCTATCATTTTGGTTTTCTTTTTAAGTATTAAGCATCCATGATCTAACAGTTCGGTCTTTTTCCAGTAAGCTGTGACTTTTAATCATAATTTGAACTATTAAATATTATTTTTATGCATTTTCTCATTTATACTGTTCTCGGCGGATACCAAATGAAAAAGTAAAAAAGACTACTCCGAAAATTTAAAGAAATAGGCTTCCATGGCGCTTCACGCTTATCTTTGATTTTAACTGTAAAATGTTGCTCTTATATCGATTTTTTTCGTGTATTTCGAAAATCGAAAAATTTTAAAGCACATTTTTCCAATTCTAGTCATCCATAAACCTTCAGCCGTTTTCATACTTTTGGATACAAGCAAACAAACAGGCAAACAGAAAAGCAAAGGATATAAATAGAAGATGTGGAATTATAGAACAAAAGGCGTTTTTATTACCGAACGCATTTGTTTGGTCCAGGGTGCAACGGTTCAGCCGGCTAAGGTTCCTAAGGTAACATGAAAACACAAAGTCTCTAATATTATTTCTTTATTATATCTGTTACTTTTTTGGGGGATATCTGTTACTTTTTTAGGGGATATCTGTTACTTTTTTAGGGGATATCTGTTACTTTTTTAGGGGATATCTGTTACTTTTTTAGGGGATATCTGTTACTTTTTTAAGGAATATCTGTTACTTTTTTAGGGAATATCTGTTACTTTTTTAAGGAATATCTGTTACTTTTTTAGGGAATATCTGTTACTTTTTTAGGGAATATCTGTTACTTTTTTAGGGGATATCTGTTACTTTTTAAGGAATATCTGTTACTTTTTTAGTGAGGGGGATAGGAATCGGATTAATTTAATTTGAATATAAAATATGAAAACTGAAATGTATATACATATATGTTAGGTACAATTGGAACCTTTATACAGAGGTTTCAGATGGGTTTAACTATAGGGAAAACCAAATCTATAATATACAGAGGTTTCAGATGGGTTTAACTATGGGGAAAACCAAATCTATAAAACTAGAAATCTATTATTCCTATACTCTTGAAACTTTTCGAGAAACCTGCAACGATGGTTAATTTAGGTAAGAATACCTGGGGTCGGAATTAATAAATAGTATGAAGTAGTTAACCCAGGCTCGCACAAACAGATGAGTTATTTCTCCAGCGCCGCACTATAGAAGTAGTTCAACTATTCGTATCCAGTTCAAGTACTTCTTTTAATTAATTCATTAAATCCGACCTCGGAAGAATACAGAAAAAAGTAAAATAAGGAACTTCTAAACTTAAAAAAAAATACTCGATTCCTTTATCCGTAATTTAAAATAAAACTGACCTGCCTCGGTCTCCGCTCAGCTGGTTGACCCAATCCTTCCTAAAATAAACGGTAATGATCCAAATTCAGGTAACCAGAAATAACTAGCTGTCATGTAATTTAAATTTAGGTAAGACTTGTTAATTACATAGTCACGATGTAGGAAGTGTAAAACAAATATTTTGATTTTAGAACCCGGACTCAAGTATGCAAAATTATGAGTAAGGATTCGGCCAGATCCAGATTCCAGGTCACCAATGATTAGTAGTTTAGAATCCGGATTTAAGTATTAAAAATATAGGGATCAGGATCCTATAGAAACCAAAAATTATAAGTTTGCGATTCGGATTCAGGTAACCAATTATTAGAATCTGGATCCAAGAAAACAAAATTATGTGTTCCAGGTAACAACAACTTAGGATCCGAATCCAGAGAACAAATTAATAACATTTCCAGATCCAGATAACAATCAACCTTTAATACGGTTTAGAATTTGGATGAATTAAACCGGATCCAAGTAATAAAAAACAATAATTTATTTTTCATTAAAATGTCAAAATATATGTTCAAAGCCTGCAAAATTACTTGTGGTGGTAGAAATTCTCTTCATTGCATTTCTGCATTAAAATGTCTTTAATCGAGAAACTTCATCGAAAAAATTAAAAATTGTCAAAAAAATGGATATGTTTTACAACCTTTTGCTTAATTAGAAGTTTGCATTAAGAAACATGCATTAAGGGGGTTTAATGTTGGTACAGAAGAAAATTAGATAGTTAACTATATTTTAAAAGCAAAGGTGCTGATTACTCTCCTTATACGTAAATTTTCTAATATCTTTACAACCTGATGTCAGAGCGTTGACATTTCTAACTATATACTCTGCAAGATCAATAGTCAAAGTTTGAATTATCAATTAGAAGCTTCCATTAAAAGGTTGCAAAATAAAGAGATTAAAAAGTTAAAGTTTTTGTTAAGTATTCAGTTCGTTCCTTCAAACCTGTTCAATTGCTCGTCCTCGCCTAGTGCTAGATTTTATGAACGTCATTTTATAATCGTCTGCATAAGTTCTACAATATACAAAGATCATCAATAAGTTGTTGACAGTGATGAAAGGGAATGGGGGGGGGGGGGGGTCGTAGAAGCAAGAAACCATATTAAAAGTGTGTTCTCCTCTGTTAACATTTTTGGGGTTTTTGTTTTCTTAAAATTAAAAACAGTCCAGATTTGAATCGTCAAGTGGACTGATATTGATGAACTGATGAATTACAGTGTGTAAACAAATTCCGCAAAATGAAACTTATCGATCAAACTTGAGAATTATAAAGAATCCTTAACTTCTATAGGACGACATTAACACTGAAATCTAGGAGTATTTTAATCATAATTTTATGAGACACTTTATTATAACTTTTCTTTACAGCGTCGTGAGCTAATCTTTTATGTACATCATGTATATAATTTAATACATCAAGCAATTAACACAAAATATAAAAATTTATTTTATTCTCTTTGAAATTTTTACCAATTCAGTTCACAGCAATTATTTAATAAATTAACTATAAATCAAGTTAATTCTATAAACCTTGGCATAGAAAAGAATAACAATAACTTCTATTTAAAGGGAATATTAAAATATTTGAGAAATTGATAATCTATATATAACTTGAAGACGACGGAACAGCTTTGAAAGTTAGATGGGTAAAGTGAAATCTAGGGTTTCCAGGGTTTTTTTGCCCCAATGGTGCTAAATCCCCTAGAAAGAAAGAAAAAAATAATCCGTCTTTGGACTAATTCCTAAAATTCGCCCTGGTCTGAACAATGTATTAAAAACATAAAATCAATAATTCTTAGTTTTATATATAATTAAGTACTCTCTCATTTATCACAGATTTAAAAAATATTCCAGCCCGAAATATACTTTTCACTTAATGTTAAACTAAAGTAAATTCCACGCAAGATTTCATTGATTTTTTTAGCATAACTCCTCAGTTTGAAAAGTTTTTGACAAGAAATTTTGTTTTTAATTGTTTAAATTTGACCGAAAAAAGAAAGTTTTTGCCACAAAATTTGATTTTCTAAACCCAAACTTTGCAACCAATAAAGTATTTTAAACTATTAATTCTGTTAGACCAACTAACCCAAAGAATAATTCCTTTAACTAAGTTTGAAATATTAAAGATTTACACCATAAGGTTACAAAGGTAAAGGGAATAGAAAATTTGAGCTTGCGGCAAATACTCAATTTATTGGTTTTGTTTTCACACTTGTGAGTAAAACCAAAACATGAGGAGTAACGAAGTCACAAAGTATGGTGCATACATTTTACCTTCTCCGTCTTTCACAAAGGAATAATATTTTTTATGGGTTACAAAAGTTTCCTGAATAAAATATTATGGATTGTATAAATTCTCTTGCTATTCAAACAATGTAAAACGATATTAGGGTAATTTTATTTCATAAGAAAAATATACAAATTAAGGAATTGAGTCTTAGACACAAACCTAAATTTTCGTATACCTTTATCTGTGCAACCAGATATTGTAAACTTTTGATATTATTTGATCTAACAGAACTTATAGTTTGAATTATCTAAGGTCTATAACATAGGGTTGCAAAGATATAGAAATCAGAGTTTGTAACAAAGACTTAATTCCTTCAGTTTTTCAAGTTCTAATACAATAACAATTTTTAAATTGTATCTATTTCTGATTTTCATTTACAAATTGTTCAAAAAATAAGACATTAATCATGGTTGTTAACAATCCTCTGCAAGGTAATAAATCTTTGATCCTCCAAATCATTAAAATCAAAATCTTTTCTCAAATTTCATGAAGACCCCATCCTTGAAGACATTAAAATTCTTGATATCGGGAACAAGAACATCAGTAGTTTTATCCGACCTGACAACCCTGTGTTTCCTGAGCAAGTAGACAATAGTCATCTTGATCGTGAGAAGAGCATACCGCATTCCAATACAGTTCCGGGGACCTTGACCGAAGATCATCATGCCAAACTTGTTCGGATTATTTTCAGGCGCAAAGTTCTCCGGGTCAAACTCCTCAGGTCTTTTGAAGTTATCCTCACTGTTACTAATATCCTTAGTGTAAACCTTGACAAAGCGTCCTTTAGGTATAATAATATCAGTTCCGGGGACAGCATAGTCCTTTACACATTTGCGCTCAAGAGCAGGAATAATTGTCTGATAGCGGCAACACTCCGAGATGAACATATCCATATATTTCATTTCTTGAAGCTGTTCAAAGCTAACATCTTCGCAATCTCCAATAACATCGTTAATCTCATTGTAAACCTTCTCTTGCAAATCAGGAAAAATAGCCAGCTTGTGGCAAATGATTGAAATCCCTGTGGAGGTAGTTTCAAATCCAGCAAAGAAGAACAACAGAGCATTGGCAATCAGTAGTGTTTCTTCATTATATCCAATGTCTTTGATATCTTTCAACCCTGATGTATCTATTGCGGCATCTTTCTCAAAATCACTTTCATAAGTTTGAGACTTGTTTTTATTTGAAGATTTGAGTTCTTCAACCAATACATCAATGATGTCATTGCGCTTCTCCCCGGTTTCCAATCTTCTCTTGTAGGTTTTGATAATAATGTCAGAAAAAAAACTGGTGGCAACTTTGTTCAAGAAAGTAATTTTCAAGAACTTTCCTAACTTTGGAAGAGTTGCGAGAAAGAAAATCTTGAGATTTTCGAATGAAGAGCGATATCCTGGTGCACCTACTAGAGTAAGTGCCATCTTTCTGAAAGTATTGTCTGGCTCTGCAAATGAATCAACCTCAATTCCAAAGCCAGCAGAGGCAATAGAATCCAGAGTCATTAGTCCACCAGCTACCTTCATATCGATCTCGTTTCTCTCCCTTGCTTGTATGCTCACATACTTTTCAAAGTTCTTTCCAACTTTATCAATATGATTGGCCATTAATTTCAATTTTCCGCTTGTAAACACTCCGCTCATCAAGGATCTCATCTGTTTCCATTCAGTTCCAGAGAGGTTGGTTAAAAATGCTTTCGTAAACGTGTCATAGGTGTCAAATGTCCTTCGGTCAACAAAATAATCAAAGTCTTTAATGAGTACTCTCTTTGCTAAGTCTTCATCGTTGATCATAAAGTTTGGTTGTCCAAAAATGAAAAATCCAAAGACTTTTTCCTTTGGGAACTCATTTTTTACCATTTCTTCGTCTACAGCCAGTAAAGGAATCTTTCCCAGAAACATTTTCTTATAACTGCTGCTTCCAAAGGGAAAATAGGGCTGAAAAATACTACTGTAATAAAAAACCAAATAAAATAATATTTTTAACTAATACCTTTGAGAATGGTACTCCAATATCCTTGAAGAATCCGAACTGCTTGGTGATCACATAATAAACGTACAGAAGGAATGAGACCATGAGTAACACTATCTCTAAAAACATCCTTCTGAAATGTGGTTCTTCTAATCTTAGATTGCTAAAACACAGATAAAAAGTACAGCCAGAGCCTGCCATTTAAAAGCTTCGGCTCAAGGCTTAAATTAGTTGAAACTTAAATCCAAAAGCCCAAAACTAAAATCAGTCTCGATAACAGCTTAAACCTGAGTCTAAGTCCCATTTTTTAATCGCGGCTGAGGATTGTTCTAATTCCAGAATGTGAACGATGTGATTAATCTTATACTAATATAGGTTTATGTCAAAAGGTTATTGTTAGTACCAATTAATAAACTTTTTTATCTCGGCTAAACTGCAAAGAATAAGTTTTTATATCAAACAAAGATAAGGTTAGGTATTATTAGGAAAACAAAATATCTTATTAACGTTCCACAAATCAAAAACTACAACAAACAAAGTTTTTTTGTCATATATTTTTAGGGTGAGTGAAAAAAGTGTGATTAGCGTCGTCTTCTTAAAAATATTTTTTTTCATCAAATTCTTTTGCATGGTAATTTTGCAATTTTTTTATTTTATTTTTTTATCTTACGTGGTACCACAAAAATACCGCAAAACTTTATTCTTCTTTTCCTAAAATTTCATAAAAATCGGACTTATGGAAATAAAGAAAATTCGCTAAATTGTATCAGGAAAATTCTCAACATAGCGTACCAGTCTAAGCAAAGCTATCAATGAATAGATCTAAGAATTAGAACGGTAAAATATCTCCAAAAGATTGGAGTGCACAGTATATATGATCAACTGAACAATATTGGAGTGTACAGTATATATGATCAACTGAACAATATACATTGGATCATTTTAATTAAATTATTGGTCTATTGGTCTATTGGTCTATTGGTCTATTGGTCTATTGGTCTATTGGTCTATTGGTCTATTGGTCAGACAAATCTTTATGAAATTTTAGGATCGGATACCAATTATCAATCAAAAATTGTTTCACGGATTTTTTTATGGTACCATGTGAGTTTCAAATAAATGAAAACAACATAACGAAGTATTGCAAAAATACCATGCATCAGAGTTTCATGAAAAACAATTGGGTTGAAGAAGACGACGCTAATCACACTTTTTTTACTCACCCTGTAGATATCTAATACATGTATGTTTTCTCTACAATTCTTTAATTAAAATAGATCTATTTATTTTCTAAAAGCCTGTTAAAGGTTTACATCATGACTGAATCAATCCACACTGCCAGACTTTATCTCTCAACTGCTTAATTGGTAAAATATACACAGGGCCGGCGAGAGGGATAAATAGACATTATTTCATCCCTGTGCTATTGTAACTTATGCCCAAGTTTAGAATTATCATTTCAAATATTATTATTATTACTATTATTATGATTATTGTTATTATTATTATTATTATTATTATTATTATTATCATTATTATTATTATTTTTGATATTATTATTATTACTTTTTCGCAGATTTTATAAAAAAATTTGTGGATTTTAAAATTAAATGAAAGTCGAATTGTGTTGACAGTTTTTTTCTAAATTTCTATTATCCATAAACCTTCCCTGGGGTTATGTAAATTCCCCACAAAATTAGGCCCGATCAGTTTAGCCGTATGACGTTTATTGGATACAAACAGACAGACAGAAAAGCAAAACTCTGAAATATGAAAACGACTTTTAGAATCAAGTTTTAACTTGAAAAAGTACAATAAGCATAAGACACAGAAATTGTGCAGTGTAAACAGACCCATTGCACTAAATGAGGGGTTTACAAATTGTGTCTAGTAAAAATATCTTCTTTGTAACAATACTAAATACACTTGAGCGTCGTCTATCAAAAACAACTGGAATATGGATAGAAACTCAAGAGCTGATATTGAAATACTACAAATTGCCTGATCAGCTCTCGAAACTGCATATTAACCCTATGGACTTATATCTGCAGAATTGTATTGTATGGATTGCATGATATTTCACCAATCATCTAGAATTTTGTCGCAGTAAAAATTAACCAATTCGGTATTTTAACCAAGGAAGTCAGGGAGAGGTGTGGAAAACGTGTTATTAGAAGGAAAAATATGATAAAGAAATGATTTTTTTTTACTTCGCAGTTAACTTATTTTGGTTGTATGTACTATACAACATACATATCATATAGTGTTCTATTTCATATTTTCTATCTACCTTTCCCTTTTCATTTCACACCATTCCTTTCCATATCCTCCTTTCACTCCCTCCCTTTCCTTCTTTTAGTATCTCTTCCACACCATTCCCTGACATGTTTTCCTTTCTTTATCAATTCCTCTCCTTATCACAACTTCCCATACCTTCGTCCACCCTTCCTAGCACCCTCTTTGCGTTTTCTGTTCTTAGACGTTTTCCCCTACCCCTTCTAATCCATACCCTTCAGCTTTCATTGTTGATTTTTAAGGAAAGAAAGTTGTTTATTGATTAATCAGAATAGTTTTGTTATTGGATTTTATTGGTGGTTTACTTTGGTACCTGGAGAAAAGTTTCTGGCCTAGTTCTCATCTATACCTAGTGTCTAGACTACCTGAACCCACAGTGTACACACTTTATTCTACAAGCTTTAGTTTTCTCCTCCTAGTCTGGCATGAAACCTCAGTAGCCAGTCTACCATTCCTCTACTTGGTTTAATGACTTTGCATTTTTTATCGTTTTTTACTATAATTACTCAATAGTGTGCGGTGAAAAGTAATTGCCATATAAGATCAGATCTGATTGAATTTAAAACTTTTTAAGGTTTGTATTTTTCACATGTTATGGAACTTTAATCCTCATATCTTTGCAATTTGATGTCTCAGACCTTTCATATTTCAAACAATTTAGTCAAGTTTAAAACATCAAAGTGAAGAAATTATAAAATGTATTTTTAGGCGAAAATTTATCTAACTGATAAATGAATTTTTGAATAAATGCAATAAAAAAGCAATCTCAAAGTTTATTAACACCGTGATGATGTCCATGTAGCCAAACTTCTGAAAAAAAATACAAAATATTTAAAAAATTGTGGGGAAAAACATATCTTAAATATTTAAAGAAAAAATGAGTGATGAGCAGGGAGAACACAGTGAGAATGGCGGGAAACAACATCAGCATGCTCAGCAGGAATCTTCTCAAAAAAGGTTTTTTTCTCAAAATAAGTCTTTAATGAATGGATGAGAATAAAATGGGATATCGTTAAATATTTTCAGTTTCTCCGGAGGTAACGGAGTCCATGAACCTCTAGCGATCTCGTCAGAGGACGAGGAGGAGATATTCGACATTCATCACAGCCAGGAGGAGTTCGACCATATAGTTGGAGAGATTGAGAATATTCTAGTGGAAGACGACTTTCTGAAACTTCAATCAAATCTGCTTGAAAAGCATTGGCACCATTTTGAGGTATCTCTAGATAGATTTTATAACGATATCATTTTTACTTTCAGGCATAGTCAAGAAACATCCTTTTATCATATTTACTTTGTATATTAAGCCTATAACCAGTTGTTCAAGACCTTCGCACACGTTACACATGTTATACAAGGTTACCCACAAAGAATGAGAGTGAGACTTCAGAAACGGCTGTTTTGAATTTACACTGTATGTTGTCCCTGCAAATGTAATTTCTTTCTTTCTTTGACAAATCATTTAATAAGCCATTACAATAATATATTCAAGGCAAAAGACTTATTTAACCTTGTAATCGTCATATTTTAAGAGATCCAGGTCGTCTTACAGTCTCATTCTTTGTCGGTGACCCTGTTCTTTCAATTTATCACTGTACGAAGATATTTTGACGAATTTACTGACCTAAATTATAGGATACAGAAGAGATTAAACTGATATATACGGATATACTTCACGAATCTGATCTAAATTATAGGATACAGAGGAGAATAAACTGATATATACGGATATATTTCACGAATATACTGATCTAAATTATAGGATACAGAAGAGAATAAATTGATATATACGGATATATTTCACGAATATACTGACCTATTTATAGGATACAGAAGAGAATAAACTGATATATACGGATATATTTCACGAATATACTGAAGCTATGGAAAAATATATTGAGACTCAGTTAGAAAAGGTATTTTTTCTTTAAATTTAATTTATCCAAATAGATTAACAAGTACAATAGGTGGCAATAGAGAAATGGATCAATTATGCACGACGTCACAAGTGTCAAATATAACAAGAAGAACTAAGTTTTCTCAAATTAGTTAGCATGTTTTCCAAGATTAAATAAAAAGTGTAAAAACAGATAATAAAAACGCATAAAATTGCACTTGTTTTATTGTATTATTAATTATTAATTATTAATAATTTTGTCGGACACAAAGTCTAAGTTGACACTTGTGACGTAAGAATACAGCTGCACTGAGAGTGTACAAATTCTACACTACCATCTATTGTACTAGAATCTATTTGAATCTATTTATATATATTTGTGCTGTTTGTTTATATCCAATAATAACGACAAAATGGCTGAACAGATTGGAGAATAATTGTTTAGGTATCTCAGGAGTTTTCGTCCAAACAAATTACATTTTTTTAAAGCCTATAAACCAGGGGGCGGAAACGTCATGTATGTGTGTCTGTACCAAAGAATGTGTGTAAGTAATAACGAACCGAAGACGTGTACTGTAGGTATATACAGTACTTAAGAATCTCGGTATTTGTACAGTCTAATTAATTGTTTACTTAAAAATAAGTTTAATATGCATGCCATATATTATTCATATATTTAAGTCAACTGCACTATAAGCCAAATTTTCATGCAAAGAATATAAAATTGATTAAAGTTTACAATAAACTAGTCGTTATTCAAGCTTAATTATAATTGACGACATTGTTCTGAAATTTCCTTGACTGTAGTCATGTTGTGTGTCTGTACCAAAAGAGTTTACGTGTGTAATAACGAACTCGTCTGCAAAGCAGTTCAACTGGCTTTCTCATGCCAGATCAGCACCATTTCCCTTCCCTTTATTCTTATTCCCTGTTATAAACGGTGAAATCTTAAATTTTTATTTTTAAACTTAAATAATGTACGAAGGGAAATATGACAAGGAAAAAAGCAAGAAATAGTACAAGATGGGAGGCAAATATTTGTAAATATAAAAATATATTTTGCTACTAATTGTTTAAATATTAGCGTGTAGATGGATTTACTATGGACGATTTCCTTGAAACTGTTCAGGCCAAACGACAACATTTAGGTATTTTTTAAATAAATAAAATAAATAATTTTTTAAGTAAGGAAAATCTAAATATGTATATTTATCATTTTAAGATGGAGACGTATTTGACCTTCTGTACACTCTCTCCGGTAAAATTTTTTTTATATTTTTTAGTAGATTTAAATAAAATTTAAACGATGGAAAACTATATAAAATGAATTGAAAGTTTTGAATAAATTTTCTTTATTTCAGATTTCATGGCGTTTAAGGATTTGTATGTAGAGTTTGCGAAGGATAAGGGTTCTCCAGGGAAAAAATCAAAATTTTAAATTTACAAATCTTTTCCAACCCTTTCCCCTCGTTCTTTGCTTTACGCCTTAGCCGACTTGGCCCCATTTTATATTTTTCAATCATCCCACAAGTATTGATATTTGTACTCTTTTCTCTTAGGATAAAATATTCCGAAGTTTAATAAAACCAAAGGAATTGATTCTTTGCCACAAACTCTGATATTCTAACTTCTATATCTTTGCAACCTAATGTCGTAGACATTTGATATTTCGAACTATTAATTCTGCTAGATATTATAATCTAAGTTTGAAATATTTAAGATTTACACCATCAGGTTCGAAAGATATAGGGACAAGCAAATTTGAATTTGTGGCAAAAACTCAATTCCTTACTTAAGCAGAGTATAGTTTTGCAATGTTGGAACTGTGCAAGTTTTTAATAAACGAACCAAATCAATTAACAACCTTACCTGCAAGCAATAAGGACTAAAAATATCACAGTTTTTATACCGATACATTACTATTCACAGACCTACTGTATAAACACAGATCTACTGTATAAACACAGATCTACTGTATAAACACAGATCTACTGTATAAACACAGTTCAATCTACTGTGCAAACACAACTGTATAAGCACAAATCTGCTGTATAAACACAGATCTACTGTATACACACAGATCTACTGTATAAACACAGATCTAATGTATACACACAGATCTACTGTATAAACACAGATCTACTGTATAAACACAGATCTACTGTATAAGCACAAATCTGCTGTATAAACATAGCTCTACTGTATACACACAGATCTACTGTATAAACACAGATCTCCTGTATACACACAGATCTACTGTATAAACACAAATCTACTGTATAAACACAGATACACGTGATGTCCCACAAAAAATTTGGGCCCGATCGGTTCAGCCGTTTTGACGTTTATTGGATACAAACAAACAAACAGACAAACAAGCCAAATTTATATATAGATAGAACAGAATTTCCTTACAGGAACGTTTTTTATCCTTATTTCTTTGCATCTTCATGTCGTAGATCAAACATTCAAACAATGAAAGTTCAAGATATCAAAGGTTCACATCTTCACGTTAAAAAATATTCGATTTTAAAAATTAGATTTTGAGGCAAAAATTTAGTTTCTATAAACATATATAGAAGCTATGAGTCTATGAAGACAGTTAAAGGAATAAAAACACAAATAAACAAATGTCATTACAGAGGGATTTAATACGTTTTGCATTATAAAATCTAAGCCATCTGGGTAACAATTGTATTTCAAAGTATCTTCCATTTAAGAATGGATTTAAGTTGAAAGATTCCACCTGAAAATACGTTCTCCGACCCTTAAACAATTTGATTTTAACAGGACCAGACCTCTCAGATCTTCTCAGTGTTCAAAAGATCAATTAAAAATCAACAATTGAGACAGAAAATCAAAATCATTTAACTCAGTTAGTGAAAATTAAATATTTGCTATTAATTGCTGAAACATGTAAATTGTACGATATATCAAAAATCTGTAAAATAGTAAAACATTTTTCTTAAAACTAGTTTAAATGATTCTATTATAGTTAAGTCTTGAAAAATAAAGCTCTTCCCTCTCTTAAAAATAGTGATAATTAGTACTCTTAGAATTGAATTGGCTCGAATATCGATTTAAAATATAAAACCTCGTTTGTGTTGTATAATAACGGTATCTTAAATTTATGTTTACAAAAATGTATTTATTTTACTTTTTGTGTGTATTTACAGGCCTGGTAATTTCTAGTGGTATCAATTATAGGTTCCTATTTATAATCCAAAATTTGGTTTAATTAATTGTTAATTAATTAATTTTGTATGTATTGTGATTACTCAGATATGGGAAGAGATAACAATATTTTGTTGACATTTTCTTAGAGTGGTGTTTAGCTTTAAACCTTTTAAGAATCACAACGTTAAGCTAAACCTTTTAAGATCTATACAGCTGAAAATTTACAGCTGGCATTCAATGTTCAGTCACACATGGAAAAGGATATTTACGAAATCATTGATGAGACAAAGGTTCAAGGTGTAACATCGTAAATTGAACAATGCAATTACTTCCACACTTCCTTGAAGAAAGGTCACAAAACTATTTCGATTATCCTTATTCATGTCTTATCTGTCTATTCTGTGGTAAACTTGGCTTCCAATGGTATCTTTTTGTTATTTTGAAAATACATCTTGTGATTGTATAATACGTTATGATAAACAAATAAACTAATTCTTTTATTAGGTGCCATTCAAACTAGACTCACACGGTCTTAATTGTTTTATTTCTTTGATTTGTTTTTAATCACTTTTATATTCTCATACCTAGTAATTATAACACAATCAGGACTCATTACATTTACAATTATTTTCAAAACAAATATTAATTATTAAAACAATAGTTAAAAATGAAATAAATTTCACGTAATATTTAAATATTACATGTTATGATAATAAAGCCTCTTATTAAAGAGATATTGAGAAGAACAAAAATGTTTTGAATTTCTGATATGTGACCGGAGGCCGAGTTTAAAGAATCTAAGTCGTGGCTTAAATCCGCCAAAACCCGGCTTAAGTTGAGCGCCGGCTTAAGTCTTGAAACATTTGATACAATTTTAAGTGAAACCAACCATAATTAAGCCGCGGCTTAAATTTAAACCGCTGCTCAAATTCTTTAAATTCGGCCTCGGATGAGTTTGATTTACTAATACTTGTTAAATCAAAACTAGAGAAGACAGTAGGTTGCACAGTAGTACCAGTAATGGCGGATAAATTCTGTTTTCTCCTTCCATGTATTTTGCAGCGACATCATGTACCAGTCAGTACATTCATTTAGATAGACATTTCTAATGTAAAGAAGAGCGTAATTAACGACATCATGTACCAGTACATTCATTTAGATAGACATTTCTAATGTAAAGAAGAGCGTAATTAAGGACATCATGTACCAGTCAGTACATTCATTTAAATAGACATTTCTAATGTAAAGAAGAGCGTAATTAACGACATCATGTACCAGTACATTCATTTAGATAGACATTTCTAATGTAAAGAAGAGTGTAATCAAGGATGATGGTTCTTATTTAAGAGGGGCGATGTACGTTCCCCCACCCATCCCCGACTCCTTCATTATTATTTGTAACTGTGCAGTAAAAGTACGTATGCATACATGGCACTGAAAGTACAGGGTGTGTCACGATACTTAATCAACATCATTATTTACAATTCATTAAAGTGAAGGATGTATAGGGTGCCGTTGTGAATCGGGTATAAATCTCTTAAATTGGAGGATGTATAAAGCACCGTTGTGAATCGGGTACATATCTGTTAAAGTGAAGGATGTATAGGGCACCGTTGTGAATCGGGTACATATCTCATAAAGTGAAGGATGCATAGGGCACCGTTGTGAATCGGGTACATATCTCTTAAAGTGAAGGATGTATAGGGCACGGTTGTGAAACGGGTACATATCTCTTAAAGTGAAGGATGTATAGTGCACCGTTGTGAATCGGGTACATATCTCTTAAAGTGAAGGATGTATAGGGCACCGTTGTGAATCGGGTTATACATATATCTTAAAGTGAAGGATGTATAGGGTACCGTTGTGAATCGGGTATAAATCTCTTAAATTGGAGGATGTATAAAGCACCGTTGTGAATCGGGTACATATCTCTTAAAGTGAAGGGTTACTTCGGATTACGATGCCATGCTCCCTGTAAGGTTGGTTAACTTGTATTTTAAAGGAACTGAATAAAAGGTTGTTCCCACTGATGTTTTCTAATTTTACCTCAGATCCCACAGTTTTAATTACTTTATTTTAATAGTGTGGTTTATATTCAATAATCCTTAATGGCTGAATTAATTCACATTTCCATTTATCACTCTATCTATCTACTTATTTTTAAATATGTCATAAATATGATCTAATTTCAACGTACTGATGATTAAGAAAGGAATTGATTCTCTGTCACAAACTCTGATTTTCTATTCCTTATATCTTTGCAACCCAATGAAATTGCTACACAGGCAATTTCTCAACCAGGCTTAACTTCTTGGTTCTAAAGGACACACAGTCCAATGAAATTCCTACCAGACAATTTCTCAACTCATATAATTCAACGAGAACCAAAACCTCTATTTCCAAGCTCACATATATAGATTCAATGCAGAGATCTCTGTCGTCATGTTTCAACGAGAACACGGACTACTTATAATACCGTAATCAAAGCAGAGTCTCAATCAACTAACTTTATTCAAAAGCTTAGGTTACAAAATTAACAGAAATTGACGTAATTCAATTCCTACGATGTTATTGATATCACATGATTTAGATTAAGACAATCGTATTATGTATTTAGCGCACAGTTAAAGTCTAAGGTATGTATTTAAAGGATTAAAGAGAATAGATGTAACGCAGGCCATATTTTATAGTGTAATTTAAATATGTAGCATGATTTAAGCTAATTATGTTAAGTATTCAATTGAAACACAGTTTCAATGAATAATGTCATTATGTCTTAGTTTAGAACATTAAATCATTTTTAATGTACAACGTACTGCAATTTTACAGAATATCATGTTTACACGCTTTTTGCTACAGAATCTTGATATTCTTGTCTCAATTCCTTTTTGAGAAAAAAATATCTTTAATTTGGTGATATCCACACATAAATTCCGTCTGCTACAAAAAGTTACATCAATTTTCAAGACCGGGTTGACCTTAAAGGGACTGTGAAGGAAAAATAAAAGGGGGTATAGGCTGAAACCTGAGAATCTCAGGAAATTAACGATAACAATAAGACATCTATTTGATGTTCCTATCTCGAGAAATTGACATACAACTGTGTCAAAATTATACCATAACCTATATATGTAAGATATACGTCAGTATCAAATGACTAATAACTCCCTCCAATGGTAGTGCAGTATACTGGTCACATGATACAGACGGAGACATGTGACAATAATACTGCACTCCAATTGGTTGGAGTTCTGGTGACATGTTCCAGACGCATAAATAATATTTTTTTATTTATTATTTATTTTTTGAACACTTAAAATTGGTTTCGATATTAGATTAGAACTATAATTATACTTATATATGGTTTTTTAACTAACAACTTTAATTCTTCTCTAATGTTGTCTTCTTCACAGTCTCGGAGCTGTAACAGGAGATACTACAGACATTCGATATTGTCTTCTTCTTGAATGGTGAGCGGCCCACATTCTTCAAAGATGGCTCTTGGTAAACTGTTAAATATATCTAGAGAGAATTCGTCAGAGATATTTGAAATGTTGCTTCCAAAGTCGTACTGTAGAGAATATGCAGATATCGATCCATCTAGCCACATCAGTGGATTCCAACTATGCAAAATAGACTGGGCAAACTTGGCAAATCGTCTCAGCAAAAGAACTCTTACAGAGTTGATTTCTTTAGAAAAATGCTTCACAAAATAAGTATGTGTAGGCTGTGACAAGTTCCAGCAAACTTTAACTGTAGTGTTCCAAGATCGGTAGGTTTGACAGGCATACTTACTGAAAAGGTTCCAAATATTGCTTAAAAGGAACAACAACAAGTTTGCACAGCAGATAACTTTTGCAGTAGTGAGCAGAAATGGAAAATTCCCAATAATTCAGTAGATGATCCATTGTAGGCACCTCTAGCCTTTCTGCAGTCTATATCTTGTGAACCTGATTCATGAATGATATGACCAAGATGGTCAACCTGACTGACCCAGGGCAGCTTCTGATCATTAAGGACGACCTCCACCGGTTTTCAGTCACGTCCACAAGTAAAATAAATACATTTGGACTTGGATTTGTATGGATCTGGATTTGTTGAAAAGGAAATATTATGCTCCTCAGCATACTTTTCACAAAGTTGTAGTAGGTTTTGTAAACCATTTCTGGTAGGAGACAGCAGCAGAAAATCATCACAGTAGACCACAACACCAAACCCACTTTCTCTAAGCTTTACAGGCAACCCGTCCATGTACACTGTAAATAGGATAGGGGATAAACAGGATCCCTGTCGTGTACAATATACCCAGGTGCAGATATTTTCAGAATAGCTTCTCAAAAGCATGCTTAAGGGAAAGAAACCCTAGAGCAAAACAGGAAAAATATCTGTCTTAATAATCTATAATGTGTGAAAAGTTAAAAATCTAGTTTTTGAGTCTTTTAAGTAAAAAAAAATTTTTCGCATGCGGCGCGATTTTTTGTTCCTAATTATGAATTTTTTTATTCCTAAAAAATCTTGCCCCCCCTCACTTAAAGGGAGTGTTCGCGAAAAATGAAAGGAGGTACAGGCTTAATGCGATAAAAAAGCGCTTTTGATCGCTACTAATCTTACTTCTAGCTGTTGCGTCTATAAGGAGAAAATTGATAAAGACGTCTCATACCGAAGTTTGTAGCGCCCATACAAATTGAGGAAGTTGTAACATACTACTTAGACATAGACCGTAAAAAATTCAAATTAATATCAAACAAATCATTCAGATATTACAACCTATAGTCATCGATTATCTTTCGCCACATTGGTATATATTTGATATTTCATCCTAGTTTTGATTTTGTTTTTTTAAATAGTTTTTAGCTTACAACTTGTTTTCGAACTTTCCTAGAAAATATGAAAATGTCGTCTTCATTACCAAAAATCCTCGAAACAGGAATATATGTTTTTATAAATAACTCTCAGATCATAACAATTAAAACATATTATCAAAAATCAACTATATATAAATGTGGCAAAAGATAATCGATGACTATAGGTTGTAATATCTGAATGATTTGTTTGAAATTAAATTGATTTTTTTACGGTCTAAGTCGTATGTTGCAATTTTCTCAATTTGTATGGACGCCATGTTATTCGGTATGAGACGTCTTTAACAATTTTCTCCTTATGGACGCAACAGATAGAAGTAAGATTAGTAGCGATCAAAAGCCCTTTTTTATCGCATTAGGCCTATACCCCCTTTCATTTTTCGCGAACACTCCCTTTAAATCCTGTATCCGCCCCTGAGTATACCAAAGGAGTAGGAAGCTGTTTGTGTAGATGTCCATTTAACACATGCTTTTTGAAGCTTATAAGCAGCTAGTAAACCTCGAACAAATTATCAATTATACCTATTAAAAATGAAAAATTATCAAATTCAAATAATAATAGGAGCAAACTTGAGTTGAGAGGGTCAAAGTGTTATATGAAGTTACCATTTATACATATGTTACATGGAAGGGCGGGGGCTAAATAGT